TTCGTAGTGAGCAACCAGTTAAATCAGTTCCTGTTCTTTTTTTTCCCAGGTTTCTGGGGGAAATCTCCCAATTTCCCGAAAAATGCGATGTGACATGACGTCAGGTGGAACATGAGGGGCGTCCTCAGACCACCCAGGTCGCCGCGCATCGTGGTTGCGTCCCTTGTTCGCGGTTGAAACCTGGGGATGACCTGGGACTTGAAGTATCTTGAAGTATTTTTTCCAAATGGTAATCACCCAAGATGTAGATGAGATATAGGAGCTTCGTGGAGCTTCGTAGGATATTCATGGGAGAAACTAAGTCAATAATGGGATACTGGCGATGGCGAATCATGATTATGGGATAAGAATAGTATAGAGAGATCCCCAAAAGAGGTTTATTATCCCTATTTGGGATGAAATAAACTGACCCCTCTAAACGTTGGTTCATGGGATGGCTTGTTATTGGGTATACCGTTTACCATATGATACACATCATCATATGTGTGTAACAATATTATATATATACATATGTATAGCCTATAGCAACCACCAAAAAGATTGATTGATTGTTGTCATTGCCATTTTCCCATCGCTACTTTCGTTCGATGTTACATCTGCAGAGTTCTAAGTCTTGACTGAAGGGAGTGCACCCAGCAACATACTCAGTGCATCTCAATGCCAGCTTACCTTTCTATTTTTGTCAGAGTGATGATATGCCCAGCCAATCCCATATGCTTCATGGTGCAGAAATATTGATCACCATTTAACCAACATTTAGGCCAGATCTACCCTCTGGTAAACAGCCACATAACTATGGAAAATCACAATTTTCATGGGAAAACAAACTATAAATGGCCATTTTCAATAGCTATGTTATTACCAGATCTATCTCCCAGTTTTGTAGTGGTACCCCCAAGGGTATACGCATTGCCGGTGTGGAACACCCATGGGGAGTTTCCGTCGGGAAAATGACACAACTACTGCATCATGGTGGCTAAACTCCACATCGTAAACCTTTACCAGAGGCTAAACATTAAAATCAGTAGAACATCCTCCATTTTATAGATGATTTTTCCATGTGAAAGGTCCATCATAAGGTCCAGGCTTGTCCCAATCCAAACATACAGCATTTGGGTGGCTTCCCCGACAACTGATTGTAAATTAATGGCTCCATCCCTATGTTTGCAGCCGTGATGATCGTGTGACGTCCACAAAATACAGAAAATCAATATGAGATCAAGCCTGTTTATAGGAATCTTGGCAAAGATCCCGGAAAAAACACGCATAATATATATAAATATATACACATGCATACACACACATATATATATATATATATTTTCTTTAAGTGAGATAAATCTCCCTTATCATTTCATGGTCGATTTTTGGACCATGGCTCCGGATTCGACCGTGAGGCCTCAGCTTTGCACGTCCTCCTGATGTATCGCGCCAATCCTGAGGCCGCCTCTAGGGAGTGCTGTGGATGGCTTCAAATCACCGTGAAGGCAACGGAACATCCACTGGAAACGGAGGTATTATATATATATACATATATATATATATATACTGGTTGTTGGTTTCAAACATTTTTTGTTTTCCATAATATATGGGATAATCCTTCCCATTGACTAATAGTTTTCAAGATGGTTAAAACCACCAACCAGTGTATGTATATATGTATATAATTATATATATATACTTTTAATATGGGAGAATCAATGAACATCGATGGTCACAAATATTGGAATTTTCATGTTGTCATTGCCATGATCTAAATTGCCATTTCGGGATCATGATCCCCCATGATATTTCAACCAGAGGCTTTCGAAAAACAACATCCCTGTCTATCGCACATTGACAAGTCAACTGTTTGAAAGAGATCAAGAAACAACCAACGAAACACTGTCAGTTGTTTTCAGGAATTGGGATGGTTTCGGAACCCAAGACTGACCAACTTCTACATATTTTGACCGACCCAGACCTTGAGATATCTGGATGTGTTTGAACATAGGGCACCCCAAATTAGAATCATAATTTTCCTTATGCTACCCCCTAAAAAGATAGACAAGTAATCTACTATTATTACTTGAGTAGGATTTTGTGTTTCTATTTTTGGGGGTTACTATGTATATATTACTATGTATATATATATATGTAGCATATCTATGACATTTATATATAACATATATTTATATATATATGTATATGTGTGTGTGCCTTCAAAAAAAATAATGAACATGTTGGGCATCGCTATTTTCAGACCCATCGACGCCATCGCCTCAGGTCTTGGATGAGGAGGGCCAGTCTCTACTGCAAATTGCAGCTAGCAAAGGCTGGAAACCTAATGGATGACTGATCTGATAATGGTGATACGAATGGATCAACACACATATTCTTTAAAGTAGTTGTTCGATGTGCAAGCTTTGGGAAACCTCGGGAAACCTGTTGCCAGACATGGTGATATTCATCCCAACCCCAAGCAGCTTAAACAATTTTTAGAAGGGTGTGTAAGATTCTTCATGGCACGGTTGAGGAATGAGTGCCCGTCTACAGAGCTTCAGCATTCCATTTATGCTACGAGAGTCAGGTTGAGGGCAAAGTACTGTAAAAACTACACGCAACACCCCAATTCGCCCACAACAAATTTTAGAAGCTTTGCCAACAGACCAGCCAACACAGTTCTAAGGTTCAGGGTCAAGGCATTAGACGTTTTCGGAGAAGTCGCTAAAATATAAGGTATACACAGTGATTTTGGTCCTTTAGCGAAAAGCTGTTTGCAGTAAGTTTGAAGATTCTCACATGGGGCTTTCCTTATTTTGGCAGGAGGGTGTGTATACTCCTCAACATCGATCCTAGACTCGGATGAAGCGAAACATAATAGGAAGCATACCCAGATTTCCAGTAATTTTAGTGCTCATTGCTTGGAATAGATGGTACTGTTTGCCTGAAATAAAATTCATTTTCATTCAAAAAGCACAGGCTTTGCCTGAAATCAAAATCATGGTTAGAAAGCACAGGTTTGCCATAAATCAAACTCATCTTCATTAAAATGTTCCTTCAGCAAGGAATCAGCCCACAATGCCCAACAAAAAGGTCAGCGCGGAGCTCCAGGTTACATCGACGTGCTGCAGCTCTTGTTGCAGCCCCTGGCGCCCTTGCACAAACTCCGCAAGGACACCATTTTCCAGGGTTGAGGAGGTTTCCTAATGGTTAGGGGGCGGTACCCCAAAATAGATGGTTTATCATGAAAAATCTGATTTAAATGAGTTGAAATGGATGATTTGGGGCATTCACCATTTTAGGAATCATCCATATGTTTGTTGGATTCAGTTACCCATCATTTGGCGAATAATTAATTTATTTACCGTTTGGAAATCAAACATTGCCAGCTGGACAATGCCCCATTTATAGTTATTGAAAAAGTGCCGGTTTTTGATTAACGGATTGTATCCATATGAACCAAGCCTAGCGAAACGTTCCAAGTGACCTATTGGATCCTATTGGATCAATGGCCATGACTCAGGAACCGATAAACATTGGAGGTACCTACCATCTATTTTTGGCCTATGTTTCAGGCCTATGTAAGGGAATATCCCCACAAAATATGGCCTTATATGAACTTATATGGTACTAACGTACCTCCATTTTAGGATCCTGAAGATCTCCCATTGGAAGAAGGGGCCCTTCCTGCAACATCTCCGAATTTCCCAGTGCAGCATTCGGAGTTCCAGGACCCAGCGTTTCGGGTGCACGTCAGATTGTTCAGCTGTTGGATGAAGCTGTTGTTGTTGATGGGATCCTTGGGATTCAACCCCAAAACATTGAGCCACCTGACGATGCCAAGGACCTTTGGAAATTATGATGTTGTGTCTGATAGTTTGCCCTGGTGCTTTGGGAATACTTGGGATTTCTTGATGTTGATCACTTTAAATAGCAACTCCTAAAAAGGTAAACATCTAAATTCCGACTACTGTAAATAAAAACAAAAACATGCTAAAATAAGAATACCAGTAAAATCATGCTATATAAAATTATATAAATAGCTTTTGTATCCTTTTTTCTTGGTCAGGGAGCATCAGGGAGCCATATGCCCGCAGTAGAAGTATGATACAATGACTGGTGCAGGAGCACTTGCTGGATTCACGCTTGAAGAAAATGCTGGGTGACAAGCAACCTGCACCTTGGTAGACGCCGAAACGGGCCGAAGGGCCACCTTTGTTTCGGGAATCCATCAGCGAATCAGCGTGTAGGAATCTATGTCTACTGTACATGTTTATGTTTATATTATGATGTTCAAAGATCATTATAATATATTATAATATAATGCATTGCAGTATTGCATATGACATCATATACTTCAGATAACTCAGATAACTGTAAAAATATAATAATTTTATGTATGCTATATAATTAGGAAATTGTTACACATAGCATGATATATATATATTACATGTACACACATATAAATATATATACACAATAAGGCATATGTAATATGCATATTATATATGTATGTTTATATATATATATGTATTATATGTATTATATGTATTTTATGTATTATATGTCTTATATGTATTATATGTATTATGTATTAGTATGCAGTCAGATGTAATATACATATATATATATATGTATATGTGTGTGCGCATAGGTCAAAACTCAGTCGTGTCGATGTCCTTAAACGCTGTCGTATCCGCCAGCTTTAGACTGGACAAAGTCACGCGAGACAATCAAAATCCATCAAGGCCACCCACTCGTTATGAACCTGGTGAAGCAAGTTGAACCAAGCAGCTTTTAACGAAAAAATTGGGCAAGTGGTAAGGTTGAGACAGGAGATCCTCACTAGCTGAACCCTACCAGTGGCACCCGGCGAAATAGGCAACATAGCAAACTATTTCCATCTATTTCCAATAGATTCTCATATTTGGCGGATAAGAGATGTCAGTACTTAATTCTCCCATGTGTTTCCAATATGTTTCCTATTGAAGTTTCAATCCGCTGACTTTTTAACGGCGATGAGCGACGGAGCTGATCTTGCGCGCTTGCGAGAGTATGATGCTCAACTGGAAGGCCCGGAGCGATCATTTCTTTCCATAGTTTCTTTGTATGTTCACTGGAGGGTATGTCTTGACCAGTTCAAAAAGTTTTGATACTCTACGACTCCACACCTTGTTTCCTTTGGACATGTTGTTATTTTCATATTTAGCATTTCTATGCATTTATGATCATTTATGATCATTTATGTGATTTTTTTCGACATATCACACATACCAACAGAACTCGAGTTGGTTGGCCGCGCAGGTCTGCAGAGCGGTCAGTGCAGCCTGCAGCAAGGCGAGCAGCTGCTGAAGGACTTCGACAAACTGCTGGCGCAGGCGTTGACGTGGCGCAGTGGAGCAAAAAAATGTGGTTTTAACCATGGAAAAGGGATTGAAAAGGGTAGAAAATGGTGGATACAGCATCAAAAATGGATGAACACTGATGAACACTGATGAACACATAGGGATTTAAAGGCACAAGGTTTTGGAAGGATTCTAACAATCCAGAGTCTAAGTGAGAAGTCGTTTTGTGTTAAAGAACCATGTCAACATATTTTGACTATCCAAATGATCAAAACAGACAGTTTAAATATAAAATGGACAGTTTAAGTATCCAAGAGATTGAAGAGATGAACCATTCTACCGATGAAGTGCCATTGCATTGCATTGCATTGCATTGCATTGCACAACATAACACTTACATGCGCAACAGAGCAGAACAACGGATCATATACACAACCTAAGTTATCAATATACTATATATGTTACACAGCATTGCACTACATTGCATATGAGTATACCTACATATACACACTCCAATCTATGATGCCATATGCAAGATTATTCATGATGCCATATGTATATAATATGATACAAAAAAACATCTTAAGCAAACTTAAACCCTAAACATCTTGCACACACCTCGCATGATATCTATCACACCTATATATACAAATATATGATTTATACAACGTGGTTCTTTAATTATACCCCAAGTACTCCAAATACCTTCTGTGAAGGTGTTGGGACCCCAAAACCATCCCAAATACAGTCTCAGAAGATGTTTAGAGCTGTAGGGCACTGTAGGGATAAACATATAAATATACAAAAAAAACATATAGATATACAATATAAATATGTAAATATATAAGTATATTTGAAAAAAAAACATATATTTATTTATCTTCTAGCACTGATGATATCTATCCCCCACACCTCCCATGAAGGCCCCATTGTCCGTTGGCGCCTCGGAGCTCAATGCGCTCCGCGAGCGCCTGGAGACGCACCGTGTGGCGCTGCAGCAGCTGCGCAGCCGAACGGATCGGGCGGAACTGCTGGGGGACGGCGCCAAGAAACGTCCCTTGGACGCCAAGGAGCGTTGTGGAATTTTCATGGGATTTCTTTATAGGATTTCCATGGGACTTCTATGGGTTTTCATGGTTCCATGGGATTTCTATTGGATTTCTTTATGGGATTTCTTTATGGGATCTAATCACCAAACATGATTTTTATGTATTGATGAATGGAAATGGATTCTTCCATAGTTGATGGACACCTTGGAGGAAATTCGATCATCAAAAAAATCATCAACAACAGGGGGGTTAAGCACTCAAAAAAACAATTTGGAGTTTTGATGTCCCTTTTCTAAACAACTATATACAGTGTAATATGTTTTTGAGGTGATTTCTTTAATAACTGAAGAAAAAAATGATTTTTGAAAAACAACTACAGATTGAATGCACTATGTGTATTGAAAACATAGGGTTTCTGCCCTCTCCCAGCAGCTCCCGTCCCAAGGGCAGGTCCTGAAGGCCAAGACGCAGGCGGAGGCCGAGCACAGCGAGGTCCTGGAACTCAAGAGCGCCCGCGATGAGATGCGACGCTTGGACCCGGGTGAGTTGGGGGATAGCCTCTGGTCATAGAAAAAACCATGGAAAGATCATCAGATCCACCCATTTTGAATAGGTAAATCATGGTAAATCAACTATTTCTACGGGCCATGGCTTCAAGTTCGCAAACTGTTAAATTACCGGAGGGTAATTAAACTATAATTAGATCAAATTAGATCAAATTAGTATATCACTGTAATAAATGATTATAGTAATATGAGTAATCATATTAATCATGATTTTTACGAACATTACTAATATTACTAATGATTTGGGTGGTTTAAGCAGCAGAATATGGTGAGATAAGTGGATATCACTCATAAATGATGGTTGGTTGATGGGACTACAATCATCCAATGGGGGAATGCTTAAGATGTACCTGGTAAACATACCAAAAACTATGGAAAGATCATCAGATCCACCCTTTTTGTATGGGTAAACCAACTATTTCTACGGGCCATAGCTTCAATAGCAACCTGTTAAATTACCAGAGGGTATGTGAATGATGTTCCAGTTCTGAAATGGCAAGGTACAGTTCTCAAATGTGAATTTATAGTTAATGATATATTTCAGATATTTTCAAATTCTGGATGTATGTTATTTGAAAGCCTGCTCACAATCGTCGGTTCAAAAAATCCATGTCCCATCGTTTCCCAACGAAAATATGTTTCTTTCTGGGGATTCCGTATGCTCCATTTTCAGAGACACCCATGTAGCTTTAGATATCAGGTGAGCGGATTAACATGGATTAAACATCGTACAGCCCACTTTCAGATACATTTAGTGTCAATCTGGGGATCAATCTGGGGATGTGAAAAAAAATCGGCCTTTTTTACTGGGAACATTGAGAGACAGGAGGATACAAAGCAATGACAATTAGATAAAAGGGAGGTGAATCTATACAAGGCAATAGTAGAGTAATTTGGATAGAACCCAGAAACCATGACTGTGAACATATGGATTTTTTGTAACCAACATGGGAACATGATTGGCAAGGATTGAGGTATGAACAGTTCATGAAAGGATCAGTATTGAGCAACAACTATAGGGATGAAAGCGAAGGTGAGGGCACAGCGGTCAAGACATGTTCTTTTGAAGATAACTAGCTGAGAAATGGACAGCCCGATGTTTTTGGCGCGCTTCAGCAGTGCCAGGGGGGTGAACCCGTCAGTGAGGATGTGGACAGCGTCATGTCCCAACAATCAGTCGGTTCCGCAACCAAAACGGCCTCCGTGGAACATCATTCAGAACGATCTCCCAGGGGATGCTCCACCAAAAGTTTGCGGCAATTGTGAGTGAAGGTGAAATCACCAAAGGCAACACACGGTCCGACACGGTTGGGTTATCCAACAGGCAACATGTGCGGAAGGAACAGCTCAGAAAGGCTCGCACTGTGTAAATCTGTATAGTCTGTATAGTTCATAAAGTGATGACAGCTGCGCTTTTTACAAGCTCTCAATAGTTCCAAAAACTTCTCGCGACCACTCAAGTTAAAGTTAAAAAGGGCATTGACTTTCACCAGCCTTGTGCTTCAGCTTTTTCGGACCTGCCACACTACACTGGGCTGGTAGGTTTCTGCCAATCCAAAGGTCGCTGTGACATACTTTGCAGTGATATAGATATCACAGTCGTCAGCTTTGATTACTAGATGGAAGTTCATGTTCGCAATTAAACCAATTGTGTCGAGTATTTTGTCCCATTCCCTTAGCAAACTGTACATGCCCGCGTATGCGACCAAGTGTAGTGCCATCGTGGCTGTAAAGTTCTGCCAGAAAAAAAAATGGCACTTCCCAAAGTCGGGACACCAAGAGCATCCAAAATGTGATCATGTTTGATTGGATGCCTTGGGGCCTTGGAACTTTGGGACACCACAAGTTTGAGACGCCCCCCCCTTTTTTCCGGAAGCAGCAAGCCAGAAGCAGTGAAGAATTCATTGACATCCCACCGGCATTCTTAATCATCGCTTCTGCGATGCGTTTCTCTCTATGGACCATTTAGATCCATTTAGTGCCACTGCAATTTACATCACCAGTAGATCACCATTAGATCACCATTAGATTCATTAGATTATACCATTCTCCAAGCAATCACAGCAGTGAGGAAACCAATTGGAGCGTCTCTTGTATGCAGTGGCGGAGTCGGTGTCAGTGGCCAGTTCCACTCCAACTACTAGGGGGGTGATAGGTTGGAGATCCGGGCGTCCCCCATTTCGGACGAACCTTTATCAAGGATCACAGGAGTGGTTACCTCGTATTGATCTTCTTGAGTGGCAACTGACAGATCTGACAGCTTGCTACTCTACGATTTCTTGAAAAACATGTTTCAACTGGTTCAACCCCTTTTTCTTTGTCTTTGTCAATCAACTGGATCTCTGAACCTGGTGGCATCCGCATGATGATAATCAAGTTGGGTTTATTTTATGTTGCAGGTGGACTTGTGAATCAGTGAAGGCCTGTGACGCTTGCAGTTCAGCGGGGACAATGGTTCCTGGTTCCCCTTTTCTGTCATGCTTCCATTCATCGCAGACGGCCTCTCGGATTTCAGGCATGCATTACGTCAATGAAAATCTACAGGACAGCAAGTGGGCATTCGGGCACGACCAAGACGTTGGTTGCACAACAAACTTCTCCAGCTGGAACGCTTCCAAGATATTTCAGTGCTGTTTGTTGTTTCTGAATTTTCCGTATCCAAGTCTGGTCATGTTAGTAAAGCATAGTAAAGCTACAGGATCCGCCATCCCCGATTTTACCATTGTTATGGTTGGTGTCTCAACCACCAATCCACATGTGGAGTTTGTGATGGTCTATGGCATTGCTTTACTTGCATTACCCTCTGGTAATTTAACATAGCTATCGAAAGTCACCATTTTTTATATAATAGGTAAACCATCTATAAATGGGCCATTTTCCATAGCTTTTTATATGCTCACATTAATTTCAAGATGGAGCTCACGGAGGAGGTTTTACCAGCGCACCATGCGCGCCTTCGCCAGGATTCAAGCCGTACCATTGGAAAAACGCAGGATGCGCTGCAGGACAGACATTCTACGGTGGATGGGCCAGCGAAATCCTGCACCAGTTGAAGACGGTGGTAAAAATCCCATGATTTTTCGAGCTTCAAGCATCCTTTGACAGATTTCGTCCATCCACATGATGAAATGGTCGGTCGTGTTTCAGTCGTGAAAATCTTGTCTGCCGTGTTGACATCCCTGTTGACATACAAGGGGCACCCCAAAATCTCCCAAGTGTTTGTTATTATAGCAGTATCGGGGTAACCAGCGGTTTTCAGTATTTCACTTGGATACATTTGGATGCAACTGAAAACAATATGAATCCCACATCCATAGGGTTCAATCATCATTTCACCCACTACCCTCCGGTAAACCAACATAACTATGGGAAAAAAACTACATTTTACTGTATTAGGTAGACATTCAAACTAAATGGTCCATGGCTTCCATATTTAATTTACTGGAGGATAAGTTGCTATGTGTCCAAAGCTATCCTCCCCAGTTCAACTTCAACTTAATAGTCTTGGGCCAAGTCGCAAAGATCCCCTGCCTTCGTGAGAAGGCAAAATCCTTGGTGTTCCCTTTTTTTGGGGGCGGAGGTTATAGTAAAAGCATTCCCATTTTATGGAGATTGACACCTGTTAAACAACCATTTGTGATATACTGAAGTCCCCGTTGATGGTTCTACAGCTATACCCTGCGGTAATCAAACATACCTAGCTGGAAAATCGCCCCAGCTAGTTTGAGTTTTCCAGCTATAAATCTCCATTTGTGGTTGGAATTTCCAGCTAGATACACTGGTTAGAGTATGTTCGATGACACCAGAGGGTACTACCATAGATATCCATAGATCCCGCTGCTGGATGACAGCTGAATATGGAAGGAATACGACAGCAAATTGGCCAGTGCAGCCAAAGCTTTAGGCCAATTGAAGCGAGCCTCGGCTTTGGATTCGCCAAAGATTGGAGCCTTAGGAAACACCACAAGCCATGATGAGTTGTTGGCAATTGGTTGTTTTTTTTGGGGGGGAACCCTTTTGAAACCCTGAGACAACAGGATCATTTTGCGATAGTGCAGATGAAACACGACAATTTCCAGCTGTGTAAGTCTGCAGGGAGCTTTGTTTTGAAACGCAGCACAATACCCGCCAGAACTTCAAGCATGATTCCCTATAATGTGACTTAGCCGAGAAGTGGTTTATACAAATAGTCAGCGACCCAATTTTACGCGCTCTTAATCCACAGTCTCAATAGTCAGTATTGAGCTTGTTTATTTTCGGTCCCGCAAATAAAAAGTGTTAGTTTACAATCTTCAGGGGCATGGGACTACCAAGGAAAGACAGAAGAGGACTCACGGTATATTTGGTGGTCCTTCTACTTCTTCATGGCAGTCGTTGCCTACATTGCCTCTTCGCACGATCCAGGAATCTGGATGAGAACGACCGCAGATGTCTCTCACGAGTAGCGAGGGGAAGCCTCAATTTGGTAAACCATGAATCAACTATAATTATACAACCTGAATGAATGGGTTTCGGCGATCTCACCATCATCAGATGAATCACATCAGTCATCACTAAGAATTAACATCATAGGCTTTAAGAGAATGAAACCGGGCAACTGCAACCAAATGTCAGTGTTTACTCAGGTCTTGAGGCGGCTGAAAGTCTTCAAGATGATTTACTACGGTACCTTTGGGGCAATTAAAGAAGGCTTGAAGCTTTGAGTTGTCAGATGTTTTCATGCAAGATCTACGTTTTGCCTCAGAAACATGGTAGTGCTGAAGACTTTGCACTATCCTGAAGAGCTGTAATTGTACAGCTGGGATGAGGAACCATCATCATCATCAACATCATCATCACCATCATCATCATCATCATCATCAAGATCATCATCATCATCATTCTGTTTTTCCATGATACAATATTTCGTTAGAAACATGTGTTCATACCAAATAGTGATTCTTTATCATCATCACCGCTCTCATACTTTATTTCATCACTTTACATGAGTTTCTCCATTTCTCATCATGAATTTTCCATCATCCTTCGTTCAAGGCATTTCCTTCGGACTCTGGTCCACCAACAACGTCCTCGACGTGCTGCAGTCCACGCGCGAGGCGCTCTTCGGCGCGGTGAGCGTCGAGAGCGACGTTGCGGTGGTGGACGCTGCGATGAGCCTGGCAACGGCAGACCGGTGATGCGTCGAAAAGATGTGTAGGTGGCAGGCGGTGCCTCATAGGTGGCGTTGGTGTTGTTGTTGTTTTTTGTATTTTTTGTTCTGCCATGATATATATATATATGGCACCCCCCCCCCAAAAGTCTACCATTTTAAGCTTCATAAGATTGGACTGGGGGTGCCATATATAAATACATTGTAAATAGGCCTTTAAAAACTGCCTGTAAAAGCCTTGCTTGATCTGTGAAGTTCAGACTTGAAGTTCAGACTTGATGTTCAGACTTGATGTTCAGACTTGAGTCCAGGCTTGGGAATCTTCAATCCCAGATTGAAGATTGAAGATTGAAGATTTTCCAGGACTCTCCCTAGAGAATCTTCAATCCCGGATTGAAGATTGAAGATTGAAGATTTTCCAGGACTCTCCCTGGAGAATCTTCAATCCCGGATTGAAGATTGAAGATTGAAGATTTTCCAGGACTCTCCCTGGAGAATCTTCAATCCCGGATTGAAGATTGAAGATTTTCTCCTGGATTAAAGATTCTCCAACAAGAGTCCTGAGGAATCTTCAATCTTCAATCCAGGATTAAAGATTCTCCAACAAGAGTCCTGAGGAATCTTCAATCTTCAATCTTCAATCCAGGATTAAAGATTCTCCAACAAGACTCCTGGGGAATCTTCAATCTTCAATCTTCAATCCTGGATTGAAGATTCTCGAACAAGGCTCCTGGGGAATCTTCAATCTTTAATCTTCAATCTTGGACCTCAAGTCTGAGGAGCTTTTGCACTTGAGGGATATGGTCAATCTTTGTCAAAGGCTTGCGTCTCCACCTTCACTCCACAGTTTGTAGCTCTCGGCCCGAAGCATTGCCACTCTGCCTCCAGTCAACATACAGGACAAGATGTCGATCCCAGCGCAAGGCCGTGTCACCTTGAAGGACAACCAGGCATTGGTAGTGTTGAATGTCGCCACCAACAACAACCAAGCGGAGGAGAGGCCAAGGTCCGACTTGGAAGCGCTGGTGAACAGAGCTTTGCGACAGGAGGTGCCGGTATACACCCAACCCGGCTCCCACTCCTCCGCAAACACCTGGCGGCGATGGTCTGCAACGTCCAGAAGGGGGTTCCACTTGGACCCCGTGGGCTTGCACGGTGCCTGGAATGCAGCTGCAGAACAAAGGCTGCTGGAGTGCTTGACAAAGCCAAAGAGGGTGGTGACTCCGAAGCCAGTCGTCCCAGCCATTGCAGCACCTGCACCAGTGCTAGCCTTAATTTTCATCTCAAGAGCAGAGTGTGTTCTTCTTAAACTTCCTGTTCCGCACCCCCAGCACACATGCATGCTCTTACTAAGGTCCTTCAACTTGAAGATGGCAAGGTGTCCGATTCCTCGTCTACTTCGGATTCCTCCTATTCGGATTCCTCCTCTTCTACGTCCTCGGAGGAAGAGGCGATGCCGGAGTATGTTCCCAACCCATCCTTGCCGCCGCCTCCAGAGTATCCTTCTGACGATGAGTACGGTATGCCAAACCCTTCCTTGGGCCCACAGTCTGAAGTCCTCACGATGACGAGTACCTGGCACCCCCAGCTCCAGCCGCCCCCTGCGAAGAGAGCCATGAACGTCCAGCCAAGTGCCAGCGGTGCCAGGAACGGGAAGAAGAGTTTTGGTCTTTGGCTGAATCCCACCAGCTCATTGCGGAATTGTTAGAGGCAGCTGAACAGGAGAATGCTCGGTTGCCGGCCCAGAGGTGAGCTTGAGTGAGGAAACATAGTATATATTTATTTATTTATGTAACATATATATATATGTTTAACCGACCCTCTATAGTCTATAGTTGATTCGGGATAATTCAGGTTTGTTAAGCCAACTTGCTGGGTTACAGCGCATGGCACCAGCGGCACTGAATCAGATGTGTGGGTGGTTGGACCAGCTTCAGAGAGCGATTGGACATAGTAAGTCTCAAAATGATGGACAAGTAACTTCAGAACTCTTTACTCTTTTATGGTATGTCACTTTTCTATTTGTTTGGAGTTTTTGGAGGATTTGGTTTCAAAAAAATTGCTAAAAAAGAACCAAGGCCGCTGCCGATGCAGCTTCGGTGGCGGAGTCGGTGTGGGGCCCATGGGGCCTCGGGTCCGCCGAGGAATCACAGGAGGTAAACTCACTTTGTCTACTCTGAAAGATGGTGATTTTCCAGTTCGCTATGTTAGTTTAAAGATGGTGATTTACCATGTTCCATATATTTTCTGGTAAACTAACGTAGCGAACTGGAAAATCACCATCTTTAAGTTCGTTCAATCAACGATTTCTATGGGCGATTTTCAATAGCTATATGATGCTATATGTTAAATTACCAAAAGGTAGCTTTTGGAACATTTTTTGGGGGGAGACTGGCGATTGAGTTTCCTCTTTGCTGGGGATTTTTGAGCATCATTTGATTATATGTTTTATGTAAATGTTTTCTTGCTTGGAACTAGTGGAGGGCATGCTTTGTCACACATATATATATACATATATTTATGTGTGTATTGTATGTATTACTGTGTATTATATTATGTTCTGTTATGTTTTATATTCTGTTATAAGTCTTGTCAGGGAATCAATGTCACGACATTTGTAGCCATCATGTATTGACGAAGTAATAGCATGTCCCTCCTGGTTTTCTAATGGGAGCTACATGATTTGGCCGTAGCTGTCGGTAACTCAGTGACGGTGTACGTCGAGCCAAAGAAGTGCAAACAAAAAAATGACATGTTTGCCGCATGAAAGAGAATTTTGAAGATATTTGAAATATAGGTACGGTACTGTAATGCCTTTTCTGCTGCTCATGTACATCGGTGTCAGTTCAACTGTTGCATTTTTCACGATGCGGTGGGTGGTTCTTCCTTGCTTTTGTTGCAGGTTACACCCCGAAACGTTTACCAGGGAAATCTAAAGAAGTTCGGTGTCGGATAGTGTTGCTATCCCTGCTATCTAATCACTGTTTAGCATACAATTATCCATCTACAGTACATTTAACATCGTTTAACACAACTGTGTGAACACAAAGTATGCTCAATCGTTTCATGATATTGGAAAAAGGATAAAAAAAAACTGGAAAATAGTGAATTAAGTCTACAGTATTTTTTGGGGCCACAACATGAGGATATCAATCCGAACCAGCTTAGTTCCAAATGTACTTGACTCACTTCTTTGGCCATAACATCTGGAGATTCATGAAGATTCATCATTTTTGGCCAGCTTACCCTCTGGTAAACATATAAAAAACTACGGAACATCAGCATTTTGAATGAGTAAATCAACATTTTTATCAAATGGCCATGTTCAATAGTTTTTTGTTACTCATTAAATGAGTTTACCTGTTCTAATGATTTCTAATGTGTTTACCTGTTTTTTTCCCGAAAATCCCCAACCTCTATAGGTGTCCCAACCGTCCTCCCGTGAGGCGGGCTCCGAACGCGACAGCGGCTCGGCCAATTCGCGGCCCAACTCCAGGCGGCCCAACGCGTCGACGGAGCAAATTGGGTTAATTTATGTTAATGTAAATGGATCCTGGAGGGAATTTCCACTACAAAAGTAGTGGACTTGGGTCCTCTGTAAAATAGGTCTTTCAATGGTTTTTACAGTCCTCCCCAAATACCTACCCCGATGTAAATGGAGGTTTAGAGCAATTTGTACACCATCTACCAATTTTATCCAATTTTAAGCGCCATTTTGACATATACCAATTGACAGAATTGTGAAGTTCCTTTAGAGGCCTGAATATGGGTGAATTTGACCACTATATTGTTGCCACTAATGTGAGAATCATGGGTTAATCCTCCCCCAATTAGCCAATTTCACGCATACTATTATATAAGTGCAAAGAAGAGTTAATTGGGGGGGTCATTCTTAATCTCAACTTGACAGTATTAAAAAGATGCGAAGACTATTGGATATTCTTAGGGGATGTTGGTGGGCTTTTTTCGTGGGCGAACTGAACTGATCCTTAAATATCCTTTTTTTTATGCATTTTAGAAATGCTATGTGGGATAATGTTCCTAGTAGATGAGAGACATGTAGAGAAATGTACTCTCTGGTAAACAGCCACATAACTATGGAAAATCACCATGCTATTAATGGGAAAATCAATCCACTATTTCTATGGCCATTTTCAATAGCTATGTTAGTCATTACCAGAGGGATTCGTACCTGGGAACCGCGAGCGCTCGATGATTTCTAGGGATGAGCGCCGCCACAATTCATCCATGACGGGACGAGTGAAGAAATGAACCAGAAATTAACCAATGTGAACAAGCAACAATATTAACTTTAACCATATTTTTTAACCATAGTATGGTTAGTTAAATTTTAAAAAAATAAATTAACCAATATTAACTTTAACCATATTAAAAAAAAAACATATCAACCATTTATTTGTACAATGATCATAATGATTTGTTAACCATATTAATTAAGAATTATGATATCTAAAATATGGTTTCGGATCAGTGGCAACTTGGAAAACAGCATCAAATGTCCAAGGTCCAATATTCTAAGTTTCGTTCCGTCACTATACATAATGTGAAACATATAGTTTAAAACAATTTTAGATAGTTTTAGCAATTCACAATTACCAATGAGCAATTATATCATATATTCAATGGACAATACCTTATCACTTATAACAATATTAAGAGGCAGTTATGAACAGTTATGAGCGATTGAGATGGTGAGTTGTCCCTGGTTACCAGGCCCAGCTCACCACTGCCGAAGTCTTCCCCGCTGGGGAGCTAAGTGGCATCACAAAGGGTGGCATCAGTTTAGTCACTTCGTATCTAAATCAGTGTCTAAATATGCAAATATGCAATGTTAATTGCAATACTGGCAAGATTTTCTATCCACAAACATGATCGATTGCAAATCCTGATGAAATTCTTGTTTGGCTTCGATTGTAAGTTGCGGAAGTTACAAAATAGGAGTATTTAGCCCCACAATTTGCAGGGTTGCAATGTCAACTTAAGCTCTCCCTTTTGGAGCAAAGGCTGAGGGGGCAAAACCCAGTGAATTTGTCCACTGTATTGGGACTCATTTGGTGGTTTCAAGATTTCAATGACTTTTCAACCATAGAAATGGTTATAGACGGGATGATGATCCCCAATGACTCAATTATAGTACAAGCATGCGTTTTTTTCTCCATCCGGTGGCGCAACCGCCAACAGATCCCCAAGCATTGCCGAGCCGCACACAGTTGGATTGGAAGCACAGCTTAAAACCACCAAGAAATGCTAGTTGGAAGGGCTCAAACATGTTCTTGACCTCCATTGACCTCCGTTCTCAACCGGTACGATTTCAAAGCTTGGCCAGATGATCCACGGTGGGTGTTGCATGCATTCTCTAGCATACCACTGGTGGGCTATGATATTCCTGAAGCAGATCTTACAATTGATTTTCTTTTTGCATATCTTACTTTGCACCACATATATATATATATACATGAAAAAAACATACATGCATATATATATATATATATCTATATATATAAATAGATATATATATATATGCCAATCCATTTGGAAGTGGCTCTTGTGCATATTGAGAGTGGGTCTTTGAGAATCAATTATCCAAGGGGCATCTAATCATGTTGTCATGTTCACCAGGGGGTGCAGTCGCCGCTCCCACTTATGGCTCTGTTTTCCACTTCCGATCGCACCTCGAATCTTTGAATCTTGGCGGCAGGCTGTGTTTATGTAACACAGCTGGACAAGTAAAACCCCAAATAAACTGGGAACTCATTGAATGTAAATTCAAATTCCCATCACCTTTCAGATCCTAAAGATCTAGCATTCTGTATGGCCCTTAGGTGACCAAAGCGTACCACTCACTGCTGATGTCGAACAGCAGCAAGAAAGACATCCCCATTCTCAGCCATCCACCTTAGAATATAGTGCAAACATGTGCAAACAGCTATGACTTATGACACACAAGCGAAGTGCATGGAGATTGTGAGGTGCATGTTCTGTGCCGGAGTAATGTGCAAAACCAATTAGCACTTGCAAGTTTTACAGACCGTTTGACTTGAACCCAAGTAACTCATCACGAACCTTCTGCGCATATGCCTTGCGATCTGCACCTTTTATGTCCAGACTTCTGGCTTTGCACCAGGCTGACGAGTAGACCTTGGGTTTATAGCTGCTGCTAACCAAAATGATAATTCCACAGTGGAAAAAAGGACAAATGAAGATGAAGGATACTATATAAAACATCTCTCAAGATGCCAAGGCACACTGTGCAACTTTTTCTTCAGCAATTCCTCTGGCTCAGCTTTCTCCTTGGGTTCTGACTGCTCTTTGCCGTCGTCCTTGTTTGACTCTTTGGTCTCAGGGATCTCCTTCTTCTCAGCTCTTTTCTTGAGCTTTGTTTTTTCAACTTTTTTGACTCCAGCGCCACGTGCGCTGTCCGTCTTCTTTGCAGCAGCCTTTGCTTTTCCTTTCGCCTTGGCCTTGGCCTTTGGTGGTTTCTTCTGTGCTCCTTTCTGCTCAGGCTCAACCTGCACTTCTTTGTTTTTGCTGCCTCTGCCAGGTTTTTTTCCTTTGCTGGCATCTCGGCTAGCCAAAGGTGCACGTTTGCCACGGGCAGGTTTGCTTTGCAAAGCCTCCTCTGGCTCTGAAGCATCATGGTTGGCCTCAGGGCTCTTCGGAGATTCTTTCTTCCGGTCCGGAGTCTTCAGGGCATTCTCAACCACAAGTGGGTCGGCCTCCTCAATCTCAACGAAGGGTGCTGGTGCTGGTGCTTCACTGACGTTCGAACTTGCATCCTTTGCAAATCCAGGAGCTGTGTTGCCGCTGTTGTCCTCGTCTGCGTTCTTGTCCAAAGCTTCCCCTGAAAGTAGCCGATCAAGGCACCTTGGTGACAATGGACGGGCACACTCCGTCAGAGCCATTGCTAGTTGGATCACTGTGTCTTCCTCTTTCTTGTCGCCTTCTTTCTCGTTCACCATTGTGTCCAGCTTCTCGAGTTGCCCACCAATGTCATCAACCACATGCTGCGCCCACTTGCAAAAGCGCGTGGTAGGAGAGTCTTCAGGAAGCTGAAACTGACAACTCGGAGAGAGTGCAACGGTCTCCTGGAAAACTGGCTTTGGAAAAATTGAGAAGCATTGACTGAAAGTATATAATGCCTGTTTTTTTGTTGGAAAAAGTTGAAAAACTGATTTCTTTGGGCTTGCTAAGCCCCATCCTTGCCTGAGAAGCCGAAGCAGCAGCTTGATCATCCATCACCTTGGGCAAGTGATATGGTGCTGAGATTCCTTGATGAACACAATTCTAGGTTCCAATGTGTCATGTTGTTTTCACCCAAAGACTTGGTGATGTCAATTGATACAATTGGCTGGAATAAATGATATGTATAATTTGATCTAATAAGATATTGTATATAGCACATGGGCTTTAATCCAAGTGGCTGGGAATAAATGAAATATTAGACCCATAGTACATAATCATGGGTAATTTATTGACATTTTCAGTGGGTAATTTGTATCTGGGGTGGTCCATAGGTTCACAGGTACCAAGTTACAACTCGAAACTTTTTTGTGAGATCTTCCCAGAAAAAATGTTTCATATCAATTCCTCAAATGGGTTAGATCTGTCATGATTCGTCTTGTTTTTTGAAGCTGTTCTGATACTTAGTATATTGAATTTGTTGATCTTCTGTTGATGGATCATTGTAAACGAACACAGACAGACCCCCTGCCACATGCAATCCAAGGACGTCCAATGGCGTTTGCAACCTTTCGATGGGCTCCTGCCCAGGCATACATCCCTGGGCTATAGGAGGTGAAATGCTCCAAAATCCCTGACATATGTTTTGGAACTTTCAAATTTTAGTAAGATCTATGGGTATCAATTCTACAACAATGTTTGAGTATATAAAGCAAACAAGAATTCCGATTTCCGACTATCTCAGGGTTTTAGCCAAGGGGCAGTCCAGCTTGGCGACTGTGGGATGGAATCATCACCCAGCTGATTGTCAGGCGGCAAGTACATATCACTGAACACTTTGGCATCTTTCCGTAACAACTTCCCAATACCAGCCACATCACGTTCAAGACTTTTGGCACGTCGAGACTGTTCAGACGAGCCAGGCCTTAGGTATGATATCGTTCAAAAATATGTTAAGCAAGTAATGCTGCAACAAGAACATAAGAACCAGGGGGCTTGTCATTATCGTTGACATCATCGTGATGGTGGCCCTTGTCTTGCTGATCTTCAATGAGATGTTGAAAGGGAAGTCGCTCCTGCGAAGTGAACCCTCATACCCTGAAACTAGAAAATATAGATCAAAGATATGAGCCTTCAACCACCTTTCATGGCGTGGTAATGTTTGGGTTTCGATTGGGAACATGAATGTACATCAATCACACAATGTCCACCAGAGAAAAATATTGTCATGCTTCTAGCTGGGATATAAGAAATTCAAAGATTCCTTCATTTCCTTCTTGCGAGCATTGCCACGGGCGGCTGCCGGCTTCTTCATCGCTGACTTTGCTGCTGCTGGTTTCTTCTTGGTTGATGCATCATTTTTCCCACTTGGTGCTGTGCCTTCATCGGGACCACCCTCACCATTGATATCATCATCGGAATCAACGATGGGAGAGTGATCAGCATCAGGTGCCTCATCCTCTTCTTCCTCATCGGCTGCCTTTCGTTTGTTTGACTTCTTCTTGGATTCCTCCTTGGTTTTCTTTTTTTCCTTTGGAGCTGTATCCTTGGGCTTCTTGCTCCCCTTTCTCACACTTTTCTTCTTTTCCTCGTCCTCGTCCGGGGAGTTGTTCTTCTCAGAGGAGTCTGAAGCATGAAATCGTGGCGGCAAGGTGTCTTCTTTGGTTGGGCGACTACCTTGGAATATAGAAAGTTCCAAAGCTAAATAGGTGGATACCCGACCAATTTTTTTGGGGCATGACAAAACCAAAGTGCAACCGAGAAGCCAGAGCTGCGTGCAGGTGCACTCTTTGCAGATGCTGGCGGCGAAGGTCTGTTCTTCGGTGCTGGCGATGCTACTGTGCTCCTCGCCGATCCTTCATTGATGAAGTCATTCAAGTTGAAAGCCTTGGCTAAAAGATGGTTGGGTGTTGGGAGAAACTACAGTATTTTAATTTATGATTTGGGGGGATAATCTGAAATTGACGCCAATGTAATCAATGGAGAACTCAACCCCAAGTTAAGGAAAACACATGTCTTGATGTGAACAAGATGATGGGGGTTGGTATCGTGTTTTGATGTAAAATACACAAAGCAAATGACCTAATGGGGAAAAAACAAAAAGATCTTAAGATACTGTGGATGGAAGAAATCCTGCACCACCTTGGATGGTTGAAACCCTATAGATAATGGGATAAACCATCTATCAACTGGTGCAGGATTTCTTCCATCCACAGTATCTTAAGCAAGATGATGAGTGACCGGAACATACATAGCAGCACTTAGAGGGACCTCCTGCACTTCATCAGAGTCACTCATTGCACCCAAACTGGGATGCTACGGCCACCACTAGGGACCAAGAACTAATGTTTCCTAAGATGTTGGAGCAAAAAGTCAGCAGGGCATGAGCAATGTTTTTGCATCAGGAGTTCAAGTGTGAAAATTGCCAACATTGTATCAGCCAATACTCATAGGTGCGGGCTGCAGCACAGCTGATATTTTCTCACTCCGATCGATCATAGCTGCCCCTAAGAGTGACATGGACAAAAGTGGTCAACATGACCAGCCACACGATGTGCAGCATGCATCCTTTCAAGATTGCTGTCAGTACCTAACAGTAACACATAGCAGCTCCCTGCATCTCCTTCAGATGTCAAAAGTCAGAAAAGAACTAATTTCCTTTTGGTGGTTGCAGTCCGTCGCAACATCAGCTGAGGAAATCACAAGGCTATGCCACTATGTGTTCCCACTGGGTTGGAGCTGAATCTTCTTTGGAGAATGCAGTTTCGCCAAGCCAGTGTTTGGCTTTGCGAAATTTCATTCTCCCTTGGCGATTTCTGGGCCTACATTGGCCTGGCTTGTTCTTTGATGGATTGGATGTTTCTTGCTTGCAACTGGCATCCAAAAAGGCTGTCACAGTCATGCTCAGCTGGAAATAATGTTTGAGAACATGGTATTTATTTGTTGGAAAATTGAGTTTGAGATACTTACATACAGCCCCAACACACCCACACAAAAGCTTGACCCATGGCGTACCAGAATCTATACCTTGCAAAACGATCCTGGCATATATGGCTTCAGGTACCACAGTGAGCAGTGCCAAAGGAAACAATGGAGATATTACTTATACTTAGTTATCTTAGTTAGATAATAAGCATATTATAGAATGTACTTCGAGGAACAATTGACATATCCAAAGTAGATCAAGAACCTTTTGTCACTGCTCACAGGATGTTGATGTTTTTGTTCTCAACGTCCAACATAGAAGACAACACAGCGACAGGTCTCACTGGCATAATTAGCCTGACCCCGTCTCCTGGACTGTCCAAGCGACACCTCCAACAGATGCTGATAAACTTCGAAGTTTTGATCTTGGGGACCAACAGGTTCGAACCGAAGTTTTTGACCGTAACACCTGCCGTAGAATCCTGCTCTTTCCCATTCTTTGCTTTGCGTTTCTTCTTGGGCCCTTCCACGGGGGGCTCGTCCAAGACGAAGACAAGATCTTTGGCAGGGGTGATCGTAGAATCACTCTTCTTAAGAGTGTGATGTGAGATACGGATCTTGACCTGATGGTTGAGGCGGTGAGCACTTACGAGAAATCTTTTCAAGATACCATTCAACAATAATTAGCTAAACAGACTGAAATTGATAATTTTGCATCCTTTGAACCAATGAGGATCAATAAATTTTCCCATGATATCCCCTGATACAAGTCAGAAAAGATCAAACATTCACAAAAATTGAATACTTTGTGGTTTAATCACCTCTCCCTCATCCTCCAACTCCCGGATCACGTTGTCCACGGTGGTTGGCACATCGAGGCAATCCAAACTGGAAAGATGGTCCGGGATGTTCTTCTTCTCCAACACCAGCTTGGACGTAGTCTCCAGCTTGAAGGCGAACCACCGCCCGTCTGCATCAGCTGCTACTTCTTTGGCATCCTTGGCTTGGATAAATTGGCAGGGAAATATTGAAAGAAGAAAAATATAGGGCAATTATAGGAAATTGGTTTCTTTGGGGCTCGTGTTGTTTTAACTTGACACAAGATTACAGAGGGTCCCAAGGCTGATTCTTTTATTTTTGAAACAGGGGACACCGGCAACCCAAGATGCAATAGGTGAAATCGACATGGGATGACATTACATAAACATACATAAACCAGAGTTCATATAGTATGAAATTTTATGCTAACATAGGCCCAGGTGCCTGACCATCCCTCCACTCGCCACTTCCAAAGCTAAACCTGAGACAAACGAAAGGACCATCCCCAAAAAAGGCACCGAATATCATCCATGCATTGAAATTACAGGCCCCCCCCAAAAAAAATTGAGTCATGGAGCAACTCTCGACCAGCGAGAAATTGATTCCTGCCAGTTGAGCACACATAGAGGAAGCTTCCATCTTCACCTCCGCACATGAGATCGCAAGTGTTGTTGATGGTCAGCTTGATCCTTGTGGGTGCCAGAAATCAACTTAATTGGATTTAGATTGTATTTGGTGGAGCCTGGACTTTTTGGATGTCAACACCAACAAGACCAGTATTGTTCTACATAAGGCTTGAACAAAACCAAGCAGCGGTTTTGCCAAACTGGCCACTTGCTCCTTTGTCGCAACTTGTGATGGCTCGATCGTGGCAGGTGTGGACTGTTCTGCCGATGAAGAAGCAGCTGGCTGTTCCCTCCTGGGTTGGCATGGACTGGATCCCAGGCTACACCTGGAAAGGGTCATTTTTTTGTGGTCTTCAAGTCTGTGTAGTTCAAAAAAAGATGGTAATGATCCATTCTGGTTGAAGCCTTGATGGAGCGTGGATCCAATTATAATTCCACACTGTTGCTACTTACTGCAAATGAATTGTATTATGAACTCACGCTCAAAAAACATACCCGAAGAAACATACAATCAAAAACCATACCCGAAGATGAAAAGCAAAGGTGAAAATGGTGATCAAACATGCTTAGCCATAGACATATTATGGGTTGGGTGGTTGTTCCTTGTTGTTCTTGTTCTATATGTCATTGCTGATGTTGCTGCAGTTGCTGCTGTTGTTGTCACCGTTGGGTTGCTGTTGTTGTTGCTGGTGTTGTTGCTGTTGTTGCTGTTGTTTCTGTTGCTGTTGCTGCTGCTGCTGCTTCTGCTGGTGGTGATGTTGTAGTTGCTGTTGTTGCTGTTGTTTCTGTTGCTGTTGCTGCTGCTGCTTCTGCTGGTGGTGATGTTGTTGTTGCTGCTGCTGCTGTTGCTGTTGCTGTTGCTGCTGCTTCTGCTGTTGGTGTTGTTGTTGTTGTTGCTGTTGTTGTTGTTGTTGTTGTTGTTGTTGTTGTTGTTGTTGTTGTTGTTGTTGTTGTTGTTGTTAAAGCTGTTGCCGTTGTTGCTTTTGTCGTGGTGTTTGTTGCTTGCTGTGTTATTTCTGTTGTCTTTTTTATGTGTAGGCTGCTCCCTTAAAACAAATTTCTTAGACACTATGTTTGTCAACTGTTGCTTGATGTTGTTGCTTGTTTCTGATGATTGTATATTGAATTGACTGGTAGTGAAACATGTTTACATGACAAAGGCATGAACAATAATAAGCTACACCTGCAGCCGTTCATAACACAACAGCAGGTGTTCTCCTGTCTTCAACCCATAGTTCAGCGTTTGGATTGTATTTCTCGTTGTGCTGTTTGATCATGCTCTCCGCCTGGTCCTTCACACAGTCCGTTTGCATCCATTTGCCTGCCATGCTCTCCAGCACTTTCAACCGATCGTGCTGCTGCACACACACTTTGTAAGTTGCGGTAGAGGTCACTGCACCACCTTCCCGAAGAGCTTCCACCAGAGGGTCAAAGTTGGGGAATGACGGGAGATCCATCGCCCTTGTGCGACAGAGTTCATATATGCGATTGGAGATGCGGTTGGCGAGTTCACTTCCTGAATTCCCCAACACCATCGATGCACAAATAGTAGAGCGCCCCTGCTGGATCTCCTGATAGCGCCCAAGAACAAATTTTGTTTAAACAAATTACAAAAATTAGACAGCCAATTTGCAGGGAAATTCGTGGTTGGGCTGGGGAATTCAAACATGTTGAATCTCAGGACATCTTTGGATCTTTGAGATTGAGATCAATGGGCTCCTCGACAGCAGCAAGAGCCGTGGCTCCATCATAGGCGTGTAGATCAATCAGGGCATTTGCTTTGGCTGTCGGAATGCAAAATGCTTCCATGGTCTTTTTGATGATGTCGGTTCCTCCAGCAACCTCAAGGGGTCAATTTTTCGTGAACTCCTATTTTGACCAATGGTTTCCTGGATCCGACGAACACTAACATCATGTTGAAGACAGTGCATTTTTTATGGGTAGATTTGAATTTGGCGACACAAACTATGACAGTCCCAGCTGTAAAAGACCAAATCCAAGATGCTGCCAAAGCACCTGCTTGAGCTCTTGCACGTCTGTGAACGCCCGTCCCAAGTGAGGTAACGGAACGCCAGTACGTGCTGGCGATGCCTTAGATGCTTGGCACATGCAGGGTGTGTGGATTTATCTCTTGGGTATATGGTGGGGGTTCATACTAGGTTTTGGGGTCCATTCCCAATGATATTTCAAGATGAATCCAAGTCTCTGAATCAGGTTTCCACATCTCATTGCGGGGCAACATTGAGACGCCATGAATGACACCTTGTTTCCAAGCTCTGGTCTGCTTCATCAGATTGTGCTTGTCTTGCCCTGAGATCACAGCAATGCCATGAAGAGCACCATCACGTTTCCCGTAAATGGTTGCCTGGGGTTCTTGTACCGTTCTTGTAAAAGCAATATAGACCCGTAAACGTGTCACAGTGCACAAACCCCATGAGCTTTCAGGGATAAAAAATAAACTAGCTGGTCTCATGGCCGACAAGTAGCAGGATCCCAGACCCATGTTAAGGATCTCATCTTCAGGTTGCGTTCTTTGAGGCGCAAATCTTTCCTCCGTATGTGAGTTAGGATTTGAACTTCGGAGGAAAGAAAACTATTTTAATTTTGTCACACCAAAATCTCCCATGGATATCTTCCATTAAAGCGGGACTGAGGGACAACCCATGACCACCCCGAGCAAATTTTACATTTAGAATGGTTTACGACATGTGGTTAATGCATGCTCTTGTAAATAAATCTTGTTATTTCAGGATTCCGGGGTTCAACCAAAAAATGTTAATTTGGATGGGACCAGTGCCAAGAATCTCCAGGTTGTAGATGATGTCCCTGACGTCTGCTTCTTCCCCTGGGACAGTAGCTTTCGATTTGCCATCCTCAGTCTCAGCTCCGCTATCCTCATCCTTGCACTCTCCCTTGACATCTGCATCAGGATCGACTTTCGATTCGGGTTCATCATCATCACCTGGATCCCTTTTCTTGACCATGCCCTTCCTGCAAAGGAGACGAATGGGGGGGAATGAAGACAACATATGTTATGCACTACGTATTAAATTATTTTCAAAAAAAACAATACATTCCAAAATATATAACATCTTGTAATGATGCTCACATTTGTAGGTAATCATTGGTTTTCCGTTGAAAAAACCTAATAGACATACAACAGGTCCTCTTGTCCATTTGGGCAGCCCGATTGGGGTGGATGATGATGCAAATCGAGTTCTTGGGCCAATCCGAAAGGAAGCAAGCGATGCATGTCAGAAAGTAGTCGTACTTCTCCGACGGAATAATCCCAACAGAGGGGGCGTTCAGCCAGAGATAGATGCCATGATCATCTGCACTCATGCAAGACATCTCATCCAAAGAGGTGCGGATCCAACTCTTGGTCTTGGGCATCACAGCACTTTCTGCATGGTCAAGTTTTCCTGGAAAGACCATTAAGTTCTGTTCGATGAACTCTTTCACTGTTGCCCATGCACGTGTGTGGGAATCCTTCAGGCGTTGACGTGTGAAGTGTTTTACATCAGTAGACTGATACCTAATCAAATGACATTCAGAAAGTATTCAGACAAAACAATTTCAGATAAGAATATGATCCACAGAAAAGAATATGATCCACAAAATCTGATAAAGTCTCGTCAAACTATAGCCAAGTAGGTTTCTGGGGAAATATCGGAATCCATACCTTTATTTGCAAGTTGACATTTTTGTCTACTGAAACATCTTTTGTATTTTGAGCCGCCCGGTATTATGTTTCCATGTTTTAACTCCGTCCTCCAACTGCTTCACAAGCTTGGCCCGTGTTTTGACGCCTTCCTTTTCATTCCTTGGTGATTTACCCATCAATTTGGACATTGGTTTCCCATCTTTTCATAGATCATATGACCCCATCCCGCAAAGGAGTGATGCAAGCAGTGTTGCAAGCAGCTTTGCATCAATCCCAAGTATCTACCGTGTCTCGTCTGCATGGAAAGGGCTTGGGTTGTTTCATGACAACTTTTTCAAAACTGATTGATGGTATTTGATGGTTGTCTAGTGTTCTCCCATAGAGCAAGGTTTGAAAGTTGTGCAATGGTGTAAAATACTGACATTGATTCAGCAAGATGTCTTTGTAATGGCTTTCCGGATGGAGGGAAACAAATAAATAAAAATCAAGCTTCAGAATTCGATCAGCATCAAATTTGGCTTGGTCAGCCCGCAAGTCTTCAACCCATGCACCAAATGCTGCCTGGAGCGATTTGACATGGGCATTTTTTGCTTTGTCCTGCTTGTCCTGCACGTACTCCTCGATGAACTCACCCCGGATCTTCAGGGAGCGAAGTGCAGCTTTTCTTCAACCCTATGAATATTTGATATCAGATGAGTAACACTGATCCTAAATTAACTAAGCTTTTTAAGTGGGTTTCCGTCTGTAAGCGGTTTTTTTTACTTGGATTTGCGGCGTGCTTAGTTTGGGGTACTTTGGGGTTAAAAGGACGCACGCAAATCCAAGGAAAAAAAAATGTAAAGTGCAGCTACTTGCTGCTATGCTTGACCATGGGGACGCCTCCAGAACGAAGCTGATTCGCTCCCAATCAAAGTTCTCAGCTGCTTTCAGCACAGCAGTCAAATCTGCATCGAGCAGCCTGGGCACAAAAAAAGAAAAAAAAAGATTTCCCCGAAAATCACAAAAAACCCAATCAAACTTCCAACATGTTTTTTTGCTCCCAAGTTTGATTGGGTTTTTAAATTCCCAATGAAAGTTCCCCAGCAGGTGGAAAAACCAATCAAACTCCAGAGGTGGTTTCCAAGACCCTGAGTTTCATGGGCTCTTGCGTAGATACTCTAAGTTTGATCGGTTTTTTAAATTCCCAATGAAAATCTTAACCAGAAATCCCATCCCAGATTTTGATTGGGTTTTCATGGTCTTGCTATAAATAGGTTTTTACTCAGCCCATGATCCTTCAGATGAAATCTTGCGGATTGCGACGGGTTTTTTAAAAACCCAATCACAATTTCCAAGTCCCAGCCAAAGATTTTCGGCGACCCTTGATGAAATATCATTGTTAGCCAAAGATTTTCGGCGACCCTTGATAAAATCTCATTGTTAGCCAAATGTTTTCGGCGACCCTTGATAAAATCTCCTTGTTAGCCAAATGTTTTTGGCGACCCTCGATAGAATCACATTGCTAGCCAAATATTTTTGGCGACCTTGGCCATGAAGTAAAGGTACTTGGTAATGCTTCCAGCCAGTAAAATAACAATCATCAATATCTTGCAAAGAATAGGCACCCTTTGAAGAACAGCTTCTCATGCTTCTCCACAACTGGGGCTGGGAAGTTCTTGGCCAGCTTCGGTTGGAGCCAGATCCACAAACAGGCAATGTCATGTAGAAGGTAGTGCGATTCATCATCCAGCTGCGCTGCTTTCTGCAGGGGGCTGAACCCAGATTTGTTTTCACTATCATTATGTTTTAATATATCGAACAATTTATGATATAAAATTAAAAAAAAAAAACATACCGCCCAACACATCACCCTACCCAAAGTGGATGGCAGTCCTTGGCCTTCAAGGTAGCTTCAGGGCTTGCTCGTCTGGAGAAGTCCTGGGTGGAAAAGTTGAAACTTGGCGTGGTGTTGCTCCTCACATGTGGAAAACTTATGTTTGACTTGACATTATTTTACTGATGTTGGGGCCCTGAATTTCAAAGCACTGCTTTCTTGGGCATGAATCATCTGCAGCTCGTTTCATGTAGAGCTCCGCTGTCTCAGTCGTTGTGGTGAGGATCTCCGTGAACATGTCATTCCCATGATACTTCTGAGATTCTGCACGTGTTGTAGACCCTGGAACCCAAAAGTCTTGTGACAAGATCTCCAGAGGCAATCCTGGCCAAAACATCTTGCCTTTCCGAATCATACTGACTATAAATGCGTGTGTGAACAGTTTCTTTAACAAACATCAAGTTTTTTCCTATGGTAAAAGGCAACAGTCTACACCTGCCTGACTGCTGGTGAGGATACGAGTCGTAGTGGCGGTGGATCATATCGATCAGCGTCTTGTTGCACCTCAACCTTGGGTGAGCTTGCAGTGGGTGGCTTGGCAGATCTGGCAGTAAAAAAGAAAAGAAACAATACTTCAAAATTTGAGACTAAGAAATTAAGAATTGTCTATTCCCAAGTGGTGTCAAAAGACAAGTTGAACAGCAAGTTCTTTCGAGCTCCGTCAAGACGGTGTCTCTTCACCGTGGTCATTTTGTTGTACTCAGCGCAAGTCTTTGCGAGCAAGTCTTTCAAAGTAGCCTTGCCACGGCCCAGTCTCTTTTCAACTTCAATAGCCGATTGGATATCTGCAAACATGTGGATAGGGCTCGGGGCTTGTTTTTCGCTGGTGATCCATCCAAGTTCTTAGCGGTTCATAAAAGACCCCTGAATCCGAACAAAACATAACAAAACAACACCCAAACAAATTACTGGCTTTGGAATCTTGTGGGCAATGGAGAAAAATCAGTAACATTCAGTAACCCTCACCATCAAGGAAATAAGAAAATCACAGCCAAGATGCTCAGCGAGTTCAGAAAGTGATGCCCTGGGTTCCCGAAGTGCTCGTACGTGCACCGGATCCACTTGAAACTGTTGAACGTTGGCGCCAGCTCCTTTACCTCAGCCTCTGAAAGGTCCAATTCAGCAGCAAAACCGATTATGCTGAACATCAGGATCACTTTCGTGAACCCGTCTGATATTCCGACAGAATATGGTTCCAAATTCCTAGAACCATCTCCGTATGGAAATTTCGTCACGATTGCGTCATGAGCACTCTTGTACCCGTTCTGGGCAAACTCGCGGAAGAACAGGCTGCACTGGCTGTTGTTCGGGAAGTCTGACAGGGAAGCGAGACAACAATGTTTGATACGTACCCCAACATCACACAATGCCATCATCACATTAACATCATGGGTCACCATCAAATACGGACCATTGTTTCTTTCAAATGTGTTTCAACTCGTTTCTTTTGGAAAAGCGGCACCAAAAAAATAGTGAGCCAAGGTACAGCCATTCTTGGACTTGGCCGAGAAGTCAAATGCATCCAGCGGCAGCCAGAAGTCTTTGACCGAGGAGTTTGGGACACTTGTCAGGACAGGATGTGGAGGAGTGATATCAGGAATAAGAGCACCAATGCGGTTCCAAACCTCACCAACGATTAATACGGTACGGTTATCAGCCCTGAAACCTTTTTGTTTATCATCAGTTCAAATCAGAAAATAACGAAGACAAATGATAACAAAAGATTGGTTTCACTGTATGCCAAGCAACGTTCGTCATCTTGGCATGGTCATCAAACACTGCATTCAGGTGCTCCCCCAGATTCTTGGAAGCCACAACCTATTGTGCTGAAAAAACAATTGCATAATATTGTGGTGTATGAAAAATAACAGGGTTTTTTAAACAAAACAGGTTTCAGTTCCAAGTTTGGGCCAGGAACTGTCTCCATGTAAGCGCACAGCTTGTCAACCACAGCAGCGAATGTTGTGGGCACCTCATCCTGACAATCCTCCATGTTGGATAAGGCTGATGGTGCAGGTTCTCAAATGCAAGCACCAAAAGCCCAGAAGCCAGTAGATATAGAATGATATAGATAATAAAGTATGCAATCAATATCAGATATATTATAATTACTTATTATATAATATATTTAATATTCAAAATGTATTATATACACCAGATCTTTATACCAGGATATGACCCGAGGATTGTGCAAAGTGCTCATATTGATTTGTAAGTTGCTAGCAACGATTATAACGGTTATATGTATTGCGTTTTCTGCTGGAGGTTGTGGTTTTCAATCTGGCCTTGGGTCATCTCGGGCCGAGAATAAATGAACCCAGATTCAGATTGCGCGCAAGGAATCATAAGCACTTCTCATTGTCATGCAAAACTCTGCAAGACCAACTAAAGACTTTTGACAGATCACATCTTTGCCACCCCTTGCAATGCTGGATATCCCCAAGCTTCTCAACATCTTGTTGAAACCCGAACCCTGCTGAGCATGACTTGGTTCAGCCATGTCCCCTATTTCGGTGAAACACAACCTGCAAAACATGCGGTTTCGGTCTTGGAGCTCGATCTCCCAGATTGAATTGGCACCAACGTTGGCCACAACGAGCAACATTTCTTAGAAATCGAATCTGCTCATATGGCTGCAAAGCCCTATCCTCCTGCAGCAAGCTCCTGTAGAAACCCACTGCTCTCTGCATGTGAGGAAAATCCTCTGCAAGCTCATCTGCCAGAAGTTTGATTTCCTCCTTTCTTTCAGGAGAAAGCCACGGTCCAATAGTAGGTGCAGAATTTGCATTGGCCAAAAAGTGCCTCGACTCACCCACCAAGGACTCGGGTAAAACAAGTATTGGATTCTGTTGCAAGAATCCATCCGACATGTACTGACGGACCATGGCGAAAACGTCCAACTGATTCTCATCCTGCCTCAATCTTGCAGGAATCTGTTCATCCATTTCCAGATCCTCACCCGACGGAATGCCTCTCAGGGAACCAATCTCAAAAAATAAGCATTTGCAAAAGGGAAACAAAAAACACCAATCCATTTTTCAAGATTTGGTTTCGCTAATTATTTGAATCCAGATTGAAACACAACATGAAAGTTGAAACAATTTTGACATCTTGTGTGGCCTTCCCGTGGGATGAAAGTAAAGGACTGTGGAACTTTTTTCTGTTCTTCTCCTCTTTTCGCTTTCCGGTCCCGGTAAGCATTCTTCAATGTCACCGACTGTGGAAGAATGCTGACCCAATCACGAACCTGGTTGCATAGGCAAGATACCAGCAAAGATAAATTGAAACTTTACCCCTTCCCCGGAAGCAAAATACGAAACCTTTCCATACCTTTCCACAAAAACATACATGCTATCTCTTAAAGCTTCTAATTTATCAGGAAAGTGTCTTGGTCCACCCATATGGTCTTGAATAACATCCCTTGCTGACTGAACATGGGTTCCAGCTTCTTGTCGATAGCAGACATAACATCACGTGGAGTAAGGAGAACTGGTGCAGAATCCATTGCCCTTTTCACTAACGACAGCACAGCATCCACGTCCTCATGGGTGTGACCCACTGGCAGGTGGCTGTGATTGCAAACCGAGAATACACGGTTTTGGCACAATGCCACCATCAATCGGCTTGCATTCCCGTTTCGAATCTCCTAGGATGCTCAGATACATCTTTCCAAGAAAGTACCAATCCATTCTTGATGATGCAAATGCAATCCATAATCAAACACATTAAACCACCCTCCCACCCAAAAAAATGCTTTTGCATACAGGAATCCTTAACGGTATTATCGCTTTGGAGCTGAAACCTGGTTGGCACATGGAACCCTTCCCGAAAAGAAACAAACAGTTCAGACTGACAAGTTTTAAATTTCCACCAGGCTGCTCACAGGGGAATGTGAGATTCAACTCCATAGCTCGGGCATAGACAAGGTCCAAAGACCGTAGTACCTTTTATTCTTGGAAAGCTGCCGCAAAACAAAAACTTTCCAAAAAAAAACGGATCCATCGCATAGACATTCCAAAACATTCAAAGAGTGGCGAGGAACACACTCCCAGTTCCAGTTTGATCCTTCGCTCAGTGCTTCTGAAGAAAGATACATGAAGCAACCCCAGCCATGGCAGATAACTGCCGTTAACGTCAGGTAGGTACCTCGTTTTTTTTTCAAAAAAAAACATCAAAACAACAAGAATACACCATGTGGTAAAACAAACAACACAACACAAAATAAAACTTTTGTCACAACTTAAAATTCAACAAAAAAACTACTACTAGCCCAGGCTCGACGAGTCTCCTCATAGATGCTCTTTTTTGGCGCACGGCCAAAAGGAAACCGGGGCAAACTCAATTTCGCCTTGTCATAAGAATCGATGATTACACTTACCAAGCCTTCCTTAGCCCGGCTGTACTCACGATGCATCCAGTATATTTCACGATCACGAAACTGCTGTGTGCAGTGTTGTAGCAAGGCGTCACATTCTCTGGCGTGAGTAGTGAAGTCCTTTGATGGACTTCAAACATATTTTCCTTAGAAGCCCTAGCAGTTGAGGTGAGAACCAAAATTGAAAATGGGAGCATAAACCATGTGCAATTTTGGCAACAAAGTAACCTCTGCTGAGTGAATCCGTGATCGGAGCTCCATGCATGTTTTGCACATGCTGTGGGTGCTTTTTTTGTGAAATCGCATGCACCCGGACCAGCCATCCCGGTATACCTTGTAAAAGGTGCTTCTGCAAGGAACTTCTTCACCTTTTGCTTTGCACCATGCAGTGAAAAGTAAAAACAGGTTGGCGACATTGCCATGAGGGAGTTCCCTGATAGGCAGCACTGCAGGATCAAAGCGATCTTGGATTTGCCCAATCGGTCCTTATTTTCCGGACAAACGATTTTTGAAAGGTTCAATCAACCCTTCAAAAACCGCCCTTCAAGAAAACAGGTCCCCATGTTGACCTTCTTGTAGGGAATCCTTTTGACACACCTCGTGAAAAAAGTATGTTGAAACAAGTGCCAAGTGTCCAAGCAACGACTGGGCAACCAACCGACGATGCAAATCAGCTCGTAGCTTGTCATCCGAAGTGTTCAGCATTGACTCATTGCCAATCCTTGGGTCTTAGATACCCCATATTGTCCATATATATGATATAAAATATATTAAATTATAATATATAATATATAATGTATACCATAGAATATAATATATAATATGTAATATATAATATATAATTTTTAATATATAATATATAACATAATGAATATTATATATTATAATATTATATATTATATATTATATAGTATATATTATATAATAAATATTAGATATTTATATTATATATTTTATATTATAGCTCGGTAGGTGGTAACCTTGGGGTGAAAACCATTGAGCCCGTAAGTTTTGTTCCAAGTTTCTTTGTGGTCATTGACTCACCTGCGGTCCAGTAAAGATGGATAAAGAAAGCCCTTACAGTGGCACTTTGCACTGCAGGTCGAACTTTGGCCAATCCTGCGACCAATGCGTCAACAACATTCAGGCACTATGTGGTTGAATGTGGCACTGGGTAGGTTTCAGTTCTCAAACGTAAATCCCCAACCCAATCCAAATGCTGATTACAATTTGATTATGTTTTTTTATTTCAGACTCAATAACTTTGGAAATTTAGTGGGAAAAATAAGACAAGTGTCCACATTTCCACTGCCGCTCATCTTGTCCCCGGTGGCGACGCTTTGTGCGGCGCAGCCTGTTTTTGCCCACACCCAGCAAACGCAACCAACTCTCTCGGCACACACTGTAGCCTGGCAGGGTGATTGAGCTGACGAAATTAGAATTTATTGTCATTATCATTGATTTTGATGGTTCAATTTCAGTACAGCCCAGTTAACAATAATAAATCCCAAACAAGTGTATCAAACTCAAGTCCAACCTTCAAAGTCATAGTACCTTTTGCCTCGTCCAGTTGATTGTAGCGACCACAATATTGCATCTTGTGCGGCCTTGGCCAGTGCCCAAAAGGCCACACATATCTTCACCATCACTTGGTATGGAACTTTACATTGGCAGCTGCATTGGGGCGATTCACAAGCTTTTTTGATGCGCCGTTTGTCACGCCCATTTCTCGAGTAGACATTTTTGGTGGCATCTTCATCGACTTCTTCAGTTGCCACCCCATGGAAGCTCTGCAAACGCGCCAGGGTGAGGCTAACATTGGATGCTTCATAGGATAGGTTTCCATCATCATCCGAATCTAGACTCCTCAGGATTGGGCCAACCCCCAGGACCACAATTTTTCAGTGAATTCTTACCACCGAACATCTTTCTTTGGGTGCCATGGAAACATTACGTAGTATATTTTGATTTGACAAATAGCATTGAATAATATATGATCATGAAATTGTTTCCCAAGATAGCTTTCTGGGTTCCTAACTCAAAAAGTTTTGTTTCCAAAATACAGGATGCCAAGTAGCGAAGAATCTTCTCCAGATTCCCCTCCAGAGGAAGTTGCTGGTTCATCTGATGTTTCGTCGTAGCGCCACGGTCCAGCAGGTCTTTCACCATCACTTGCATCATCGGAGTCCCACCGGTGCAGGACAGGCATTGCTGCATAAGCAGGGTAGATAGAAATTCACAAAGTTAAAGTGTATTGCAAAGTAATAACACCAGCCAGTGACCAATCTATGAAATGTTTAGAACAGACTATTGAACATTTTGTGGGCGTGGGCATTTTGGCTGAAAAGGAAGCCATACTCTCCATCAGGAAATATGTTGTTTCCTTCACTCTTGCCTTGATTTGCATTTGGCAATAGTTCAGCATTCAACCTTGATGCAGGTATTTATTTGGCACCAGTCCCCAAAAAGTTTTTTCCCTGGGAAGGCCAGTCAAACGTGTTTGGGAACAGTTTTGATATGAGGCATACCCTTCCCACATTATATAACCTACAAAGGTCCCACTCATTGATTTCACAACCATAGAATTTTACCAAGCCACCACTGGCAAGGGCATGCAAAGACCCATTCATTTTTCCAAGCCTTTTCATGTCAATTTGACAAGTACCGGGCCATGAGCGCTGGATCTGCAGCCTTCATCGTCATGATGGTTGCTACAGCAGCAGCTCTTAAAGCAATTGCATTTCCACCCAAGCGACATAACTCCTTAGATTCAGATCATTATAGGTCATTGGTTATCGTAGCTATTGAACAGGTATTCACATCACCAAATCAATTAAGATAATGCTGCTGCCATTGCAAGCAAAAAGGAAATACTTGCCACCTAGGAACATGCTGGCTACAGCAATCACTTGACATACGGTGCATTGGCACGCCCATAAGGATAAGAAATTCGGTGCCTCATCTGTGTGCAGGACATTGGCGAAGAGATGTACTGAGACATACGACCGGGAGCTGCGAAGTCATGGGCTGAATGGGAGGTACTGCATGTGGCAATTGCATACTGTCCACAAATTGCAACCCAGGTGCCCGTCAAATACCGTTGCAAATCACCAATCAGATAACGGCCAGAGGGCCTTGGGGCAAAACAGTGAACTTCTTTGAGACTTGTGTTTTCTGTGTTCATAAACTAACTGCTGAATGAACTCTTTAGGCCCCCACGTAAGCACACACAATGGAGCTCGGTGGCCAAAGACTGGGTTCATCCTGTAGATGTTCTGGCTTGTGTTGACGGCTTGTGGGCGGCCATGACGGTACAAGATCAAGTCCAAGGCCTGCATGAAGCCAAACAGGGGCTTTTTAATGTTTCATGCTCAGTTGTGGTGACCCAATGTGACCCAAATCAATGTTTCAGTTTAATACGAGCCTTTTCCTCGCGTTTGGTGGGTACTTGTTCAACAGCTTCAGGCATCATACGTTGCAGTGTCCCTCTGGCTAACCTTTCCTTAGATTTGACAAGCTGGCCAGGGATGGAAAGTTATGAAAATATAGCAAGACATGAATGTTGCTGTTCAGTGTAGTTCAAATTATAGCCAAGGGGCCGGAACCTCATTCTCCTCAGCCCATCGAGTGTGCTGCTGCTTCCACTTTGGATCAGCATTCCTTTGATGCTGCCTGAGCTGCAGATTGGAATGGGACTGATGGCACATTATCATCACCCGCTTCAGAACGTGATTGTTTCCTAGTACTGGGTTTTAAAAAAGTATATCAAAATTGTTTGTTTGGCAGAGCCAAGTGGCCTTTCACGAGCCAAGTTTTTTTTCCTCAACTGTTGTTTTGCTTCGATATCGTCCTGAACAGTCTGGCTCCAGTTGTCCAAGAGAAGGTCCTTCCTGGGACAGTGTGGATGGGATGATGGAAATGTGCTATCAAATTCAAAACTGTGAGTTTCACAAAGTCCACGAATTTCAGACTGCTGGTGCCAAGTGGCCAGTGCAGGTCCAAAAGTATTCTCAATCTTTCGCGTGTAGCCTCACAGAAATCTTGCAGGTGGCCCCTGACAGATTGGTCCATGATCTCCTTCAAGATCAAAATAATGAAGACCCGCCGTCGTGTGATAGGAGAACCATGGTCAAGCCTCATGGATTGTATTGTTGCTGAGGTATATGCTGTTAAAACAAGACACACAAAGAAAAAACATATCATGTTGAAAAGTGATGGGCATACGTTAAAGCCAGGTATCGGATCCAGGATGAGCCATGCAACCTCATACCTGGGACCAGCTTCAAATATGAACATGTTCAATGTTTACATATGTTTGACGTGATTGTTGTTCCAAAAACATGGCAAAAAAACATCAAAGCCAATCATCATTCAAGATGAGATTCTCTGGAAGATTTTCCGATATGTGGGCCAGCACCCGATCGATAACACGGACAAATCCCAGCACATTTTCAAGCCAACAGGTCTCAGTTGCATGAAATTGTTTCCAAAGATCAAGGCACAAATCACTTCAACCGAGGTGAACCACGACAAATTATGACAACTGTAAAACATCTAAAATGCAAAGAAGTAGCAGCAGGTCGCATGACTTTGATGTTGTTCAAGCACTGCCACATTTGGCGACTATTGGCATCTCCAAGCATCGCCGAGCCCGAATGCAAACAAGAAAATGGGGTACAGGGGAATCCTGCTGTGTAGAGGGCAATACGCCCGCGAAGGTCGTTGACACAGTGCTGGAAGATGTTCCTCCCTGACCTGCAAAAATGGAAACCAAGCAGTCTGAAATTGTATTTTTTTTGCCGTGTCAAGTTTCACCAACTGATTTTGCCGTCAAGCAGCCGGGCTGGAGCAGGCAAATTCCTTTTTGCAATCTCCGAGCTCCTTTATGAATCTCAGTTCTTGACCTGAGTCAGAAAAAACAGAAAAATCCATTCGAACTGTCTATTTTTTTGTAGCCTGGATTAATTACGATCGAGGTGCATATATTTCACACGCGGGTTCTTTGGTGAAGCGGCTGCAAGCATAAGCAAAGCCATTAGCGGCGTGTCGATCCCAGAACCTTTCAAAGTCAAACCCCGGAAGGTCAGTGGCGTATCACATAGGGATGTCAGTCACTGCTGTGTCTTGAAAATTCTTTGAAGTGTTGATCCAAGTGACAGTCGGATGCATAGGTGAAATCCCCTTTGAAGTAGCGCCAGAATTGGGCAAGGCCTGGATTAGTAAGGGGAACTGTCTATGTTGCAAACATGTGCTGTCAGCAACACACACACACACAACGACAAGATGTTCACATGGCTGACCAATTTTTATCTCCAAGCGTCCTCCCATCAAAGAAAAATCCTGCCCAAATTCCAGAAAGCTCTGCTGCTCTGCAGATAGCTCCTGAGAGGGCATGGTTGGCCTGTTGTGGGAAACTAACGGAAAATTAACATTATTCTTGAAACAAAACAGGCAGGGTAGTTTCTGTTTTGGAACCCAGTCCTCGCAAAAGAAATTGGATAGCGATTCTTCAGATGATGATTCATCATCCTCCAGGCCACCCATGGCTTCATCAGACACATCTTCACTATCTGACATCCGCCATCTAGGCATGGCGTCAGGAAAAAAAATTGAGCCTGCACAGCTTCTGTTTGGGAAGGGCCGGTTTCAGATTGCAAAGGATCCAGTTTGAATTGCAATTGCATATATATATATATATGCATGTGCACATTGCATATTGGTATATGTTTGTATGTTAGTGAATGACAGGTTTTTTCCCAGCATTCTGGTCATTTGGCAGCTTTTGGCTGAACAAAGTGTCAGCCACGTCGGATGGATTGGAAGTTCACTCACGGAGCTGGGGGAGGTTGACATGTGGAAAATAACACCATGGGAGGATGTGAAGATGAGAACCAAACAAACAAATAACTAGACCGCCCAAAAGATTCTTTGCGCATGATACAGTAATCATGATCAGAGTGCTTGAAGTATAGTTTTTGTATACTGTTGCCAACTATTGGGTGATTTTTGGAGTTCATGTTGATAATTCCTGCAACGAGCAGATGTGAATGCGTGCTATCTAAGATGGCTAGCTTCACATGCGGCTTCAAACCCGCTTTCTTACCTGGGGTAAATATTAAACAACATCAAATGATCGAAAATATGGCTTCATGAAAATGTCATCTCAACTATTGATTTTTATTCTGCTCCTTTTCCGGACCTTCACCACTTTGGTAGAGAGTTTTGACACATGTTTGGATCATTCTGGATCCATATATGCGAAAATAAATTTAAACCTGCGTGAATTCCAAAAACATGAGCAGAAACCAAAGATCTAAATCATTCTAAATCCATTTTTTTTTTCTTCGTGTTTCACATACAGATTTCCCACTTCCACTGTTAAACATCGCCCTAACATCCCATCTCCCCGTCTCGCCATGCGGTGCGTGGTGTCGCGCCTGCCATGTGGGCGCCGCTGGAAGACGAGCATGGGAAGAATGCAGCTGCGACGGATGGAGTTTGAAGAGAAGGCCTACCCCAGGCGGAACGGTTCCGCCGCTGGTGGTGAGCTGTTGGTGGTGGATAGATTTCAACAGAGAGAGTGGCCCCATAATATTCCCGAGTGATGGGGGTTTAAATGTCATGATTCTATCGCTACGCCCATACAAGTAATTTCATGTGCACCCCCAAGTGGGGTGTTTGTGGGGTCTTCTAAAACCGATTTTCCGTTTTGGATGGGATCAGGCAGTTGCCAATGGGGTGATTGATGGGTGAATGTGTGGTTTGAACATGTTGGAGTTAGGATGCCTAGGATGCTTAGGATGCTTAGGATGCTTAGGATGGTATCATGATGGTCCGATGATGGGGTTGGAAGAATCATTCCAAAATCATCCAACAATTCAGGAGAATTTTGACATTCAGCATAGCTCAGCCAGATTGATGGGGCTGTGTTTGGATAATTTGAGTTCGATAAGTAGTTTGAGGGATTATGTTGAAGCGTTTTTTTAGATGGATGGCCTGTTGTTTCGCGACATATCTGTATACGTGTTGATGAAACCATGTATATATATATATGTCATGTAGTTGTGTTTATGTATGCACCATGATAATAGCACATACATGTATATTATCCAATTTATATCTGATGTTTCCTGACCAGGCTGGCCACACACGAGCCCAAGCGTTTGCCACGAAGGGGCCGGCGGGGCGGCTGGATGCAAGATCCACAGATGGATGTGCCTGGCCCAGGTGATCCACGGTTCATAGGGCTCTTCTAGGGATATTATATGGAAATGATAGGGAAATGATAGGGAAATGATAGGGATATGATAGTGATATTCCATATAGAACTGGATTTATAAACCGTGAATCAAAAAATGAAGCACTTCGATGGGCGCTGATCACTTGGGGGCCATTCTTCTAGCGTGGAACAAGACGCCTGGCTTTGAATCTGATGGCCGTCGCTGGGCTCCCCCAAAACAAGATCAACAAGGCCTGCATACATTTGCATACCCTCTGGTAAATCTGGTAACTTAACATAGCTATTGAACATGGCCCATTTATAGTTAATTTACCTGTTAAAGATGGTGATGTTCGATAGCTTTTTGTATGTTTACCAGAGGGTAAACCTCCATTTTCCATCATTTTCCTATGGTTTTCCAACCGGCAGGTCTGAAAACCCGTGGGGGATCACCTCCCCACATGAGGTGCCGAAGTATGATGGAACCAACTCGGCTCAAAGACAGTGGTGACGGGGCGGACACCACGACCATGGCCAGGGCGATTGGCGGGGTGAGAACCCCCTCTGGCTACGGTTTGCTATGGAAAACGCTTTTTTTTGATAGACACATCATCATAAATCATCATAAATCATGGATGTTCATGGTCCATGTGAAAAATCGCTATGCTAACAAAAACAGAGGGTAATTCAAATGTATTCAAATGGACATGTTGGAAATGGTTCTCTTCTATTTTGTGGGCAGAGCTTGATGCCTGCGCCAAGATAGAAGATGAAACAACGGATGATGGATTTCACTGATTTCGCTAATTACTGAAATGGCATGTCCATGGTGAGAGTTTTTCTATGGCTTGCATGCATTTCCCCCAAAAAGCATACTTCTCCGTGAGGTCTGGATTTGCCTATATTGGCCTATCCAGAGTTCTGCACTGGGCGAAGGCTAGAAAAGAATAGAAAAGAGGCATCTAATAGAACCTATATAGAACCTATAGCTTTCAACTTGAAGGTTGGGTCATTCTTTTGGGAACAAGGGACCTTTCGGGAACGTACCAGGTGGGAGACTTTCCACTTGACATCCTCTTGACATCCATTTCTTTTTCGGGACGCGGATCTGGCGGATCTCTGGCTCAGCCACCGTGACAGCATTGTAGCGAAGCCCACAAAGATATAAGTTCTATAAAGATATGGAAAGTAAAATCCTGCTGAAATATGCTGAAATATTGCAAATGCCCGTTACCTTTTCTTTCTTTCGTGGGTTGCTATACTGCAAAAAGCTTAGGTTTGAGGTCCGCAAAGCTTCCATCGATGAGGAGTTCGTCTCGAAACTTCAAGCAGACACCGCCAACATCCAGGAGATGGCGTTGTGATAACAATTGTTTCACGTGTTACCTCAAGAGCCTTTCACATCATTAACTGGTTGGTGGTTTGGAACATTTTTTTATTTTCCCCAATAGTTGGGATGATGATCCAATCTGACTAATATTTTTCAGGGAGGTTGAAACCACCAATTAGTATTGATTGGATCATATGAATTACATTCATAGTACGGAATTGCGGGTGTTTTTTTAAATGAAAAGGGGCATTGTTTGTGTGGCAAGGGAAAAACTCCTCCTTTATTGGGATTGTTGTGTAAGCCAACCAACTGTTTTATGGAGCACTCGGTGGGGCCGTTGGGCTAATGTCCCACCTGGTGGAAGGGAATGCCTTCAAAACAACCTGGCTACGAAGAGATACAAAGGGTGTCTATAGTTGCATCCAAATCTAGGATGAGGAACAGTAGGATTACATGAGTATTACTGGATATACATGGATATACATACTGTGATGTAACTGGATCAGAACGAGAACATATTTGCCAAAGGTTTTTTCTCCTAACAACCAATTGCATCCACATCCACGTGTCCGAATGAACGCCCGAAGACTCATTGTGGCTGCATGATTCGATTTCAACAGAGAGATAACCCATCCTGTAGAATGTTGATATTCTTCATCACGTTGGTGCAGCTTGGGAGCCAGGTTGTTTTTTGTGTGTGCTTTTTTTCTCTGGATTCAATGACCTGGTTCAAACAGTGAATTTCTCACTTGGCAAAGTGGCACATGTTGCTGCATGAACCCGACACTGGTGTTTATTAAGACAAAACTTCGAATCTCAACGAAGATTTCTGAGCTGGTGGTTTGGAACATTTGGATTATTTTTCCGTGTGTATATACATATATATATATTATATATATATACATATTATATATATATATGGAATGTCATAATCCCAACTGACGACTCATATTTTTCAGAGGGGTAGCTCTACCACCAACCAGTGAGCCCTTCCCAGTGCTCGATGGTCATCAATCCATAGGGACTAGACATATAGATATCATATCCCTACCCCTATCCCCAGCATGACCAGATACTATATGTTATATACATTTATATACGGTAACCCATCTGAAGTAGATAGAATATGAAAGTTTCAGAGATCTCCCAATTTTTGGTGATGATTTTTGTTCGAAATGTCCATATTCAGGTATATAATCATATTCTATCTATTCCAGGATGATCATGAAGTCACCCATTTGTAGAATTCTTCCATTTTAAAGAGCCAAAGAAAGGCTAGAGAGGGAGAGAGAGACTTATATATATATATATGTGCTTATATATGCACCATATCTAATATCAACCAAAAAAGGTGATGTTTCACTTTTCCAATGGAACATACACCATCATTTGGGGAATCTATAGCGCCTAACGCCTATAGGGAAAACGTCTATTTTTTGTAGGGTTCCTTTATAAGCAAATCCAAGATTGTTTATAGGTAAGCCCTCATGTTTATCATCTATAAATGGGCCATGCCTACATGTTAAATAACCAGATTGTCCTATTTCCAACTATTAAGCCATTAATTTATCATATTATCCCTGCTATTTTTAAACCATTTGCTATTGTCCCCATTCCCCCCGTGATTTCCACCAGGAGATTTTGGACCAGCACCTGGAGGCCATGGACCGAGTGAAGGTGGCCACCCCTCCAGCGGACTCCTTTCGTCTGCCGCACATCCAGCGCTTGGCCAAGACGCCCAAGGTGAACCCGGTCCACGAGGCGCACCGTGGAACCTCGCCGCCGGTGCATGCGCCGCTGCAGCCGGAGATGCCGGAGTGGCTGGGGTTGGAAAAGGGCTGGGTTTTGGTGGAAAAAAAACAATTCAATTTGGGATTTTACTGTAACCCAGGGGGTTATTCATCCAGGAATGACATTAAGGGGTGTGGTGCAAAACATGGCAGAATTCAGATAGAGTCAGGAGATCAAGTGGACAAAAAGGGGCCATAGTGGATTGAACCATGCGCCCTTGGAATGACTAACTTCAATGGCCTGTTCAAAACCATTCGTCGGTTGTGGGTTTCTGGGATTTTCCACTATGATGGGCCCGGACTATTTGCAGACAGGGTCATTTCATCCCAATGAATTCTTAATTCTTAGACGCCCACATTTATGGACCATTGAAACTCCATTTTAACGCCCATTCTGGTAGGTTCTATACCAATATATAGTTGTTGGCTTCTCATCTTCTCACCATTTACAGCTCCGCGTATATTTGGGATTAGGGCCCAGAGCACATCAGTCCCCACCAGTGTTGCGCCTGCATGCCTAGTTTTGTTCTTGAATACCATCGTTTCTGCTCATTGTTTACCAATTGTATTCGGAAGTGTTGGCCGACTTATGTATATATATATATATACACACCGTATAATATAATGAATGATATTTATTGAAGTTGATTACATATATAGATATTCATATGTATATGTGCTGTGTTATTCAAATCGCAATTTTGTCAGTGCTCCAGCCCAGATAGGGTTCTAGAGGTTTATTCCAATAATAGTCAGGCGATCAATAGATGGGTTAGCCCGCTCCATGAAGACGAACGCGTGCCAGACCCGAAAGGACATTTTTGGTTTGGGTGATATAAGTGGGTAACAACAGCATTGTGATCCAGTTGCGGAATACCACTATCACAATTTCGACTACAATCGTTAGGTATACTGTAACAAAAAATATTCATTGTTATATATTATATATTATCCCCAGTTGGATTATAGTTTAGTTTTATTATGTTTTATTCATCTCCAGCAGTTAATTAAGTCGTAAGTTAGATCATATATATATACATATCATATATATATACTGTATATATTGTATATTATAGTCATATGTTATATGATTAACGAACTCCTGTAACCAAACATAGATGTGGAATTTCCACTAAGATCGGTTTCCAACCCGGAAAACCTATGGCTTTTCACCGGGTCGGCACCAGATTTCTGGAGACTTCCCGCCTCCAGCGCCGCACGAACCGCCGCGGCCGCTTTATTGGACACCGGGAGGATCGTGTGCAGAACGACGGACCAACGACAGGACCGCGGAGCCTGGGGAGTATCCGATGGTAATGACATGTTGGCTGACAAACGGTTTGCTATTGAAGCCATGGCCATAGAATCATACAATGTGGCCCCCCCAGTTATAAGTATCATAAACCAAAGTTATTGGAGTTATGTGCGCCAACTGAACGCTATCTTGGGGGCCTCACATTGTAGAAATAGTTGATCTACCAATGAAAAATGGTGGATCTTTCCAGTTTGTTGACTACCATCCCCCAGGGAAAATCATGGAACAATCCATGCGGACTTTCAGCTTGTGGAGAAATCGATCCATGGCTGCTGTTCTACGGTGACTTTCTCACTTTCCCAATGGGAAATTTAGGAAATATCGCATTTGGGGAATCTAGATAGGGAATGTATGGGAATGTATTTATATGTATTTATATGTATTTCATGTGTATTTATAAAATTGCCAATGGCTTCATGTTTCATTGGACCCTCCAGTAACGGCTCGAAAAGTCGCGCCCATGGATATTTTCGGATTTTCCCATGACCCGACGTGGGATGATTCTCTAGAAATTGGTTGTCAGGGTCCAAATCAACTGGGTACATTATAACGACCTCACTGTTCTCCCGAACCCTGGAATCATAGTTAATAAGGGGAATCATCCCCAAATGGCCGAACTATTCAGGTTAGTGAAATATTATAATCTACCCAGATGTATGTTGGTTAAAAAAATGTATCAACAGTTCAAACCATTGGCATTGTCAGGGACACATTCCAGTAGGCTTCCCAGGCACTGCACTATCGCTTGTATCGATCATGAAACAGTGTTGCTTCAGTACTTTCAAGTTTGTTTCTCACGCAATCATTTTTGTGTATATACATATATATTTGTGTTTATAGTCATCGACATGTACTTAGAATAACTTTTGGAAAAAACATGTGTTCCCAAGTTGCAGGGAGACTTGTTCTAAGTACTGGTTAGAACATGGGTACTTAGAACAAAAATCAGGTACTTAGACAGAGCACCGAACAGCAGTACTTAGAACTATGGGAGCATGATGTTGTTTGATCTGTGATGAGTGTTGTTTTGGTAAGTTACTTGCGGATCATATTTCTTGCAGCGACATGTCTTCCGCAGTACATATAGCACGATAGTGTATATCAAGTTGATAGTAATGAGTGGGTAGCAACCACGTGCAAAAACTTATTTTAGCTTACAGGAACACATATTTGGAGCATGCAAAACGGTCCTGATATATGAGCTACACGTGGCAGTATGAAGTTGATAGTGATGAGTGAGTTGCAACCACGTGCAAAAACCCATTTTAGCTTGCAGGAACACGTACTTAGAACATGCAACACGTTCGTGATATGAGCTACACGTGGCAGTATGAAATTAATAGTGATGAGTGAGCAGCAACCACGTGCAAAAACTCATTTAGCTTGCAGGAACACGTACTTAGAACATGCAACACGTTGGTGATATGAGCTACACGTGGCAGTATGAAGTTGATAGTGATGAGTGAGTAGCAACCACGTGCAAAAACCCATTTTAGCTTGCAGGAACACGTACTTAGAACATGCAACACGTTTGTGATATGAGCTACACGTGGCAGTATGAAGTTGATAGTGATGAGTGAGTAGCAACCACTTGCAAAAAACATTTTAGCTTGCAGGAACACACACTTAGAACATGCAAATTGGTCGTGATACGAGCTACACGTGGCAGTATGAAGTTGACAGTGATGAGTGAGTAGCAACCACGTGCCAAAGAACATTTTAGCTTTCAGGAACACACACTTAGAACATGCAAATTGGTCGTGATACGAGCTACACGTAGCAGTATGAAGTTGATAGTGATGAGTGAGTAGCAACCACGTGCAAAAAATCATTTTAGCTTGCAGGAACACGTACTTGAACATGCAACACATTCGTGATATGAGCTACACGTGGCAGTATGAAATTGATAGTGATGAGTGAGTAGCAACCACAAATCAATGGCATATGGTCATGCACAACAGGTATTCGCACCTGAATATACAATATCGATAGAGCAGCAGCATACTCATATGATATATGTGGATGTTGTAGCCGAACTTCTTGATGTGAACCATTCTTTGTCTCTCAAGGGTTGATGAATGTCATGCAATATATATATATATATATACACTGCATATATATGTTCTAAGTACAGGTTTTTTTTTAATTCTAAGTACAGTTATTCTAAGTACTGGTTTTCAAATTTTGGAAAAAGTTTTTTATTCTAAGTAGGAGTCCGTGGCTATATATATATATATGTATCTATTAATACATATATATATATACATATGTATGTATGTAACATGTATATACTGTGTTCCAACATGTGGGCAGTGTTTAAAACCATGTTGCTGGATGATTCGTTCGGGGGACTCTTTTTTCGCTACCAGGACCTGAAGTGCGTGGAAATCGCAAGGCCTCCTGGTTGAGCGACTCAGACAGTGACGAGGCGTGAAGATGGGCTCCTGGACGAGAAAATGGCTAGATACCCTTTGGTAAATCATCATGAATAATTATCACACTTGTTATTTAAGAGTCAATCGTCATTTTTGAAATGGAAAATCATCATTTTTAATGATAATTAAATTACCAAAATTTAAGGATTTGCGATGGAAACTCGCAATTTTTGAATAGGTAAATCATGATGTTTATCATCTACAAATGGGCCATGGCTTCTATAACTATGTTAAGCAAGAAGTATTGATTTGTGGGCCTCATCCGGCTTCACTAGTTGCAAGCTATGGGAATCCAGGACTTCCATAGGATCATGGGATATCTATTGGGGGACCTGCTGTAATATCTGCAATTCTATAACTAGACAAGGTTGAGATTATTGAGATTTAAGCGATATAAAACTAACGACAATTACAATGGACATGTAATTTGGAAAATGATTGATACATAATATAAATGGAACATAAGAGAAACAGAGGGAGAGAGAGGCCAAGAGAGAAAGAGAGAGAAAGAGAGAGAGAGAGAGAAACAAAACAAAAAGAAAACATATAAAAAAACAATGAAAAAACAGGTTATTGTGACTGCAATACTGATTGAAATGTGCTCATGGTAATGAAGGTATATAATCCAGCAAGCAGTGGATAATCATAAGGGACTTCATGAAATTTCTATTGGGGATATTAGCTAATGATAGCTGGTCAACGATCATTTCCACCAGGCCCCCATGGACCACGTTATCAAATATGGCCCAAGATCGGTTTTCGAAGGGTTCCCCAATGAAAAAAAACACAAGACCCCTATTAACAAATGAATGACTCACTTTTTTGTGATATAAACCTATTATAAACGCTTCAAATATTGCCAAACATAATCCGGGAATTGAATTTCAACGGTTACCTGAGATGATATCAAGAACCTTAGTAACAAAAATGAATTGTTGTGTTCAAACACTTCTTAGTTTACGTGTATAATGTTTTCTATGTTTGCAATCATTGCCAGACATTGGTTTATGAATGGTTACCTAACAATAAGACAACTATCCCCAAAAAACAATTGAATCTGGAGATCATAAATCACCACCAAATGCCATTCGTTTTTATTATGAGGGTCCAAAAGTAGTTTCAAAATCTTCAAAGATTGGATTACGGAATTGAAACACCCAACTACTATAGACCAGTCCAAGAATTTGGGGAACCCGATCTAGATTGCTGGTTGGTGGCTTGGAACATGAATTTTATTGTTCCATATCTTGGGAATGTCATCATCCCAACTGACGAACTCCATCATTTTTCAGAGGGGTGGCTCAACCACCAACCAGATATATTAACCATATATCAACCATAGATTAACCATTAATATTAACCATATATTAATAGTATATTGCCAACCAATGGTAGGGCTCAACCACCAACCAGAGATTGTTTTTTTGGGGAACATGTTTTTCACAGAGGGACGGTCCTCCGCAGCTCTCGCAGGAGGCAACGACCCAAGCGGCAACGACCCAAGGCGCACCGCGGCTCAGCATGCTGGACCGGCGGCGGCAACGCAAAGCCGCTGCGGTGCAGGAGGAAGAGGCACCGGGTACCCTCTGGTAAACAGCCACATAACTTTGGAAAATCACAATTTTTAATGGGAAAACTCACTATATATGACCATTTTCACTAGCTATGTTAAATTACCAGAGGGTAGCAGGAAATTTGAGTTGACACCACTGTGTGTCCGACTTGTTTTAGCCCCAGGTTTTTTAGTTTGTTCAATCTAAAGTCATTCATATGATTTTCGAATCGTTTCCCTATAACATGCACCCCGAAAAAACAAGGTGGCGCCTTATACTCAGCGTTCATGCATGGTACATACAACCATACAAAATCTTATAGTTTCCTGGAGTGAAACTAAATCAACACACATTTCCCCGTGGGGCACCGCCTTGTAAAAAAGTGTCATCTCAAAAAGAACGAGTTTAATGGAAACTATGGTTTTTCCATGGTTTTTCCATGGTTCTTCCATGGTTTTTTCATGTTTTTCCATTGTTTTTCCCACATTTCTCCGGAAACCCATGGTTGTTCCAAAGGTTTTTCCCTCCACCGTCCCCAGGCCTCAGACTCGGAGACCGAGCTGATGCCGCCGAACCCGGAGGAAGCGATGGAACCTTTGCGACAGTCGGAGTTGGCGGAGTGGCTTGGATGTTGGAGATGGGAGATTTTAATGTAGCCCCATGCTGAACCTCGCGTGGAGAGAGAGATTATAAATGATTATAATGTATCTTCCAGTTATGGAAAATATTGCAATATTGGGATTTAGCTGTAGCTGTAGAAAAGGCTTTCTTCTTTGGTAAAGAGAGAAAGGGAGAGAGAGAGAGAGAGTGCGGAACATTTTTCACTTTTGCGGGTTGAAGTAGTATGATTATATGATGAATACTACCAGGATACTGGCGGTATATGGATTTGGCTGATGTTATAGCGACCTCGCTGCAACGTCACTGATGTATCTAGGAAAAAAGTACGGGGAAAAATCCTCAACTGACCCAAGTTTTCAGGTTGATGCTTAGTAAAATTCAATACAACCAGATTCATTGCACGGTGATTGTTGAGAACATCCTCAGGTGATCCAACCTGTGGGAAAGATACGTAAGGGCCAACGACTTCAAAGGAAATATAACAATAATAATAATAACAATAGTAATAATAATAATAATATATATATATGCAACTCTCTCTCTCTCTATATATATATATGTATATGGGAACCATGGAGAATTACAGCAAAACATCCTTTTCAAAACACCGAATCGTCATGGATGATTTCAATGTCCATAGCTGATCTGTCGCGTTGCGAGGCTGTGGAGCAGCTATGGAGCTAGCTGGGTGGAGCACAATCGCTGTGTGGTGCCATCCAACTTTGCGGATCCCCAGGACCCGACCTGGAAGACTTGGAAGATCTGGAAGATCTGGAAGATCTGGGCGATGGTCCAAGAACCGGGGAATATGTTGGGAATATGCTGGGAATATGCTGGGAATACTGATGTTTAGTGAAAAGTTTAGTGGTTTAGTGTAGTTATACATATATATATATATATAGATTGATAGTGACTTCACAAAGATGTCAGCAACCTTATGGTGATCAATGGTGATCTTGTTTCAGCTTCGAGCGACTTTTTTGTTTGCTCAGCGACAAAGTCACATGGATGTGTTTGGTGTTTATTGAAGAAATTGCCGATCGATCAAACATGAATCTGAATTGAATCACTAGACATGTTACTGGTAAACCTTGGTTTAGATACTTTAGTACTTTCATTTTTGGCTATCAATGGTAAAATGTACAAACATGTACCAAGCAGCTAAAAGTTTGATTGTTTTAGACGGTATCTACGATCCACCATGTGTTAGTTACAGATGCTGTGCCTATCGCACAGTGCCTATCGAACACACTCCACGCCCCGTGCGGAGGAGTTTGCTGGTTCGACTCTGGATGCCTATGCCCATACCAGGGCTGCGGCTTCGTTGTTCGACATTTCCTTCAAGGTGTGCTTGCAGATCACAGGTGCTCGGATGGGAACTGAACGGAACTTGACCCTCCCAAAAAAGTGTTGTTTCCATCCTCCCGGAGAAGTGACAGGACGCATTTCATCCGCCAAAGTAGTGATAATTAGATTATAAAAAATGATAATCCACAACAGAGCAGTGAAAATCATGGATAAACTGATAAACCCATAATGAAAACATAATTAATCCACAATTTTACCAGGAGTCCTTGGGACTGCATCTGGAACTTGAACATCGCTGAGGTGCGGATCGTGAATTTGTGGCGGATCAATTCTTGACGTGCAACCTCAGAGCCATGCGCAGTGGTGATGTGCAGTATGCACCCTGGCAGTTCAACCACCTGATTGGTTGCTGTTTTTTGTTCAATAAATAAATGAACAAGCAACAAATGTTCCACATATTTCACCATAGAAATCGGATGATCCAAATTGACAGGCATGGTTTTGAGATGGGTTGAAACATGTTGAAACCAGAAACCAGAAGATGTTTGTTTATTTGATGTGTGTTTCACTTTATGTTGTGGGCTCCATCGCCGATGAGCTGAGCCGAAAAGACTTGGCTCTGCTGTTTCAAACCAGCTTCGTGTCGTGGCTATCCCAGTGGATGACGATCCCCTTCGACTTCTATGGCAGAGGGAACATGTGAAAACGTGGAGCTGCTTCTGGTTTCTAAAGAAGCCGTTTTTCCCTTGGCCAACTTGCCATAAACCTATGCCAATTCCTATATGGAGGTTTTCTAAAATGGGGGTACTCCCAGTTATCATCCATTTCTAGATGGGATTTTCCATTGTAAACATTGTAAACATTGTAAACCATCCACAATTTCGGGTACCCCCATGACTATGGAACCCCCCAACCATGGTCTCACCATCCCACCATAAGTCGGAGCCAACGAGGCCTGCGTCCTGGATAGCAAAGCTCTGATCCTGGATGATGCCTTCGTCTTTCTCGAGGACGCAAATAACAGGTATGTGACCAGCGGCTGTTGGTTCGTTGGGCCTGCCTTCAAATCAGAATTCTGAAGTCTTAGTGTTTTGTTGTGATGTTAATATATATATATATATGTTTATGGGATTGTCATGGGATCTTCAGTTGCTCCGTTTGAGTACCAGAGTCTATTTTTCTTTGCGCTGTAAGTGGCGGATGTCAATTCTGGGTGAACGCAGAACCCTCATTGACTAATTATGGCCCTGAGAGAGAGACAGAGAGAGAGAGAGAGAGCATAAAAAAAAGAATGCTTTCATTTGACTGGTAGCCTCCCGAAATGAAACAGCCCAGAGCTTCATTAATCATGGGTAACGGGCTTACATTGTTTGATTTCCACTGCGCTGTATCATATGCATGGTCTCAAGACTTACAACGGTCCCATCTCGCGGTAGCGGATTGTTTGGCTATAAATATGGATTCACTTGTTGAAAGGGGAAAGTATTGCGAAGGACAATCATGTTGCATTGGCTGAAAAGATTGAGAACTGATAATTAAAGGGTTCCCCTCTAGTAATTTATCATGTATTAACCATATATAACTTAGTTTGCTGTGGAATCCGCCCAGTGAGTTGTTTTACATTGATCTACCCTTATCATCCTCTATCAAAACTATGGTCATTTGGGTACGGGTCAAAATTGGCTACCCCCTGATTAGATGGTTAATACTAAACATATACTAAAATGGCTCAAATTTTGACTCATACCCATTTCCATACAACAACGCAACGTTCGTGATCTGCAGGACAATGCTGTGAACGTGCTGACCTCTGGCTGCCATTCCAGGCAATTGATCGACTATTTGGGGCAATATGTGCCTTGGTTTATTACATGAAAACGATAATAGGCAATAGATATACCCTCTGGTTATTTAACATAGCCATGGAAAATGGCCCATTTATAGATGGTTCACCTATTAAAAATGGTGATTTTCCATGGCTATGTATGGCTATGTTAAATAACCAGATGGTATAATGAATACTGTATCATGATAGAGAATTTACCAAACTATACCAAACTGTATTTACTGGTTTGCCCTCTAGTGATTTGTTACAGTTTGCTATTGACAATGGCCATGTAGTTCGTTGATTTACCTATCCAAAATTGTGATTTTCCAGTTCGCTTTTTGTAAGTTTACCAGAGGGTATCCATAGAGGCTTCTCCCCATGAAATTGGCAATAGATCATAGATAAGAATAGATAGTATGCCAAACCAAAAATTACTATTATATAATTAGAGTAGGTAGATGATAGATAATATACCACCAAAAAAAAGACAATCATCCCCTCAACCAATAGGTACAGATATGTAACAATAGATCACAGATAATGTATGGTAATTTTTGAATATATACCAAACCGGCCCGTCTATTTTTCCTAAAAGGACCATATGTGCCTTGATATGAGACACTGTGAAATTTAGTAGGCAGGGGTCTCAAGTGTATGGAACATGCATATTATGCATAAATAATGTTAGCATGCTGGGTATATCCCTTAGTTTGATTTGCTACATTTTTATAATGTTGGTAAAGCAATGCCATAAACCAGCCATATTCATTTATGGTTTACCACCCATAAAATGGTAGAATTGGGGATCGTGGATCCTATAGCTTTACTGACATTACGTTTTCACCATTGAGGTCTTGCCTCTGTTTGTTTTTAGCTTAGGCTCCTTCGGCAGAGGCGAAACATGGCTGAAAAAAACAAAAAAACAAACTCCAACCTTGTTTTTTTTTAGAATGGTGAATTATTTTGAAGTGCCAGGACCTGTCCAGAGGATACCCTCTTGTTGTTCCAATGTTTCCACATCTATGTTGATTTTTTTTAACCCTAGGGCCCTACCGGGAACCTGGTAGGGTATGAATTTCTCAAGTGATTTGGCGATCATCAAATATGACTGAGTCCAGCAAGGTTATCACCAATCCCATGGGATGCCAAGTGGTGCGAAACGACATGGCTGATACAAGATTTGAAGCATGTGCGAACTATTTTGTAGCAAACCCGAAAGAAAAGGTGGAAAGCGAAGAGAAGAACACATGTTATCATTATTTTATTAGGATTTATTGATGTGACGATTGTTATTTTTTTCACTTTAGGGGGGCGCTATGCACGTATTCTTTGTTTATTTTAATCTACTGTAACTTGAATGAACCATGAATCGAAAGTAAAGAACAGTTGAACGTCACTCCCATCCCTCAATTTGTTGACTCATGCAGACCTTGTTTGAAGGCGATGGAGACAGAGAACTCCCATCCCTGAACTGATATGTCTTGAATTCAAGATACCTTCACGAAAATCAACAACTCCTGCTTTCCCTGTAGTTTTCTCTTGCTATTTTCAGAGAAAAGATGACTTTGTAGCACCCAAGGTCGTCTATGTTCGCCGTTCGGGCGCGGATGTGACTCTGAGTTTCCACTCTGGCGAGTGGGCGGCCCTGGCGCTGCAAGGGCCCCAGTCGCGGGAGGCGGGCAGCTGAGGGCTGGTGGAGGGAGATGGGTCTGAAAGTTGAGTGATGTGCTACAGTTATGGCCATGGCTAGTTATATCTAGTTATCCATGGGATTAAAAAAAAAGCATTCCATAAACGGGGCGTTGTTAGTACTGATAAATGGTATTTCAGGCCGTAACTGCAACGCCATAAACCATGAAATTGGGTATGCCCCATACTACAGGATCGTTTATTTCTGGGCGTGCCGCATTATATACACCTTTTTTATTGGAAGGGCAAGAAACTGTAGGCAAAATGATGAAGTATTAAATCTTGACCCCATATACTTTGCACATGGCTCCCATCCAATAGTGAAGGTTGATAGGAAAGTCCCAAGAGTGACCGTTTTGGTGGTTAGTGGCTCCAGGCTGGAGGCTATGTCCAAGATATACTTCCTAGATTTCAAATGGATGAAAAAAGGTCTGTATATATATAAAATATATATATAATATATTTATATATATATATAATGGGCTCAATGCTGTCTTACTGGACAAGTTGCCTGTTAGGCCCGTCGTTGATATACCAAGACTCCGTGAAATCTATTCTTCTTCGCTCAGCTAAACTCCTGGATGGCGATGGAGAGAGAGGTTGACATCTCCAAATTGTTCTTCTTTCATTATGACCCTTGAAAAGGGTCTACTAAGTACAGCTAAGTTTCTGCCCCCGTTCATGCGGTGCTCCACCCTCACCCATCCACACACCATGAAACCGTGGTTTAGTGTTGGACCATATTGGCTCTAATGTGGTTTAGCAAATAATAAACCATCCCCCAAATCACCATAAATAGTTGGTATAGACCATTCCCAAATGGGTGGTTTATTATTGCTTTAACAACATTATATAATAAACCACCATTATATACCACCATTATATAATAAATCCCATCCCCCAATCATATTAGATACCCCATTATATTATATATGTATATATTCATTTTAGGGTTGCATACTGCGGGTATCCAATATGATTGGGGGATGGGATTGTCCCAACCAAATCCAGGTCATTGCTGGACAAACCATGTTTACTGTATACAAATATATTTATATACATAAATGATGTAATATATATATATATACATATATATATATTATATATGCTATATATATATGCTATATATATATGCTATATATATATATATATATGCTATATATATATATGCTATATATATATATATATGCTATATATATATATGCTATATATATATATATATGCTATATATATATGCTATACATTTGTAATGTGTGTATTTAGCTATATGCATATATGTTTATATTCATATATGGAAAGGGATCCCTGGACCCCCCTTTCCCCAGCGTGAGGCGCTAATTGAGGGCTTGAGACACCTCGACTCGCACCAGCTGGTGAACCTCTCAACGACGGAGGAGGTCCCACTGGATGCCTCGGTCTTGAGGGAGATGCCCTATATGAGTGCTGTTGCGGTGAAGGCCAAGACAGGACGCCTTGGTGACAAAAATATCGCGGCAAGAGAAACCAAACAGTGTGTAGTTCGGATTCCAAAGGGAAAGGTAGAAAGGACGCAAAATCATGCAGGACAAGAGCGACCCTGGTATTGAAAGCATGGTGTTCAGTCAAGGTGGTCCCTGGAAGAAGAGATGCCAGGTTAGATTCTGCAAGTTCGCTTTGTGAAGATCTCTGAAGAAGCTCGTGCGCAAGATCTCCTGGACAGGTTCTCTGTCACAGGATCTCTGAGCAAGACCTCTGCTCTCTTCACCAGGTCTCTGGACAAGATCTCCATAAGAGGTCTACTGGCAATATCTCTGTACAAGTTCTCTCTAAGAGCTCTGTTGGCAAGATCTCTGTACGAGGTCTCTTGGCAAGATCTCTGAACAAGCTCTCCATAAGAAGCCTCTTGGCAAGATCTCTGTACAAGCTCCTTATAAGAGGTCTCTTGGCAAGATGTCTGCATCAGCATCCAAAATGCACATGGACATGTCACAAGAGCCACTTGTGTCGAGAATTTACTGGAACAATGTCGCGCTGCAGTCGAAATGCATATGGACAATCGGAATTCATAAGAGCCTTTTTTGGCGAAATTTACAGTGCAAATGCCGGAAGCTAATCCCGGGGCCACCATTTCGTTCGAGCCTGCGCAGTCGAAATGCACATGGACATTTCACAAGAGAGCTATTTTGTGGTGAAATTTACAGGGAAAATGCCCGACGCTACGGATACGATGTCGATCAACCAGCGCGCCTTGACCCTGACAGTAAGAACCCCTTCAGTGTGGCCACATTGTTTGGGGAATTAGGTAATATGGGTTCTGTTAGGGATGGTTTCTGCTCTTGGGTATTTTTGGGTTTGCCTCATAAAGTGAAGTCTCAGTTTGTGTTTGTTCTAAGGATTTTGCGTTTTTTTTCAACGACTATGAATTCAAGTGACATGTTGCTTTGTCGAGTGAAAGATGCCGAGTACAAAGGGTCGTCCCTTGATGAAATGCTATGTTTCATTGGGTTTTGGGCTGACATTGAAGCGAAATATGTTCAACACGGCACCACAAAATGAGCAACTGCCTAGTTGCAGAACTCCAGCCATACTTGGGTCGTCCCCTAGGGTGTGGCTCGTTAGTAGTTCGGATGATAGCCGTCAATAAATTTCACAAGCGAGGGATCATGCCTGCAGACCTCTTGGCGGTTCATTTCCACTAATAAGGGTTATAGTTAAATATATATATATATATTTTTATTTATAACCATGTGATCATAGTTGTAGAGGTTATATCAAGTTGTATTCCCATAAAATTACCCATGAAGAACCCCTGGCCTGCACCGCTCCCTGCCCAGGAGCTTCGCCGGACCGAGTGACGGTCCTGTGCACCGGGATGACGGGAGAAGATGGCTTCGAACTCATCGGCAGTCCACGGTCCTTAATGAAGCTGCATGGCATGTAGAAACAAAAAACGTCCGAATATGGTGCAGTTTTCGACAATTTTTGATGGTTCCGGAGATTGTGCAATTTACACCTTCTGATTCTAGCAGTGATGATGATGATGATGATGATGATGATGATGATGATGATGATGATGAATGTATAGTAACAGTATTTGTCATGTGGTCTATGCAATGTTAAGAGTCAACAAACATACCACTGCAAAATCATGAGTTCGTGGTTGGGTGGGAGCATGCAGCGTTCGACGACAGTCAAACTGAGGAAGCTGGCTGAGAGCCTTCTTTCATTGGAATCCTCTTTAGTGAAACCTGGCGGATTATTTTGCTTGGACATCTTGAGAATGGAGGCCTGGTTGCCCTGTGATGATCCTGGTGCTAACCTGGTTCTGGGTTAGGGGGAGCGAGACATCGTCAGACATCTATGCTCCATGTACAAGCGCTAGCGTTAAGTCGTATCAGCTTGTAAAAGTCGTATCGGGAGGCCGTGCGCCTGGAAAAAGTTCAAGTTTGGCATCACCACAACTTTTAGTAGTTGAACAATTTCAATGTATTGTATATTTGCTTTCATTTGGGTGATTTTTGAGGTAAATGTCGATAGATATTCCTGGCTGATTCAATACATGGAACATATGGGAATTGATCGATCAATTTATCCCGATTCGGAGCACAAACAGGCAACTCAGGAGCGCCACATATCCTCCGACCGGATCAGCGTCATCCTGGTGGCGTTGATTCTCCATTAAACTATATAATTTGTCTATAAGCAAATGATGGTAAATGTCCAAGTCGTTAAATTCATTCATTGTCTAGAGTCTAGATGTCAGAACTAGGAAGATGTCAGAAATTTTGCATTCCTTCGTCGACTTTTACCAAAGGTTAGGAACAATTTCTCCGGTGGCGGCTCCCCATGTCGTAGGCAGGTTTACCTCGCGTGGGCGCCGACATCCCCGTGGGACTCTACACGCCCATTCGGGCGGCGCTGTCATGGACCTTGGACCAGTCCAAGATGCGTCACTCGGATGGAAGTTGCCTCAGAACTTCAATGGATGGCCCCAAAATCACCATAAAAACATATAAATGGATGGTATAAACCAACCAAAATGTGGTGGTTTAGTATTATACCGATAATTAGTCAAATGGATGGCTTTGGAACCATTTTTATGAGTTCGATCTGGGAATTCCAGGAGTTTAAAATAGAGCTACTGTAGCCATATAAATAAATAGAGGTACTATAGCATAAGCCATATAATATAATATATATAATATATATATAATATATATATAATATATATATATATATATTATATGGGGCGCATATCCCCTGATATCGGCCTTGCAGATAGGTTTTCCTGAAATGGCCATTGACAACTCATAGAACCAGGGGGCTCAAGACCTCAAAGGTGGTACCCATGTGTTCGCTAAAAGGGCTGTCAGGGCTAAGGATTGGCCATCGATGGAGAGGCATAGTTTTTAGGCCTTAGGCCTTAGACCTTACGGATCCTGACGCTGTGTAGTACATAGGTTGGGTAAATCCAGCTACTGCAGGTGCATCCCCTCACTGAGGTTGGCGAAGGTGTTTCACAGTACCCTCCAGTAATTAAACTTACATGACTGCATCAATGGGCAAATAGCTATCAACTCGCCATCCAGTGCCATGTGGTGAGAATATTTGGGCAGATGGCGAAATATGGCGGGCACCTGTGCTAGTCAAATCTCTCCAAGATTAAATTTCATACACCCCTGTGCTACGTTTATTAACGGGACAGGACCCAACAATTCACAGATCCCAAAGGGAAACCATGAGTCCTTGGTGTGACTTGGAAATTGATGGCCCAGCCTTCGGGATCTTCCGCCTGCTGAAATTCGTACATAGCTTTATGATACCAGAAGATGCCCACCCCCCAACCCAAGCCGTGTCTGGCCATGTCCTTCCGAGGTAGTCACCTGATGTTTGGTTGGCAGAAACTCTTTTTCCAACTGGCCAAGGGTCCCAAGTTCCGCCGCGTGGGGCTGCTCTTGGACGGCCCTGCGCACGCGGGCTGCCGGGTTATGTCCAACCCCCACCGGCAGCCCATGGGCGTCGTGTGTTCAAGCACCTGGAGTCCAAGATTGCAGTGCCGGGTGGCACAGGCCTATGTGAAACCGGAGTATGCCAAGGCCAACAAACACGTGTGACATGGTGCCAGCTTGAGGGGTGGTTTTTGGGGTTGGGATTGGTTGAATTAAGTGGCAGAAGTGGATAGAATTGTGAGAGTACACGAATTTCTTGGGGGTGGGTATCAGATTAAGATCGGCAATAATTAGTGTCAGATTTGATCCGAACTAAAGCATGAGGGTTGTTTCCCTTGGATTGTGTTTTATTCCATCCTGGCCACCCTTCATGAGGAATATTGACTGCCAGGTTGCACCATCCCTTTCAGATCGTGTTGACCCAACTTGGTGGCAATGTGTTCAATGCTCCATCCAAGTAGGAGGGTGATGGAGGGTGAATGAGGGTGATCCAATTTTGACCCCTATGTTTTTGAGTTGGGTCTTAAATCCTGAAGAGCCCGCAAAACCAACCAACCTTTAGGGCGGTCTTGCAAATTTGAAACCTCACCAACTAACCATATTTAAAACGAGTTGTGATGTTCTTTGTCGTTCTTATGTTTTTTTTTCCCTCCCCAGCTGGTCAAATTGAAAACTCACCAGCCCCCAACCCCAACTACTGTACCTGAGAAGTTCCCAGGTTGATCACGGTGCCCTACAACCTCCCCATGCACAAGATGCGCGTGAAGGCCATCAAGCGGCACGTCCGCAGTGGCCCCTTGCGTTCTGCCTACCGACGCCTGGTGGCCGGGGTGGTGGCGCCGCTGCCCTTCGTGGCGCACAGCTACCCGGAGCCGGAACGGCAACGCAAGGCGGCGGCGCGGCTGCGGAACTTCGAGGGGACGAAACACTTCAGCAGGGCCACGCAGATGCCGCCAGGTTGGACATCTGGGAAATCTGGGTGGTCTCTAGTTGCATATCATGCCTTTGTATTAGGTATTTCCTAAAGATTCTAGATAATTCTCCGACATTTCGTAGATCATCATGTATGCATCGTGTTTGGCAGGCACTGGGTGTGCATTTTCATTAGGGTGAGTATGTAAGCTGATGAATCCATTTTGGCTCAAGTCTGAGCCAAACTGGCTTCATCGTTCTTTCTTTTTTGGGGTACCCACACCACTTCTAGGGAGTTACCCTAGGTTCAGTGGTTTCTCGTTCCTCTACTAGGGCGTTACCCTAGCGTACAGAGGTTACGAAGGTGGGAGGTCACCCCCTCGATGCCCAGGGCCTCCATCGTCGTTCGGCCCGGTTGGAATGAGGCGGCCCACACGGATGTGGAGCTGCTTCATGCGGCTGCCTATTACGAGTTCAAGACGCACGTGGAGAGCCTACTCCAGCGGGGCTTGGTGGCAGAGGCCACCCGACTGTGGGCGTCCGTGTGCCAAATTGATCATTTCCCCCCACATCCAATTGGGTTGGGGGTGCAGGGACTTCCCCCTTTCAGACGGTCACCTTGTATGGAAGAAAACTGTAGGAGGTGTACTGAGTATCAGGGAGGATTCAAGTTCCCTTGGATCGGCACATGGAACAGCTCAGCTGTCTTGGCTCTGCCCGGGAGTGACCCGCGGCGTGCGTGGCAATCCTACTATGATCGCCTGGGCGAGGCGAAGCTGGATTTGCTACTCATCGAGCCGCTGCGGACTCATTGGACGGCTCGGGACTTTGCGCCGGACAACATCTTTGGCTTGGTCGCCTTCATCGAGCACAATGCCGATAGCATGGTCGACCTCACCGAACTTTGGGATGTGTGGAGGACCTGGCAATCCCCACAGCGTGGATGGAGGGACCCATCCTTGGTGCCCATCCCGGCTGACCTGGTTGCGTGGAGAGCACCACGGGCCAGAGCAGTCCGGTCGTTATGGGGTTGGCTTGGTGCCATGGAGGCTGGGGAGGAACCCTTGCCACCTTGCAAGGCTTGTGGACTGCCGACACCTGAGCTCTGTGAGCGATGCTTCTCCTCCGTGTGCAGCACCTGTCCACCCTCCCAGTGTCCAGGATGTCACCCCGTCTTGCGTCGAGACCCATCTGCAGCAGCTGCGGCCTAGTGATGTTTGTTTGTCACCTGATGATACTGAGGTTTGGTCTGCAGTTTCAGGCCCAGCCCGTACGCTCCAAACCTTGGCAGCGGTGGTGTCAGGCGTCGCCATGGCGTACCACCCAGGTGCCTACGCGGTGCAGGCTGCTGGTGAGGCTCCACCTTGTGCAGAGACGGCGATGGAGAGGGTGGCATCCACTCGTGTTGAACAGTGGCGAGCTCAATGGGGACTACATGATGAGACTGACTTCGCATATGCGTTTGCATCCTATGACAGCGCAGTTGCACATGGAGGACACCATGTGGCAGATGCGTGGTTGCAAGCGCGATCCAAGACTGCCGAAGCTGACCTCATCCCTCAAGCGGCTGCCGTGGCTGAGAGCTCGGGTTCCAGAGATCGGCCAACGACATGGCCTGCGCCCAAGGCGTCCATGATGAAGAAGAGCAAGATGGTCCAAGCTCTTCGAGTCCGGCCAGGCCCAGATCAACCAGAGACGGTGCTGCTACGAGCTGCGGCATTGAGGAAGGCCTTTTCTCAGGCCAAGGTCATGCGTCCTCAAGGGGAGTTGACCCCGGAGAGGTACGCTCAGTGGCAGGATGCTCTGGATACTTTGTCTAAGCGGAAGGTCACAGAGGCCGAAGGAGCGACGGTGGTGAACGCCCTGAAGTCTTGGGCTGAGTTGCGGGCCTACATGGAGCAGAAGGACCGCTTGTTCCCACCGGATGCATTGGACCTCTATGTTATGGCTTCTTGCAGAATGGCACGTCGGGGCCTTACCGAGCCTTTCACTCCTTGAAGTGGTTCTCCAAACATGGTCGGTTGCAATGGGACTTCAGTGATGTACCAGTCCCAGCTCGTAAGAATCCACCCAAACAGGCAAACCCAGAACAGGCTGTTGCAGTTGAGCCCCCAATGATTGCAGCGCTTGAAGAGAAGATTCAATCGTTGTACGAAGCAGGGGACCCGCGTTGGAGGGGCTTACTGTCCAGCTGGCTGGTTACCTTTGGTGTCCTGCGATACCAGCACATCATGCGTGCCAGGCCAGTCAAAGTGACCCCTAGCTCCTTTCATGGCTACTGCACGAAGGGGAAGCAGAAGGCCAACAGGGGCGGTTTCTCCTTCAGCATTCCGGCCACATTCGTCAACGGATGGGCTTGGGGCTCGGCCCTATTCAGGGACTACAGCAGTCTGGATAAGGCTAAGCAAGCAACCTCAGGGTTGTGCTTTGATGCGGAGGGCACCGCATACACATTGAAGTTCGTCAACGAGCTCAATCGTGAGGTCTTTGAGCACTTGGTCCAGAATACAGAGGATTTGTCTTCCTACTCCTGGCGGCGAGCAGCACCTACAGTGGGCACTTTGATGAAGCTGACGCCTCTCGAGCTATGCTCATTGGGGGACTGGGCAGATCGTTCCCAGATCCCAAAGGAGGCGACAATGCCTATGCACTACAGTGCAGCTAGGTACGAGTCTTCATTGAGGACCAAACACATTGTGCGGCTGGCTATGGAGAAGCTGCTTGCCCATGAGTCATGGGAGACCATCCCAACGGAGACCTATGCTGAGGCCCTGGAGTATGCGCGCCAGAACGTGGACAAGGTGCTGAAGCAGGAATCCAGGGTCATTTGGGCAGCTCCTTTGACGAAGGCTGAGATGCAGGCGCGCTTCCAGCTGTCGGAGGCGCTCAAGCTCAAGGCCGCGGCCAAACGAGCAGAGGCACAATCCAAGGGTGGCCTGTCTGCGATGCCGGCATCTCTCAATGGGAAGGTGCTGAGCGCATTCATGAAGAATGGGGCACCCATTTGTGGAGCTTTTCAGACAAGGTCTTGCCCCCTGGAGAAGGAAGTGTGCCCTGGTCGCCATGCATGCGCCATTCTGCGCAAAGCTGGACGAGTTTGCGGTGGAAGCCATCCGGCATGTGAATGCCACGACAAGAAGTTCATCAAGGTGGAGGAGATGACTGGCGAAGGGCCTGGTTCGGGATCTGCTAAGGCCAAGCCTACTAGCAAATCCACGGAGGAGCGACCTCCGGAGCCAGCTGCCCCTCCTAAGGCGTCAGTGAGGCGCCCACGGTCCCCACAAGGGCCGCCGTCTAAGGCACCGCCAGCGAAGAAGGCCAAAGCAGCCCCAGCTCCACCTCCTGCGCCATTACCAGCCCTGGTGACCAGTTCGGAAGAAGAAGAAGTCGAAGTTGAGGAGGAGGACCTTCCGATTCCAGAGGCACTGGATACTCGAGGGCCCGACCAGAAGTTCGACAGGTTGGCGACAGTCCACGGCAAGACAGCGGAGAGCCCGAGCCTTATTTATCAGAATAGGGCAGGGGGCAAGCTGTGGCTGAGTGGAATTCCAACCAGGAACACGGCAAACCGCTTTCCAAAGGGAGTTACCCTTCAGATTGCGTGCATGGCCGAAGCCCCATCATCCAGAGGAGGAGTGGTGCTCACAGATGCCCTATTGAAACACTTGTGTGTGGCCCATGGTGGTTCGAGGAACAGGGACTTTGAAGAAGTCTGGCCTTTGCTGCGCAATACGATGTATGCAGGCGAGTCGGCCTTGATCCATTGCCTATCAGGGCGCCACCGAGCAGGTGTTGGGGGCTGTGTGTTCCGTGCGCTGCTAGCCCAGGAGAGCTGGGATGTTGCAGTGGCCTACGTGAAGAGCTGCAGGCGCTCATTGGACATTCCGGGGATCATCAATGAAACGGGTATGAGGTCGTGGGTGGACACGACTCTCAGGACCAGCTCCCTCAGGAACCCGTTCCCAGAGCCCTGCGGCTACATTGCGACACTGCGTTCAAAGGTTCATCTGGAGCTCAACAACGGCCAGACCCTCTGCTCCCACAAGCAATCTGCTGAGCGTGCAATCCGCTTGGTGAAGCCAATGACGACGCAGGACATGAGGGAGGCCATGGCTTGGGGCCGCGCTTTTTGTGACGGTTGTTTGGTGCGAGCAGCAGCGAGCTGGCATCCACGCTGACCTTGTCAGGAGTGGCGCACCAGAATTCATTTGAATAAGAGACGCACAGGGCCGATTTTGGTAAGCTGATCAATGTGGTCCATAGCTTGCCCGTAGGCTAACATGCATTTGAACCATTTGAGAGCTTGACTTCTGCGTGGAAAAAGGCCCTCTCAACATCCGGGAGGATGAAGTCATGATAGGCTGTGATAACTAGTCTTACCGGTTTGTCATGAGGTAGCTTACACAGGTATCTGTGAGGACAAGCTACATGATGTGTGCCGGGGATAGAGACTAGGATACAGTCTGTCGTACCCCTGAGGAACAGGGGAGTTCTTGTCTTACCCCCCCCGTCACCTCCTTCTGTCCCTGGATGGCAGGTGATGTGCAGCATGCGGGAGGCATGTTTGGGGGTGAGCAGCTTTGAATGTTCAAGTCATACAAGGAGTTACCTTGAGAAAATGACTAGTGTTCGATTGGTTCCGGTGGAGAGTACCACCATTCAGGAAACCATGGAGTCTTTAGGGCTGAATTTTTCGTTGGACCCCGTTGTGACCAAGGCGTTGTTGGCCACCAAGATTCAGAACTTGGAGGAGTTTCGGTTCCTCTTTGAGGATGAGTCGAAAGTCGACACGTTCTTGGCCAAGTTGCAACTCGGTGATGATAGGTTGATTCAAGGCTCTAGGTTGCGCAGAGCTTGGACTGCCGTGACTCTGTACTACAAGAACCAGGACCAGGATAGGTCCAAGATCAGTGTCAGCGATCTTGATACCATGTTGGCTGACACAGAGTTGCGTGATGTCAAATCCAACTTCTGGGTTCGGTATCGGATGAGATTCCCACCAGAGATCCATCCAGCTGATGCCACGCTCTCTCGTATCAGCAGGGAGCTCTCCAAGCGGATGCTGTGTGTTTATAATTTGTGGAAAGTTCGCACTTTGCAGTACCAGCTCCACACGACTCAGAAGAAGAGGAAGCTGGCAGAAGGGCTCTACACCGAGGAGGCTGAGGACGAGGACAGGATCCCTCATGACTGGGAGAACTATCTGGATCGTCTTCTTACTTTGCTGGTCGCATATGCCATGGCGGGAGTGACCCCCAGGGCTAATGTGCGGGATGCCTTGGCGGAAAAGACCCTTGGCGCTGACTCGACAACCTTTGTGGAGGTGCCGCTGGACGTGGTCATGCAATATTTCTACAGAGCGAAGCGTCAGTCCAGTGCACTGCCGTTGTCACAGAGGTTAGCTTGGCTCGAAGCCCGTGACCTTGAGGATCGTTCCGATTGGGTGGCCAAGTTTCGGGAATCATCCAAGTCCTTGGGGGAGGTCATCAAGGAGACCAGTGTGGCACGTGATGCCCATTGGGTACCACATGCGGTGCCCGGGGCTCCCAAGGCAGAGGCGAGCAAGCCCACCACAGTAGCTGCGACAGCAGTCCAGCCACCATCCCAGTTTGCGTTGGGCAAGCCGGTCAGTGGCAAGAAGGTGGCCAAGGTGATGCGCGATGGCTCCAAGATTTGCCAGGCTTTCCAACATGGACAGTGCAAGAACCCCAAAGGCTCTTGCCCCCAAGGCCAGCACAAGTGTGGTATCGTGGTTCGTGGTGAACGCATTTGTGGTATGCCGGGGCATGGAGCTATCCAATGTCGGGCGAAGATTTCGCCATGACGGGGCCCAGCGGGAGAGGCGGGCACTTCTGCTGGGCAGGATGAGGCAAGACCCGTAGACAGAGTTGACTGTCAGCTGCCACGGATGGCGGACCTTTATGCGGGGCCTAATACACCTCTGTCCAAAGCCTTTATCTTTTGTGGTTGGGAGACCATTTCAGTGGATTGGATGTTGGATAGGAGTCATGACCTATCCAACAGCCTCAGGCAGCAATCGCTGCATGAGCAGTTGCAGTCCGTGTGCTTCATCGCAGCAGCTTTGGATTGCTCCACCAAGAGCCGCGCGAGGGAAATTCCGCGGGATTTTGGTGATGGGCGCCCACCGCCCCGACCGTTGCGGTCTGAGCAGCACCCGCTGGGTCTACCTGAGTTGACAGGTTCTCAGCAGACAAGGGTGGAGCAGGATAATGCGGCTGCGAGCTTTGTACTGTCTGAGATTGATCAGTTGGTGGACAGGGGTGGTGGATCAGTCCGCGAGAACCCATACAACAGCCTCCATTGGTGGACACCGGATGAGGTGGCGATGTGGGAGAGCGGTCGCTGGTCCGACCAGCGGTATTCAGCCTGCTGTTTTGGTGGTGCGAGATCGAAGCTGCAGCGGTTGCGCCACAACATTGCAGAGATCGCTCAATGGCCTCGAGCTGACTGCAACCATTTCCATGATCCCCAGGAATGGGAACCTTGGGTCCAGAATGGTAAGCGCCATTTCCCTTCAGCTGAGGAGTCCGAGTATACAGCAGAGCTCTGTTTTGCGATTGCCACGGCAGCTTCGTGGTGGGCAGTGCGTGTTGGACACGCCAAGCTCTATGTGCCGAGGTCCCCATCGCCGAGTTGTACTGGGCATCGGGACCATTGGCTTGACCTCGATCCCAGAGCACTTCGTGAGTGGGCTATGACCCCACTGGCCATCAGCCTGGGTTTGAGGCCTTTGGACACAGCTGAAGCGGCTAGGGTGCCCACGAGAGCATGTGTTGAAGATGTCTTGCAACAGGGCGCACTTCCCCCCGGTCATGTGTATGTGGGGCTTGGAAGTCATAACCACCGCCTACCGACCACCAAGTGGAAGTCTCCATGGCAGGTGGGCGTGAATTGCACCCCTCAAGACTGGGTTCCCTATTACGTCCAGTACATCAGGGAGACACTCTGGTGCGAGTTGGATGAGCTCGAGGGAGCAGTGCTGGTCTGTGATTGCCCTGCAGCCCAAACTTGTGAGGCCGACCTCCTAGCCGGGTTGATTTTTGATCGCTTGAGCGAGCAGGGCCAGCGGAGTGCCCCACAGGTGGTCCAAGGTCATTCTGGCAGGGGTCGCCAGGGAGTTACCCGATGTGTCCTCTTGTCAAGTGTAGCGCAGGCTACAGGCATCCCCTTCGGGCCATTTTACATTCTGCAGGAGTCCTTGGCGTTAGCGTTCAAGAAGCTGTACCCAGGCGAGTGGTTCGAGGGAGTTGCCATCCCCTTTGTGGAGGACTTAGTGAACCAGCACCCACTTGACCTGTTTGTGCGATGGCGCCACCAACAAGGGCTGGACATGGAGGGCAGCTGTAACCCGGTGTTGGCAGCCCCTTCAGTGCGGCAGAAGATGAGGACGGCAGAAGGGCAGCAGGTGGGAGCGATCAACCACAGAGCGGCGCTGGCCCCTCTTCTGCCCTTTCACCTTCAGCCAGACCAGCATTTTGAGCAAGCCCTTCAGCTCAGCATGCAACAGTTGCCTACTGAAGGGCTTCCCATGTTGGATGAGGATCTGAGGTTTGCTGCATCTTTCTCTAGCCTGCCAGGAGTTGACCTGCGCAGGTTGCGAGAGCGCGCCATGGGCATCCTATCTGAGATGAAGAGACGGTGGAGCTCGATCACGGCCCATTTGAGACGCAAACAGACTGAGGCCATCAGGACGGCAACAATGCAGCGTGACATCGGCTTCACTGCAATTCTACTTCTTGTAGCCAATTGGGGTGACGTGACACTGCCAGCAGGCCTGTGTATGGGGCTTCCCGCAGTGGGTTACGCGCCGCCATATGGCATTTTTCCGGAACAAGTTGCCACACGTTTGACAAGAGAGGAGGTACTCCAGGACTGGCAGAGCCACAACAAGACCATTTTGGCTCGGCTCAAGCCAGGTGCCGATGATGAGTTTTTGTTGCAGCAAAGCCTTAAAGATGCTGAGAAGGGTTTTTGTGGGTCGCCCATGACTGCAGAGGAACTGCAGCGTTGTCTGGGTGCGGAACCCTACCGATTGATCCCGCGGTGCGTCATCACACAATCCTCGGGGAAGCAACGAGTGATTGACGACGCCTATGTTGGCTTGCAATCTGAGCGTTCCAGTGATGCAAACAAGCTCACCCTCTGCTCAGCGTTGCGGCCGGCCCAACACCTGCAGTATGCCTACGCCTTTGGGAGGTCACCCAACTGGGAGGCAGAAGAATGGGAGTCTGGAGGTGAGGATTGGCCGGACGCCTATCGTTTTTGCCCTATGAGTTGGGATGAGGCCTTATGCTGCATTGTGGCTTTCTTTCATCATGAATGGCAACAACCAGCGTTTATGATTTATACAGGTTTGCTATTTGGTCTTCCTCTTGCGGTCACATCGTTCAATCGATACAGTCGTTTTGTGGAGGCTTTATCACGTCGATTTGCCTTTTGTTTGACCAGTCTGTATTTTGATGATGCTCACTTGACAGACCGCAAATCGTGCCGGGGATCAGGTCAGAGAGCTTTGCAGACTCTCAACACCCTTTTGGGTACACCATTTTCCGAGGAGAAATGTCAGAAGATGCAGAGTACCGGCACATTTTTGGGCCTGGATCATGACTTCAGTCAAGTCCATTTGAAGGGTCTGGTTCAGTTTTGGGCCCGTGAACGCATCGAGACCAAGCTGCTTCATCTCATGCAAACTGCCGAGGAATCCGGCAAACTGCAACCAGGGGTGGCAGCCAAGCTCTACGGTATCGCCAACTTCTTTGAGCTTGGCGTGTGGGGGCGTATTGGCTGCGGTGGCTTGGCCCCAATCAAGCACAGACAGCAGGAGCGCTCTTCAGAGTTAACTGAGGAGTTGCGCCAGAGCTTTGACCTGCTACGCACTGTCATCACCACCCGTCCCTCTCGCCACATTGAGATCTGGCCACATGCAGGGCTCCGCTTCCTCGCTGCATCGGATGCTGCGTTGGAGAGCCCAGGTCAGGGGACTGGGGGCTTTTTGGTGGTGTGGCATGACGATCACAGGCAACACCGGGAGGCATTTGTTTCTCTCATTCCCCCATTGGTGTACAGCCTATGGGAGCCTGGTGACAAGAAGATTGCCCAGTTAGAGCTGCTGCAAGTGCTCTATGCCTTGTTTTCTCGGCCGGCCAGATTTCGAGGCAGGCGAGGGCTCTGGTTCATCGATAACACGGCAGCATTGATGGCATTGATCCGAGGTCGTTCTGACAATGCAGATTTAGAGCATATGTCACGGTTGATCCATATTACTCTTTTTGGTCTTAAGGCTTGGTTTTTCTGGGAGTGGATCCCTAGCAAGGCCAACTGGTCTGATGAGATCAGCCGTGAAGGCCTCCAGGCAACATGGCACAAACGCCATGGGTTCACCACGCATTTTGCATTTTTCCCCTTCGAGATTTGGTCTCTACCACTTCCCGCGTTTCTCCGGGTTGTGGAGTTTCTCTGAGTGCTTTGGGATGAAGTGCATTGGGAGAGATTCAACCTGTGTAGCCTCCTGAGTTTACAGGAGCGCGGAACAGGGTGTACGGATCCAACCAGTGCTGCTGTGCAGGAGACTACCTGCACAGCGTTCCAAAGCACTATCCTGCGAGGAGCAGGTTGAGACCGCACGAAGAGTTTGGGAAGAAAAAGCCATGCGGATGTGAGCCTGGACACAGTGAACCGTTTAAGTGTATATGCTTTACATCTCACAACTAATGATATATCTATCGATTTGACATGTCTCAAGAAGCACAGAGACAGAGAGAGAGAGAGAGATAGGCAGCTGGACACTTGGATGCATTTAGTCCCCGGTTTAAAAACTCTGTTTTTTATCGTGACGAAGGTCCAAGTGAGGCATGCCCAGAAATCATCGCAGGTGGCTACCCTCGCGCAGTTCAGAGGCCTCAAAGCAGATCCACTGGGGAAGAGCTGCAAGAAGGTTATGAACACGCAGCTGGGGCTGAAAATGGGTGACCTTCACCACCCACAGTTGTTTTTTTTTCGAAAGTGATCTTACCCGTTCTGAGAAATGAAATTTGGCATAGATGTCCCAGATTCGCATCCTCCTGTGTTCAAGAAAAAATGGCATGATTATAATAAGCTTTATAATAATAATAATATTGGTGTTTTTCATCATCACCATTATTATCACTATTTACTATTCTCATTATTATCATTCATAGTACTGTAACCTCACTCTTTTCACAACAAATCTGGAGCCCCCAAGTATTGCTTGTTTTCACCATGGGTTCAGGACCCCTTCAGGCACACCCAGTTGGGATGGACGTCTTGCCGATCCATTGGACCTTGATTTTTTTCTTGTTGATCCCCCCTCCAGTTACCAACGTTGTATGTTTTAACTTCAGAAGCTCATGGTTTTCCGTATTAGAAGCGCGACCAATTTTGGATCATTCTGGGCCTCAATCTTTTTGAAAAAAATCAAGTGTGAATTTGACTGAACATAGGAACGCCAAAACATCACGATTAATGATTCAATATTCATAATGCTCCTATGGTCAAATTGCCATATGGTTGTGTTTCGATATTTTCCAATTCGCCAACATCGATGATTCATTGGTTAGATCATTCGTCCATGGTTAAATCCGATTTGTTCTTGGTATAAGCCCCTTTCATTGGGTCTGGAAAATGATATTCCTATCGAATACAGCCATCGTATCACATGTGTGGGCCCCATGTTAATTTCAAAGTTTTTTTGTTCATACTATATCATACTATCATCCATGGGTTCCAAGTTGATGTTTTGTCATGGTTGACCTGGGCAACTCTCATTTTTGGTTGGCAAAAATCGCCCACTTCCGGGTTGCGAAAACCTGAGGCGTCCGGAGTGGCAATCAGCGATTTGACGCCCGGGCTGAGGTCCAAAACGGCAACGGCGGCGCCAGCAAAGCCGTGGGGGTTGACTTCACCAACGAATATCGTTGCTTTAAGTCTAAGCGGCTAAGCATATGGTCCATCCTATGGTCAAAGGTATATAACTGGGAAAGGATGGTTGGTTGGTTAAGATAGGGGGGGACGGAAACATCACCAACTGGTTTACTATTTCATTGGGCATCATGAACGAACCCATACTAGGGATACCTACGTGCCAAACAGCATGATGGGATGGGGCGCGCTGCTCCCATCTCCAACTGGGAAACTATTTTACTGGTAGATAAGACATGAGAAGACTAGGCATTTACAGCCCAAATTTATACAACTGGAATCATGAAAATAATCACAGGGCCTATCCCTTCTTCGAAAAACAATAGCCCATGTCCAGACAAGCCCATTGCTTATCTGGTTGGTGGTTTGGAACATTTTTTTCCATATATTGGGAATAATGATCCCAACTGACTTTCATATTTTTCAGAGGGGATGAAACCACCAACCAGTTATTTGTTTTCATGCCCTTTTTGTGATATCTAAGATGCAGCCCTCAGATCGAAACGTTCTCGCCGCAAGTCGGACCCGGGTGGCCCCGGGTCCGTTTGAGGAAGACACGTGCGACCAAGAAGAAAAACACCCTCACAGAGGCGCCTCCGGGCGATCTGGGTGGTTTTGGGATTAGGACATGCCAAAGGACTGCCAAAGAGATAGAAAGATGATTTGTCATTATTTAAGATAAGATAATAAGATATAATTGATATAATGAGATAAAATAAGTTATCACTATCTATTTTGGTGGGATGCTACTGTACTATTTGTTTGGAGGTTCAGCATACAGTAGTGCAGCGTAAAGCTGGGGGTTAGATCACAATAGGGTAAATGGACTGGTGAATGGTAGAGCTGGTAGAGGTGTGAGTTCTTTGTGGCATTCTTTGGCTATCAATGGAGAAATTTACTCACACAGAGACTCTACCTTTTTGGCATGGTATCTACACTCTGCTAATTTGCCGTAGCCATTGAACATAGCCATGTTTACTGTAATAGGTAATACGGTACTACAGATGAAGTCAAAATTTAAACATGACACCCACAGGGCTGGTCAGGTTTCTGATTTTATCATTTATCTCTCATGTTTGTTGGTGTCAGTTTTGACCAAGACGCATTTTGCCTGTAAGACCTGGAGACAACCGTTTGGTGAGTGATTGGAAACGATCGAAAGAGATAGTGACATTGAACCCTGCCTCAACTGCAATTGGGAAGAATCCATACTACTATCGATGTTTTGTAGATATCGATAGATTAGATGGGACAAGATTAGACTAGACTAGGGTAGATCAACAGAGCCCCGAACTTGATGATTTGTTCGGAAATCATATGGAAATCATACCCTCTGGTAAACAAACATAATAGCTATTGAACATGGCCATTTATAGTTGATTTACCCATTAGAAATGGTGATTTTCCATAGCTATGTTAGTTTACCAGAGTGTATCCCCCCAAAAAAAATGTGTTTTTTTTTGGCTACCCCTGGGCTGCCTTATCCAATTTGGAGGGCAAACCGATCCGACGTCCAAGCTCTGAGCGCCTTGGCATGGGCGAGGAACCTGCGGCAATCAAAGGCGATGGAAAATACCATATTAATGGAGGTTTGAATGGGACATCCTTGCACTAAATGGAGGGTTTAATGGGATATTTCCCTATATATATATATATAATTTGATATACAAATAATAGGTGGAGGTTTAAATGGAGGTTTATAGATGTTTCTGGACATGTCTAATGAGACAATCCCCCCACACAAATCGAGGTTTCTAGCTGGGAAAAACACATGTTTGATTTCCAGAGGGTAGCTTCTTACTACTATCAGGTGGGTTTTCGGAGGGAGCTATTCAGAGCTACCTTTTTTGGGTATCCACTAGCTCCGACGAGCGCCACGTTGGAGCTACGAATTGAGCCAGTGACACACCTGCCACGACCGGGCCAACCCAATAGAAAACCACAACTGGGTTTTACCAAAACCTCAGCATTATATGAATTGAAACTTACTATTCTCCCAATTATCAATGGATTAAAATGGATTATATGTGTTGTATATGGTTACTAACCCCCAGGCGGCCCAAGGCCTAGTCTGACCATCGTTAATTCAAATACGGCATCAGCGGCAGTGGCCTCTTGATTCCACCGGACATTGCCAACAATTTTACTTTTCAGGGAAGTACTTTTTTCAACATATAATATATATATATATATATGGATTCTATATGGATTATATTTCAGGGAAGTACTTTTTTCGCCCAATTATCAGTGGATTATATTTTTATATATACATATATCTGTCTCTCTCTCTCTCCCTCCCTCTCTCGATCTATTCATGTATGTGTGTAGCCGTTTTTACCCTTGACATTTCACATCATTTTTCACGATTGGGATGCACCCTGGACTCCTCCGTGGGCGAATCCTGCCAAAAAGGTTCGCCATCACGACCGAAGAAACGTTGGCTGCAGGGCATTTGTTGATGCACCTCGGCTGAGGTGACGTGCGCCTACAAAATATGCAGAACTAAACATTACATATAATGACTATATTTTCATGAACATCAATGAACATAATGGATGGATGGGTCTATGGATATATAACACAAATTAACACAAATTAATACAAATTAACACAAATTAACACAAATTAACACAAATCAACACATTATACAACTCGTTTGTATATCCCTCGTATACATTACATGTTTGGACGATTTGGGTGATCCCGGCCACTAACAGCGAAGGTGGACAGCCGAGGTGTCGTTGATAATCAAGATTTGCGACTGCAATAAAGCACTGCATGGGGTTTGGAAGCACCAACATGTGTTGAGGTTGTTTTTCAAGGCATTGTTAAATTGTTGCACGGGGTGGTATATGTTTTTTTTCCCGGGGGGCAGCTAATCATTCCAGATTGGTAAGTGGCCATCAACCCATGGTGGGCCTTTAGCCATGACGTTCTCACAGAAACGATCCCCTCTGATACTTAGATAGCCATAGCTATGGAAAACGGCTGTCCAGATGACTTACCTGTTAGCAGTGGTGATTTTCAATAACCTCTGGTAAACATACAAAAAGCTATAGAAAATCACCATTTTCAATGGGCAAATCCACGATAAATCACCATTTTCAATAGCTACGTTAAGTTACCAGAGGTTACCAGAGAGTATATCTTCGCTTTTTGGTGGAGCCGCCAGATAGGTTCTTTCTGAAGTGGATCTCCTTCCAGAGGCATCCCAGCTTAGGTCTCCAGATTCTTTCCGGAACGCTTAAAGAGATTTCATGAATGTACCCCAGTATACCCTTAGTTAACTTCCAGGTTCAGTGTCGATTTTTCACATATTGGATTAATTGGTGAAACAAACCATATCCTTGGGACCAACTTCCGGATTTGTTGCTCAGGCTACTGAAAGCCAGGAAGCAGAGGGATGCCCTGGCCGGCACAAAGACTGGAGCCCCAGGGGTATGAGAAAGAGATGGTCGGTGGGAGATCGGATAGGAAAGCTGGTGTTGGGATGAGCATTGCTCACTGGCTACCAGTGGTTGTGACCTACATTTCATTTGTTGGTGGTGCATTCATTTTGTTTATGATTGACGCTAGTATCTATCTACCGATCTGTCTATCATAGTCTATCATTATCTATCATTATCTATCATGATTTGTCATTATCCATCTACTGTATCTAATCTAATCCAATCTAATCCAAATGTAATCTAATCTAATTCTAATCTAGCCGAATCTAATCTATCTATTGATACTGGTTTTGTTGGATCCTTTGGGCTATGTCAGCCACGACTGGAAAAACCGAAAAACCGAGGATCACACCCTTCCCCTTGAAGGCGCTAAACCAGGCTTTCGGCGCCGGCGTAGATGAGATGTGGCGCATGAAATGGAATAATCCCCAAGTAGGAACCCCCCATTAAACTCATTAAACATATTTTATACGCATAGACGCTATGTAGGAACCCCATTAGACATCACGTCAATGGGAATTTCAGGATCCTAAATTGGAGGTACTGTACCATATAAGGCCATATTTTGGGGGTATATCTCCTTACATAGCCCTTACATAGCCCTTATATATGGTAGGTACCTCCAATTTAGGTTCCTAAAATGGCCATTGATCACGCATATTTAATTCTGTTTGGTGGTTTGGAACGCTTTTTGTTTTTCCATATATTGGGAATGTCATCATCCCAACTGACGAACTCCATCATTTTTCAGAGGGGTAGGTCAACCACCAGCCAGTATGCGATCCTTGCGACGGCCATGGGGAAAACCCATGGGGATTTCCATGGTTTCCTGTATGTTTACTGATAGCGCGGATGAGTTGATACATAGTGATACCATGTGATACCTTACATTTTATAGCTGAGGTTTGGTTGCCATAATTTACCAATCACGAAGTGGAATGATCCTTTTAGGGGTGAACGAAATGAATTCGAATGATGGGTCTAGATATGTCTAGATACCTAAATCATGCCAAATTTGGGGAGGATAAACATCCCAGCCCAGCTATTTGGATGTTCACCAGGTTACCAGGTGTTTGACCCCGACCCCCTCCATAGCCAGATGAGCAGTGTTCAAGACATTTCAAAACCCTGTTGGTTGATGATTATATGGGTATTATGGGGCTGTATTCAATACCCTCTGGTTATTTAACATAGCCATGGAAAATGGCCCATTTATAGATGGTTTTACCTTTTAAAAATGGTGATTTGCCATGGCTATGTTAAATAACCAGATGGTATCATAGTCCATTGTGGGAATCCCGTTCTTAAGCACTCAGCACCATGGAATGACGGAGAGTTTTGAACACCGTTCAATTGATTGATTGGATTGGGTGGGTTTACAGTACCTAGATATTTTGGGGGATTCTTGGATCATTATAGCCTAGGGGAAACCTGAAAAGTCAAACATCTCTATGCAAGGGAATATTCCCCTGAAATATGAGCTTTATATGGTACAGATGTACAGTACCTTCATTTTAGGATCCTGATTTCTGAAATGACAGAATTTTGAACACTTCTCAAGTGTCAAACATCTCGCCCTTTTAACAGGTCTCAAGCACCAGCCATTCCTCAGCCGTCCGCCATGGATTTGACCAGCTATGGACGTTTGGTCGCGGCCTTCGACGAGCTGAAGCTGAAAGCCGAAGATGAACTCAAATGGGAACAGTGTTCCTGGGCCAAAAGACGTGCTGCCCTGAATTCGCTCAGTTATGCTAAGTCGGTTTTCATGCAATGTAATGAAGCGGGTCAAACATGCTTAAACTACGGTTTTTGTTTGATATAATCCATAGTGAGGTGGGTTTATAAACCAACTTATCACTGGATGCAAGCAACCAAGATAAGTTGGTTTATAAACCAGCCCTATCAGCCTATTTGCATACGTAAATTGTGCCTAGAAGAGCCACGAGATGCCAGGGTTAGCCATCTCCGAAAATAGCTCCTGACTTTCCTCTCAATTGAGGTCATTATTGGTCAGTTCCATGATTTTCTTGTTCGAATTCTGGGAGTCTTGCAAGTTTTTGGGATAAAGTCTACTCCTTCTGAGCCCTACCCAATTATTGGCACAGGCATTGAGAGGGTTGTATGCCCCGAATCACTTCACCGGTGCCAAACCTTTTTGGACACACATTCCATTCCCACTCCAGCTACCCCAAAGAAAACGCCTATCACGGTGATCCCACATCATTCACTTAGCAGAATTCCCTCAGCGTGGGGAGAAAGACAAACAAAAATCACTTGACACATTCTACTTGACATCATCTATATTATCTATCATTATTTATCTTTCTATACATCAATTTCTGATTTACTGTAATCCCTTCCCCCTAATACTAAACGCCTCCCCATTAATAAACACATCAGGTAGTTTTTATTATTAAGGGGGTATTTATTATTGGGGAACCTTATTGATAAGTTTAAAACCTTAATAATAAAAACTATTTGTTCGATTTCAAAATCAGTTAAACTTCCTATATAACGCAATTAACATATTGCCAAAAATTAGATTTCGAAGCGGACCCTATTACTAAATGTCAGACCTTAATAATAAAAACTACAGTATTTTTTTCGATTTCAAAATCAATTAAATTTCCTATAATATAACGCAATTAACATATTGCCAAAAATTGGATTTCGAAGCGGACCATATTACTAAATTTCAGACCTTAATAATAAAAACTACAGTATTTTTTCGATTTCAAAATCATTGAAATTTCCTATATAACGCAATTAACATATTGGCAAAAATTGGATTTCGAAGCGGACCCTATTACTAAATGTCAGACCTCAATAATAAACACTACAGTAATATTTTTGTTCGATTTCAAAATCAATTAAATTTCCTATATAACGCAATTAACATATTGCCAAAAATTGGATTTCGAAGCGGACCATATTACTAAATTTCAGACCTTAATAATAAAAACTACAGTATTTTTTCCGATTTCAAAATCAATTAAATTTCTTATATAACGCAATTAACATATTGGCAAAAATTGGATTTCGAAGCGGACCCTAATAATAAACACCCCGGGATCAACTAGTTTTTATTATTAGGTGGCAAAGCCCACAAATGGTAGCTTAAATTTAAATTGTTTTCTAAAGGGGATCAATTAAAAATCAAATTGGCCAATCTGAAATTTTTCAAAATTAGAGATGGACCCTAGTTTTTAGTATTTGGGCGGGGTTTAGTAATAGGGGGAAGGGATTATATATTTGTATATAACTCTAATATGCTGACACATTTCTGATAAACATATAGATTAAACTTTCATGTCTGAAAGTGTCCCCATTTTTTCGAAATTGATCCCCCAAGCCATCTCCAAGGCGCGCCGCTGGCGCAACGCCCCGAGCTGGCGCAGGCCATGCAGACGATCCAGGCGCGCTTCTTCGGCGCCGATGCGGCGCCCACGTTGAAGGACGTGCCGCGGCGATGGGTGGAATAGATGGCCGGGCTTTGGGGGGAAACTTGTGTAGTTTTTGGGATTGATTTAGCATGATTTAGCTACGTTGCCTGTGCTTATTTTTCAATGTTGTGTCCATTGAGATGATTAGATCCATTCACAATCGGGGATTTACCTACTTTTGCAATGGGTGGTTTTCAATTGCTATGCTGAATCACAAGAGGGTTTTTCACGACCTCAGGTCAAGAACTCAAACCGATGGTTAGGATTTGGGGAATCAGCCCAAAATAGTTTTATTTCAGGCTGGTGAAGCGTTATCTGTCATCCTGAAATATCCAGTACATCTTGGGATCGGGAGAAGATTGCATTTGTTTGTCATATATGCATTCTTTCTTTTATTACAGCAGACTAAATTGTATAAATTATGATTTATATACTAGCAATATATAATTATATATATATGTATAACATGTATATATATATATATATTGGTGGGCAGGATGAAAACACACCATGCCTTACTATTCACCAGATGGTGAATGAAGATTTACATTTTTTTGGAGGCTTCCTTTGCACCTGCCACTTGACGCGTGACTTTTTGTCCATGTCCCTGGCTGTCTCCAACAATCACGCATATTTGTGTGCATTATTAGTATTATTAATAATCCATTTCACACAAATTGTCAAACTGCTGTAAGTGTGTACATAATTTTGTTTATATATACAATATATGCGCAAATTTACTATGCGCTGCAAGGAAAACACAACTACATATACACGAAGCTGCCAACACAGGTTTAGCGGGTTGGCGTCACTGATGGTCCGTGTCAGGGGCGCAGTCAAACAAAAAGCACTGCATATAACAATACATGGCGATGGAGAGGGAGATATTAGATATATTATAGATTATATATATACACACCTAGCCATATGATCCATGTATGACATATTTATCAACATGTCCCACACATGTAACACCCAGTTTTGTAGGTAAATATACCATCACCATAGTGAATTTGCGATATATATATAATCATATACATATCAACGGATTGATTACAGGGAAAATCTACAGGAATTCATGGTTTTCCCCATCAAATATGGGCCTTTCTTGCAAAATTTCCCTTGAAGCAGTCCAGTGATGTATAATGTGGGTAAAACAATAATAAACCATCCCCGAGTCATCACCATTTTTATAGGTGGTATGGTTATCGTTCCCAATCATGGGTTGTTTATGGCATTGTTTTACCCACATTATGGTTGATTGACTATTTTAACTATATTATAACAAGTGTCTTAATTGGTTGATTATTACATATTAACATCAACTATTACTTGCGGTAATTGTGGTAATCGTTGATGTTAATATTGGTTGATTACACGATTATATAAATGGTAATTGCCACTGTTATGCCATTTAATTGAGACTGAGACACTGCCTTGTGGTAAGTTCACTATTATTATTGTCACTATCCTTGTGCTTTACTCACGATCCATGGCACCTTTTGTTTCCTGCCTTAAGGTGCTTCAGGGGATGCTGTCTCCCGATGCTTCGGCGGAGCCGACTGCGGAGCCGCCCGCGGAGGTGATGGTGAAGCGAACCGTGCCTTGGGCGAATGCCGGGATCCAAAAATCGTGGGCTACCTGGATTTCATGGGAAAATATAGGAAAACATGGGAAAACAAACTATATTTTGCCATATTTGCCTTAGCTCAAGGTTTTTTGGTTGATCCCCCAAATGGGAAATCCACCATTTGGGGCGTCAAAAGGGAACTACGGTCCTACGGTAGTTTTTTCTAAGCAAATCCAAGTGATGGGATTACCCTAGGGCCGATGTGGAAACCCATGGGGAAACATGGGGAACCCATGGAAACCCTATATTGGTTTAGCGGATGGCAACTCATTCTTATCATACTGTTCCTATTATCATGTTTGATTTAACTAATATTGGATTAACTTACTATTTGATATTATCATAGTAGCAAGAAATGATATTTATATTTACCCAAGGGTAATCAAAGAAATGGTTGCATGATGGTATTAAAAACATACATGACGATATGCTGCTTGCTTACTGTGTGTTTGTTGTATAGGGGTCCCCGACGAGACAAAGACGCATAAATCATCATGAACATAGTAGGAATTGACTTTCTGTTTTTTTGGAAAACCCCCTCTAAGCAGGATAAACCAGGAGGGTTGAACCGAAAGACGGGGAAACAGCAAAGCATGAGATCGCACTTCCTCATTTAGACATGTGCCCAGAACAGGGAACTCAGTACTGGTATGGAATCACTGGAGCTCCGGGATCCCTCGTCACACGTTGCTTCGCCCCGACCTGGACATGAACATGATTGTGGTGCGTTTCCACTAATCAGGCCTTTATATGCCTGTATGTACAGCGTGCATCTCCAGAAATCGGTTTGTCTGAAAAGAGGGGATCCCTCAAAATCGCAATTTTCAGCAAGAAAATGATGATGTAATCCATGGGAATTGAGGGGTGTTCCCTTGAATTTTCAGACAAACCCACCTGTTCAGGGTGGGTTTAAAGTTTAAGTTTTAAATAACCATCAACTAAGTCTCTATTGTTGCTTTAAACCTGTTTTCCAGTTGTATATTTCCGATTCGAAGCCTTGAACGGGCCGGTCCGTTCCTCGCCTCCTTTTGTTGCTAGGGATCCTTGAAGAAGCAGAGGAGACGGGACAGCATGGCGGTCTGGCGCGGCGATCCAGCGGGATTCGCTGTAAAAATATGGCATATTTCGTCAACCAGATGATTGTGTGATATTAGTCTGGTGAATATGCCATAATTCATAAATATGGGTGGTGTTTTTTCCCACCAGAAAAACACCTGGTGTTTGTTTGAAACTTGAAACATCATAGTTTCTCAGAGGCGTCGAGGCAGCTATGCCGCATAGGGATTTTACATGTTTTTATTTGCGGTTGAAACTGTATCTTGTTCGCTACCCTCTAAAATTTACAACCATCTATCAATAGGCTACATGACCATCCAACATCGACCCAGGCTGAAACGAGTCATAGGGTCATAGGGATTTTCTGAGTATACACCATTATACACCTGTTTACTGGTATGCGATGACTTTAGTAGCATCCAGAACTACAAGGTGTGCCCCGGTTCGTCGGCTAAGTTGATTGGCAACTTACACACCTAATGTGTGTGCTCGATATATCACATATCGAACTAGTGACTATAGTGCTTATCTAAGCCAACAAACATCAGAAGGGGCACCACCTTGTTGTAAATGGGCGATGAGGTACCCCAAAACCCCAGGGTTTTGAAAGTAATGTTCCCATCAATTTGGGAATAAAGTGATGAACAACAACAACTCCATCAACCCCATGATGACCCATGCAAACACATGCAAACACCATATAAAATTCCTATAAAAACAATATAAAAACCTCATAAAACGCACATAAAAACCATATAAAACCTACCCAACCCCCGTTTTCCAACAGGACCAACGAGTTGGACGACGCCGATTCCACCGCGCTGGTGGTGCGCACCGCTGCCGGCTCCGTCGTGATCACCTGGAGCAAGCGCCGCGGCACGTGGACGGCACTGGGGAAGACCGGGGGGAGGCACCAAAAAATGGTGATGTTTGCTGGGAGAAAAATGGTGGTTTTCTGAGGAAAACCATGGGATTTATGGGAAAATATGGTGATTTTCTGGAAAAATCACCTGGGATTGAACATGATTTAATTATTTCATAATGATGGATTTTCGTTCAAAAAGTAGTGATGTTCTGGAAAAAAATATGGGATTCAACAAGTATTCATGATTTTCTCTGAGAAATGATGATTTTCTTGGGAAAAACATGGGATTGTTACCGGGAACCCTTGGGATTTTACTGGGGAAAAATGATGAAAAATGTGATTGTGTAAATCTAACATATGGGGGGTTCCTAAAATAGTGGTACCCCAAATCATCCAACCATTTTAGTATTGAAACCCATGGTTTTGGAGATCCCCCACTTGAAGAAACCAGCATATACTTGCATGCAAATTTGGAGATGCCCAGTGCACCGTGCTGTTTGCATTTGCTAGACTGCCAGAGGGCAACAAGATACTAAGCAAGCAACAACAACAGCAGCAACAACAACAACAACAATAACAAAGAAAACAGCAGCAGCAGCAGCAGCAGCACCAACAACAACAGCAGCAACAAAGAAAACAGCAGCAGCAACAACAACATTCAGATGTTTATCAACGAGGTGAGGAAATACCGGAAGAAGTGCGTCCAGAAAATCAAACATAGGGAGAGCATATGAGATCATACATTAACTGGTAAAATGTGAATATGATGGTATAAAATAGTTATATATGGATTAGTATTCATGTGAGCATACGTGTATATATATATATACATATAATTCATATAATATTAATTTGCAATTGTTTTAGCACACGGATGCGCAACAAATATATCATACACTAATATCAAATATCTAATTTGGAATCCATTATAATGCACATAGATAATTTAGATGATAAGAATATTTACTGCCTGATAGGTTGAATCTACTATTGCATATACATCTACAATACAGCAATTCAACCTATCAGCGATCAGACTTGGGGACGGAAGTAGTGGTAGATATTAGCCCCATTCTGCTGGTGGGTTAGGCAAGACGCCATCCAGACTGTGGCAGAACTGCGGAAGCAGGTGGCTTCCTGGGCTGCTGCCCAACCAGACTGTGTCAACTTTGTGTTTTTTGAATAGGATACCCTCTGGTGAACTAACATAGCCATGGACAATCACCATTTTTAATGGGAAAATCCATTATAAATGGCCATTTTCAATAGCTATGTTAAATTACCAGAGGGTATCATCATTAATTATAATAGATATGATAGGTTCCCCCAAGTTTTTTCAGAGAGCCATACGTTGATATGGGCTATGTTTCATTCAAGAAACAGGAACTTGCTGATTGATTGCCCAGGTTTGCTCTCAAAACATCCCTGCTTGGGTTGCACAGCAACTTCGTTGGGCATGCCGACAGTCTCAAAAGAAATGGACCTACACCTGTGGGGCATCTCGCATTTGTGCTGAATGCACTCCGAGAATAGATGTACCCTCTGGTTATTTGTTACATAGCCATGGAAAATGACCCATTTAAAGATGGTTTACCTATTAAACATGGTGATTTTCCATGGCTATGTTGGTCATAGCCAGAGGGTAATCGGCATGAATGGTGGACAATTGGTGGTTTCCTGACATCTTTATCTTAAATCTTTGAACTTTTCTGTCACATTTATTGATGGAATCAGCTAGATCAGCTAGATTCCAATTTTCTTGTGATATGTTGTGATACATATATATATATATATATATGTGTATATATATATGTATAAAGAATATAATATATATATATATGTATTATATACATATACAAGTCTCCCAAATGTTCGAAACAGAATCCATTCATTTGGGTGGCTTATAACGACCTTTACCACACCGTCACAAAAGAATCGATGGTTCCTCTAGGTGTAACCCAACATGGCCTTCTTTCAGCTGGGCGAATTGTATAAATTATCACTACCATGGTGGGTAAAATTTGCATTTACTTTGACTTTTAGGTTACAGCCTCTGGTAGTTGAATATAGCTATATATATGTATATGGAATCTATGGAAGCCATGGCCCCTTTGGTTCAATAAATAGTTTAAATTCGCCGTTCGCACCATAGATCCGTTCATAGCCGCAGGGTTCATCCCGCGATCCTGACAGGTGGCTGAACAGCTGTCCCTCTGTGTGGATGAAGTGAAATTCGTGGCCGAGGAAAGGCCGCTGTTGGACGACGAGTCCTGCTGCTTGGTGGTGCACATTTTGGTGAGGAAGGGTCCACCAGAAAATGGAACAAGATGGGAATATCACCAGGGATAGATGGTGGTTTTGACACCAGTAGATGAGAAGCCTATATATTGGATTTTGGATGGATAGATCTTTTGTTATAGATGTGGTAGCGAAAACAAGAATAATTGGAAGGCCCTCCTTGTAGACATGAACAACATTTTCAGCGAAGTTTCGAATCAGTTATCTCAACAACAACAACAAAACACTTTTGGGCAGAAGTAATATGACTTCCAAAGACCCCACAGCCATGTGACTGAATCTCCCAAGAGTACCTTGGAAATCCTTGGGTTTTGCTTGCATTTACTGTTCCTCTACTGGCTGGTGGTCAACTGTCTCCCAAATTCGTGTCCCTTCCCCATTTCGGCCTTTGTCAAGCCGCAAGCCGCCTTTGCACCCCCTAGGTGCGGAGCTGATTGGCGGCAAAACCGATGCTTTGGAGGCGCGAGGTGTGGGGCTTGTATGGATGCGTAGCAAGCCATGTAGGGCGATTTAAAGGAGGTGCCCAGCAACTATGCCAGCAAAGTGGGCGTAACGGTGGAACTTGACTGGAAGGAAAAAAATACAAACCCAGACTGTGAAGATTTCTTCCAAACACCCACCGACCTAAAGCCACTGTTTTTTTGCCTTCAAGGCTCGACCAATGTTGGTGAAAACCAAATACCGTGCTTGGCATCACACCTGGATCCAATCCTCCTCCTCTGTGGGGAAAAGCCTTGGTTGTGCAGGCAAATCGGACGATGTTTGGCTACCACATATCAAAAACAATGACATGTAGATTAATCTCATACTACGCAGTGAGGGTAGAAACCTTTGTGCAGAGTATCTTGGAATTGGTTTAAGGAAACATTTAATGAGGTTGAAAACGCAATGTTTTAGATTCAGAGTTCCTAAGTCTCTAGGATGGAGGGGTTTCAAAATATTTTTTTTAATGATTTATTTATGATTTGAATACGATTTCCATTTATGATTTTTTTATGGGTTCAAATTGTGGTTATGATTTTTTTATGGTTTGGATATGATTTTTTTATGATTTTTTTATGGTTTTTTTAGTCCTCAGAATCTGGTTTTCAGCTAAAAACTCGAGAAGTTTTCGATTTTTTTATGATTTTGCTAGAGTTTCCTTTTCCCCAAAGCCTTTTCAGCAGAAAATTTGATTTTGGAAGCAAAATCGTCGTAAAAAAATCGTAAAAAAATCGTAAATGCATCCAAGGTCCCCAGAATCTGGTTTTCAGCTAAAAACTCGAGAAATTTTCGATTTTTTTATGATTTTGCTAGAGTTTCTCTAGGAAAATCGTAAAAAAATCGTAAATGCATCCAAGGTCCCCAGAATCTGGTTTTCAGCTAAAAACTCGAGAAATTTTCGATTTTTTTATGATTTTGCTAGAGTTTCCTTTTTTCAGCAGAAAATTCAGCAAAAAAATCGTAAAAAAATCGTAAAAAAATCGTAAATGCATCCAAGGTCCCCAGAATCTGGTTTTCAGCTAAAAACTCGAGAAATTTTCGATTTTTTTGTGATTTTGCTAGAGTTTCTCTGTAAAAATCAAATTTTCTGGTGGAAAAGACTTCAGGGAAGAGGAAATTCTACGAAAATCGTAAAATAATCGTAAAAAAATCGAAAATTTCTCGAGTTTTTAGCTGAAAACTAGATTCTGGGGACCTTGGAAGCATTTACGATTTTTTTACGATTTTTTTACGATTTTTTTACGATTTTCCTAGAGAAACTCTAGCAAAATCATAAAAAAAATCGAAAATTTCTCTAGTTTTTAGCTGAAAACCAGATTCTGGGGACCTTGGATGCATTTACGATTTTTTTACGACTTTTTTACGCTTTTGCTTCCAAAATCAAATTTTCTGCTGAAAAGGCTTTGGGGAAAAGGAAACTCTAGCAAAATCATAAAAAAAATCGAAAATTTCTCGAGTTTTTATAGCTGAAAACCAGATTCTGAGGACTAAAAAAACATAAAAAAATCATAAAAAAATCATATCCAAAACCATAAAAAAATCATATCCAAACCATAAAAAAATCATAACCACAATTTGAACCCATAAAAAAATCATAAATGGAAATCGTATTCAAACCATAAATAAATCATTAAAAAAATTATTTGCCAAAAAATGGCATCCTAAAGGATTTAAGAAGTCTGAAGTTTTAGAAGTGTTTGGAGTAAGTCTTCCAACGAAACCAATCTATGATTTGATAAAAACGTTTCTTAACGAACGTGTATATTGGTAAATCCCCTGCGAATCGCCCAGATGTTGGTGATTTTTCCCAACTACACCAATCCAATGAGAGCATGTGAGAAGTCCAAGTAATCCTACTTAGATGTATCTACCCCATATATAAATTGTATATATCTACCATTCTCTACCACAAATCCATATAAATCCTATAGTCAACCCATTGATTTTCACGCAATTTTCCGGCCTTTTCCCCCTTCCCCGAAGGTCCTCATGGTCACCCAACAGATTCCGAAACTGGATCCTGATCAGCCGGTGGCGGATCAGCTTGATACCCTGATGCTTGGTTTCGTAGTCGTTACCATGGCTTGGATTCCAATTTGGTGGTCACCATGGCTTGTTTGGGACACCTCCATATAATCACCGGGGTAGTAACTATAATATGATATAGGCAGGTGCTGAGTTTAGTTATAGAACTCCTTGGAGTTCTGAATGGTTGGTTAGTGATGGCACTGGGGGGTGAACTAGACCTAGTTTTCATAGTTTACAGTGGGGCGTTGTGTTTTCCCCCCCGGTTTGATGGACTCGTGAAGGAACACATGGATAAAGTGGATGATTTTTACACATGTTGACTTGGGTTGCTAGGCAGGTATTTCCGGCAGCCACAAAGCTCTAGCGATAAATCATTGTTCATCGTAGAATGATCTTAAACTTTCAAACCAGGATTTCAAACCACCAGTTGACCAGAGTGAATTTCTGGGATTGTGACTTGTACAGTGGCGTTCAGTGACAGAATTCTTGGATGCAATGAGCCTGCCAGCATCATGGCAAAACTTTGGTTGTTGGGATAATTTTGGGCGAAACGCTGATTTTTGGATGTCACATCATCAATGATCAATTTTTGCGACTTCATGAGTGATTTGTCAATGATATAGGGACATGTTGGTTGACTTTTTGGTTTTGTAGCTATTTTGATTGATTCGGTTATTAATAATTCACTCCCAGTGTGTTTTTTCCCATCCAAATTTTGCCAAATGGGTTTGTCTGAAAACAGGATACCCGAAATCCAATGGTTTCTCATCAATTTCCCCATGAAAATTGTCGTTTGGTGGGTATACCCCATTGCAGACAGCCAAACTTCACATATCATATCAAGTTTAAGTTGGTTATATATCCTATCAATATCCCATAATATACCAATTGATAATTAATTTTCCTATATTCCCATTTTTGGGGCAAGAATAGGGCCCCCTCAGCCACGGTGCCCCGTGCCCAAAGGAAGGCTATGCTCCGCTCTACGTCTCCAGAATATCAGTTGGATGCGGCGACCAACTACCGAAAACTCCTCAGCAACTTGGAAGATCTCCATTGGGGACCAGTGATGACCAGTGAAGCCTGGAGATATGGGGATGGGTAGTCAATACCTATGAAATTACCATATTTTTGGGAATAAACATCCATTAAACCAGCTATCTTAGGGTACCTAGGGTACCATGGTCTTGACCCATAACCATATAGATGGAATTCACAGATGGGCTGTTGGCATTGGCCATTTCTTGGGTCTCAAGCCTTTTTTTGGGTGTTGCATCCTTTAGACATGCCAAAAAAAACATGTCTAAGCGAGATACCTGTATGATTTCCATCTCCTTTGTAGATTTAAGACAATGGACTTGGGAGCCAGCGGGAGCTCCCTGGCTCAGTGATTGAGACCTAGGCATTGAGCGAGATCCTCCCATTGGCAAGATCTTGGACAGTGGCGTGGCCCCGCGATTGCTGGAATTGGCCCAGTTGATGGAGAGCCCCAAGCTGCAATTTGAGCAGCTCGGCATCATTTGTTACACGGTGCGGCTTGGGGGATTAGTTGACCAACTTGACGGTATGCCTGGAAGTTTGCCAGCAAGCCGGGATGGCGCGGCAAATATATTTGAATGGCACAATCTTTTCTTTTGTGAACTTGTTTTCCACCAACAGTGAGTGACTTATGACTGTGAAGAGCTCTCTATCATCTTGAATCTTGACGTAGACGGTTCCTCCTTGTTATTTCTCATCTTTCCCCATCCAACACATGGACCGCCAAAAACCGCAGCTCCTCCATGGCCACCTTATCGCTCCCTTCCCCCGCGGTGCAGCTGCACCCGCGGCCGTGCCCACCACGCGGCCATGGCGGGGCCCACATCCTCCGGGTCCTCGGCTTCGCCGGCGGCTTCGCCGGTAGCACCTGGGCACTGAGCCACCGGGGCATCGCCCTGGCTGCCAGCGCCAGGAAGAAACATCGCGACAAGCGGCATCCGGTGGACCCAGTGGCCAAGGCTAAGGAGGTGATGGAAGCCCTGGAGAAGAAAGAGGAAGCTGGGGATGAAGATGTTTCAACATGTTTACACATGTTTCAACATATGTTTCTATCCAGTCCGCTATTTTCCTGTGCTTTAATCCCTGATGATCTCAAAAATCCCCAAGTTTTCGGTTTATGGAGTTTGTGTGGGGCTCCACCACCCACCAGGAAGGGAAACCTCAGAAGAAGAAGAAGAAGAAGCATACAGCCAATCGCAGAGAAGTGGCCAAGACGACAAATCTGGCTGAGTTGGGGGCTCGAATGCCGCTTGCGAGGCACACCACAAAAAAAGCAGCACCGATAGCACCGATTGACGAAGAGGAGTTGCACTGGATGATGACCCACAAGCAGTTGATCGAAGAACTCCAAGAATTGGATTTCGATGACTTTGTGCGGCACCAAGTCAAGGAACGGTTTTATGGCTTGAAAGTCGACAGGCGACGTGAGGCGATGATTCGTTATATTTGTATATATGGAGGGGATGCTGGTGCACGACGCATGATTAATTTGAAGATTTCTCAAAAATTAGGAATCAAGTGAAACTTCTTGAAGCCACAAGAGCTAGCAACTGCAAAAAGAAAAAAACATCCTGGTCCGGTGGCAGAGCTGGTGGGCTTGAGGTTTGGAGCGCGCAAGATCCTTATTTTCCCTCAATCTCAGGCATCCTGTAGCATCCGGAAACCATAAAACTATAATGGCAAAGCCATTCAATTTGAGTTTATATACCATAGTTTACCCCAGGAACACGAGCAGCCAGGTCCTTACACAGCTATGGAAAAATTTGGTTTTGCGCTGTTGGGATGTGAGCCAAATTTTGAGACCCAGGAAACCACGTAAACCACATATCTAGGGTTGATCCCACGTTTCGAGACCCAAGGGTTCCCAAGGGTTCCACCACGTTCCACCATCCCATCCCAGTCCATGGAGCCCATCCAAGGGCTCTGTGGGCCATTTGCAACATCGTCTCGGGTAGCCAAGAGCAGCCCCTTGCAGATCAAAGGGAGATCTGCAGGATCCTAAAATGGGGGTACTGTAACATATAAGGCCATATGAATTGTGGGGATATTCCCTGAAATTTAGGCCTTGTATATGGTAGGTACCTCCAATTTAGGTTCCTGAGATGGCCAGTGAGCAGAGTCGACGATGTTGGCGGAATTTTGCATGGTTTGGCGATGGGTGGTTCGAAGAAAGGAGCGAAATGTATCGAAATGTCCCAAACTGGGTGGTAGATGTCGAGTTTGTTCGGAGATTCCTTCCACATGCCACACATGCCACTAAAAGTTCTTACAGTAATTTCTTCTAATAGCAGACGATCAACAAGCCACGAAGACTTTCAGACGAAAACCAGAAGGTAAGTTGTTTTGCGAGGGAGGAATCCGTTCACTAAGGTCTTGAGGGATTTAAAGATTCTTAAAAATATATCGCCTTGTGAAATGATAAATGACCAACACATATACACGGAGACACTGTGACACTGCTCACATGAATAATATCCAATGACACAGTGACGATCATGTTTGTTTCATTTTGATGTTGGAGGCCCTGCCCATGAACCTATACTTGACATTCAGCTCATCCTAGTCCTGAGTCCATGTAGCCTTGGAGGCCGCCCCAAACACGGGTGTGTGGATTACATTGGACACGTGTCGATTTCGCATGGTTTCATCCTTTTGAACCTGGGTCATCCCTTTGCTAAATGGATCTAATTTGAATCAAACTGAACTGGTTGGTGGTTTCAAACATGAATTTTATTTTCCATTTTATATATGGGATGTCACTTTTCCATATTTTTCCCATTAACGAACTCCATCATTTTTCAAGATGGTGAAATTGCACCACCAACCAGTAATGTGAAAGTGAAAATGGCCAGATTCACCGTGCCCATGAGTCGACAGCTTTTCTCATAGCTACTGTAGCACCTTGGAGCCAAGATCACCATGTCCCGGCCTGGCAATACCAGGAGATCATTTAACTGGATACCTCTGGAGACTATCTGAATACCAAGCAACTGGATTCGGGATGTGCTTCTTGCTAGTCAGACCTAAAAGTGGAAACATGTTTTTTCCGTCGGAGAATCTTGGAGCATAGTTGTGTTAAATGGATCAAGAGTAATAAAATAATATATATATATATATGTATATATAATATACTAAATTGGATTTGCCATTCATAAGGAGTTTCCATTGGATTTCCATATGTTCCAGTGAATGAATGATTTCCCATCGGTTTCCAGATGTCCATTGGTCAATAGATGATGTATGTTATCCGGTGGTTGTGAGGGAGCTGTTAGGAGCTACGGGTCTCCATCAGACGTCCACTTTCAATTTTCAACCCATAGATGTAGGCTTCACCATCAGCAACTATAATAAGATCTTATTCTTACATATTCTTACTCTACAACCATCCGTTCTCTTGCAAAAAAACACCACCATTTTTGGTTGCTTCAAACTCCCGAGTCATCCACAACAGCTCAGCGCCAACCTAAACGGAAGGAAGGCGTAGGCTCCATGGCTCGCTCCGAAGCGCCCAGGACGCAGACCATGGTGAACTTGGACGTGGTGCCCATCGTGACCCGCATCCTGCAAGAGAGTGACAACTCGGATGTTTTGGAGCAAGGCCTGTCGTTTTTCGCGAAGGTTTTGATGCCAGAAATGCTACGTTTGTTCAATGAAAATTGATGGAAAATATATGGGGTTTCAACTAGGACAATGTGTGGTTTTACCTGTTCGGAGTGATTCAACATGGGATTCCACAGTGAAAATGGAGATGAAATATGATAAGATATGGTACAGGTTTATGAATGGGGCTGAATTATGCTCAATTATCAACCACCAGCAACAATCGAGTTTTACGGCTATGTATAAATTGTGATTTTAGCGTTGGCAAATTGTGCCAAGAAACAACCACTTTGGATCAGTTTGGGGGGGGATGTATGTCTGTATGTGTATATATATATTATATATATATATATTATACTGCTATAATATATATATATATATATATATTATACTGCTATAAGAAATAATTAAAAGGATATACGTCCTCAACCATGTTTGGATTTCTAGGGCGTAAAGGTCACCAACTAAGACAAACAATGGCCATTTTAAACATCTTAACTGTAGTTGTCGCCGACATGCTGTTGGTTGAATCCCCGGGAGACATTTCAGATGGTCAAAAAGATGGACATTGGTTTGTCTGAAAATGTTGGGTATATTCCCAATGAAATAGCCATTTAATAGGGATAATGATCAGCAAAACCATTGGGTTTAGGGGTACACTATTTTCAGACACACCCACATGATGGAATTTTCACAATCTGAGAAAACAATTTGGTGAAGAGTATGACCCTCTGGCTTCAGATCTTCTACGTCAAGTGGGTTTCAGATAGTTTCGGTACTTCAACAGGAATCAAATAAGATGTTCTACCCTCTGGTAAACTAATGTAAAATAACATAGCGATTGAAAATGGCCATAGAAATAGTGGATTTACCCATTAAAAATGGTGATTTTCAAAAGTTACATTAGTTTACTAGAGGGTATCTCTTGAAGCTACTTTGATGCCAATCATTGCCCATTTGGGAGGGGAGGCTATGTATCTAGGATTGGGCATGAGAATCTCCGCCAGACGTACCACTCGGTTTGAGGTGACACCACAAACCCATTGAAATGATTGATGAACCAACCCCAAAATTGTCATTGATATGTCATATATATTTATATAATATTTTACAACCCGCACCAGATTTTTGAATTATGGTCGCAATGTGGTGCCCTTATGGGTGTTGCTTTACAGTCCCCATTAAATGTATAGATGAACTTTGTGAAGCAAAAATACTTAGTGATATTGTTGATGATATGTTGATGCTATCCCTTTAAAATCCTCATGAAAATATCTCTAAACTCATTTTTTGTTGGTTAAGTTATTAAGTCATATTAAGTCACCAATTTTGGATGGTTCAACCCTCAATAACCAACTGGAGCACCACCCATCGATGCCCTCACCGCTTCCCGAGGTGTGTGGGCCCTGGGCAACGTGGCCGGGGACTGCGCGGGGCACCGCGACGTGTGCCTCCGCGAAGGCTCCTTGGAACCGATTCTGCGCATCCTTCAGCAGTCGGACAAGCTCTCGTGCACGCGCAACGCCGTGTGGGCGGCTGCTCGGCCGATTTTTCCGTTGTCAGCCCCTCAAAGCTTCAGCAAAAATGGTGGTCTAACATATAGTTAAACTCGTTGCAAAATGGGGGGTTCATTCACTTTTTAACCATGAAACATGGGAAACTGAGCTTCTAACCATGAATTCCAGTTTTGTTTGTCATAGAAATTATGTGGCCAACACTTCTAGCATTTGATGGATTGTTGTGGCAAAGGATGGAAAACTGACCTTCGCTTGGATGAAGTCTGCCATCGGATTTGGGATAGTTAAACTCTGGTAGTTGAGCAACCCCAAGATAAATAAAACCACCATTAAACCCCATCAACATCATTATAACATCATATAACATCATCTTACATCCCAAAAAAGACCATATAACATCCCTATGAAATCTTTATCACATTCCTTTAGTTTCTTTAAACAAAAAGTCATTTTCCCTATGAAAAATCGGAAAAAACATCCCCCGCGGTTAGCGCCCAGCGCTGCCGCCCAGGTCTCCAACCTCTGCCGCGGACGTCCCAAGCCGCGTTTGGAGGAGCTGCGCCCCGCCGTGCCCGTGATCGCCGAGAAACTGCGAAACAGCGCCTGGGAATGCCTGGGATGTTACAGTTATGGCCCGAAATACCAGTCATAAGATGTTTTTTCAGTACTAAGTCACCCCATTTATGGAACGTATCCCATGGAAATAAGCAGTTATAACTAGTAGCCGGTAGCCATGGCCATAAGTGTATGAATTTACCATATTGGCTTTGTCGATAGACCGATATCCCCTGAGCAACTTGCGGAAGGTGACTTTTATGAGGTTCTAAGCCATTGGATGTACCCCGCTGGCTCGCTGGATGCTTCAAAAATCATGGAAAATCCTTTGAAAACAGCTCCATACTGGGGAAATCACCATCCATATCAGCTACATCAGCTATCTTAGGGTTGCCAGGGTGTTGACTGCCATATAGTCTATGTTTAGATGTCTTAATGAGAAAAAACGGGATTCAAAACCACCATCACCATAACAATTGTTATGTCATTTGGTGTTGTTTTGATGATTTCAAATATATCATGTTCAGACAACTTGAATGAGCATCCCACATCCAAAGTGCTTTGCAACCCATATGTCGTTTATATGTGGGGATATTCCATGTAGCAAATACATGCGATAGATACCTAACTCACTGGGATGCACCCCAATGAGGCCAGCTTGGATATATTTGGTGACTGCTGAGGGCTGTTTCGAGATTTAGAGACATGAGGTTACAACTATAGCAACATGCAACTTCAGCTTAAATGCAAATCTCTACGCATCAGCAAGCCGGTGTTGAATGCTACTTGACAGAGATTTCATTGCGAACAAAGGGGAAACACAGAAGCAAACATGAACCTTTTGGAAGATGGAGATTATGATGTTTACTATAAACCCTGACGAGTTTCCACCAGCCAAAGGTGGTTTCAACTAGGTTTCAACTTGGAGTTTCTTTTCAGGGATATTTTGTCCGCACTAGAGATCGCGGAATCTGGGAATCTTGGTGATTTCCCATCATGGTATTGAGATTTGCTTCACAAGGAAGCCCAAACGTTCAGCCCCAATGTAGCAATGTAGGAAGCCAAAAAATGTAGGAACATCTACCCTCTGGTAAACTAACATAGCTATGGAAAATCCCCATTTTTTAATAGGTAAATCAACTATAAATGGGCCATTTCCAATAGCTATGTTGACATGACCGGAGGGTACAACTCAGGGATTGTCCTGGGGTGTTTTCCAAGGTCATGATTCAGAGGTCCTCGTCGACTCCCTGTTCCGCGGCTGGAAAGGCTAAGTGAAGCCTGGGATGCAATGCGAAATTCTCAGATACAGTATGCCATGTATTTGCAGCTGATTTCCCAATGTTTAAAATAACCTCTGGTAAACTAACATAGCTGCTGAAAATCACCATTTATAGTGAATTTACCCATTAAAAATGGTGATTTTCCATACTTTTTTGGTATGTTTACCAGAGGGGTAATCCCAAGAAAAGAGCAGCTGCTGTACAAAAAAACAATGAATTCTCAGCCAAAGATTCCCGCGATTTTTCAGCCAAATTCCAGCAGCTTAGCAGATGAATTCCCAACATAACCGGTTGGTTCTTTCAAATCTGGTTTTTCAATCATACCTGATCATACTTAGGATGGTTGAGTTGAGACTCATTCTTGGGGAATGGCTTACCCTCTGCTAAACTAACAGAGCTATGGAAAATCACCACTTCTCATAGAGAAATCAACTATAAATGGCCATGTTCAATAGCTATTTTGACATAACCGGAGGGTATATCCCATATCATCCCATTATTCACCATTGTTTAACCCATTGTTATTCACCAAAAAAAAAACGCCACACAAAATCACCATTGATAGTGGTGAAATCCCAGGCTCGACGGTGATTTTCACCATCCCCAGGTGGTGTTTCTCCTACATCTCGGACGGTGCCAATCATGATATCCAGGTGGTGCTGGACACCGGGATCTCTGAGCGTTTGGTCGAGCTCATGAACCACGCGCCTCGGAGATGTTGAGCCTTTACGATGTTTGAGGTTCGTTGGATGTTGTGAGAAATGTGACTTTAATATACTTGGAACATGTTTGTTGTTATACTTTGTTCTAGTATGGGTTATATGTTGTTGGAATCCCATTAGAACATGATACTTTAATATACTTTGTTATACTAAAAACATTGTTGTTATAGGTTTTATGTTTTTAAACATCCATGTTCTAATGGGATTCCAAACGGGCCTTTTTCTGACCAATAGGACCAATCAACATGATGACCTTGCCATGAGTTGGGGGTTGGAAGATTATACTTATGACATTGGGATGGGTGATTTGAGTCTCGGGGCGGGGTTAATTTATGTATAGTTTGGGGGATTGTACCCTCTGGTTATTTAAAGTATCTCTGGAAAATTACCACTATGTTGATGGTAAATCAATGGAAATCATCGTAAATTATTTGTATACAATTGGGCCATTTTCCATGGCTACTTGTATGTGAAATAACCAGGGGGTAATTTGTTTGGTATTGTAAATGTTTGGGTCAAGCTCTTAGGTTTTCACAATAATGAAGCCTTCCCCTAGATCAGTTTTCGAATGATCAGCATCACCATTTTTGGTGGCAAATCCCTATTTCCCCTCAAGAATCCATTCACTATTGAAGGGTTCCTCTGGGGTTATTTTCATTTATTGTATATATATATCTCTGTGTGTGTGTACATATGTAAAATTAAAGAGGGAGGGATGTCCATTGCTTGTAGAATTGTCCATGCAACAATCAAGAGTTGCTCATCCAACTCTGCCATTGGCATTTAACTCATTAGATCTCATTTCATACACCATTCACATCCATTACCTATGAAAACAAAACCCTACTGTTCACTGTTCACCATTTCCGGATTTCCCCATGTTTCCAGAGTTTTTCCCATGGCTTTTTCCCGCGTTTCGCACCCTAAGGAGTCCCTACAGGTGGTCACACCGGCGCTGCGGACGGCGGCCAATTTGGTCACCGGGGACGACATGCAGACGGACTTCTTCCTGCGGAGCAAGCCCTGGGACGCGGGATTTTTTTCGGGATTCATTTTGGGGATTCATGTGGAATTGATGGGGATGTTTTTGGGGATACCCTCTGGTAAACAAACATATAGGAACTGGAAAATGGATGAAAATGGTTCATTCAAGTCGATGATTTACCTCTGAAACTAGTGATTTTCCAGTTCGCTATGTGAGTTTACCAGAAGGCAATGGGGCAATGTTTAATGGGGTATTGAAAGTGCAGAAATATCCATCACTTTCTGCAGAAATCCTGCACCGCCTTGGATGGTTGAAACCCTAACGGGTTAAACAACTGATCAGCTGGTGCAGGATTTCGCAACCAAGCACTGACAGTGGCAGATTTATGGGGATTCATAAGGGATTTTTATATGGGGGATTTATGATGTTCAACCATCAAAAGGATGGAGAGTGTTGGAAAATCCCAACCCTCGTGTGATGGTATATGGTGTTCAACCAATATGAGGGCATGATTGGTAACTGGCAGTGTTGAAGCATGATGAAACCAGTTTGTGCGGGATTTTACTGCCATGAAAAACGACCACAGGGTGATTTGTGGGTTTTGGACTATCAAACATTTGGAGACAGGTAAGTTATATCGTTCATATGGGCGAATCTTAGCCAACCATTTGTACTCGTAGATTCTGTATTTATGTGGATGTTGTTGTTGTTGTTTTTGTAATGGGAGGTAGAACCAACTCTAGTCAAAACCCCTGTTGGCGGATGATGAGACATGATTACAGACGGTTAGACTGAGTTTTACAAACCAATATATATGTAGCAAATGATGATGCCTATCGGAATCCCGATCCGGTTCAACCAGCATCCTGGAATGAGGGTTTTGAGTTTTGAACATTGTGAAAAATCTGGGGTTTGCGCAAAACCCACACGTGCCAGCTTGTCATCACAAATGGTGACAAACCATATATTGGATTTTAGGGGCACCCTATTTATTTTCTATGGCAAGAACGTGAGTTATCTATAGATGTTTTTGCCAGCTATAAACCTCAATTGATAGATGATTTTCCCATCACAACCTCCATTTAGTGCAAGGGTGTTCCAGCCAGCCACCTGGCTGATGGCAGGACACTATGCAGAGATTGCTCCTTGGTGACGCCCAAGTTGTGTCATCAAACGAATGGAAACGCCATAGGGATCCCAAAAAGTGGTCTTGCGTACTTGCCATGGCAATGGTATTTGCAAGGTTTTTGATATACCCTCTGGTAAATAAACAGTTGGACCCTGAAAATCACCCATTTTTAATGGTTTCACTAGTCTTCCAACCCCAACAACTGCCAGGGTCAACAAGTTAATTTACCAGAGGGTACATCCCTCAACTTTGGGAGTGTTCCATCGGGATATGTTGGGATGATCGACCAAGGCTGGGCAGTCAGAAAAACAAGATCCGCCAGGAGTGCTGCTGGATGATTTCGAACATTTGCGCTGGCACCACTGATCAAATCGATCAGGTGCGAAGCTTTTTTTTACCCTCTGGTAAACGTTTACATAACTATGGAAATTGGCCCATTTGTAGTTGATCTACCTATTATAAATGGTGATTTTCCATAGCTTTTTGTATGTTTACCAGAGGGTAAAGATTGGACGATTGGATTTCCTGATGGTCATTCCCGTAAGTTCCTCATTTTTGCTTGCTACATGATGGCAAATCATGGTCAATAGCCATTTGTGGCTGGTTAAACTCCAACATATCCCCATTGTTCCTTGGGTCAAATTTGGTCAAATCCCTATTTTCACGGCAACAAATACATCATGGTTCATCATCATTTGCCTCCATGTTTGATGGTTAAACATTGTTAAACGGTTTTTATCATTATTTTTGATGTTGAAAACTCAACACTTCCTTTCAAATCCCGTGCATTTTCCACACGACCTATGTGCAGGTCTTTGAGAGTGGTCTCTTCAGCGCCATGCTGCACCGCGCGCGCGACACGGAATATAGCGTGCGCAAGGAGGCTCGAAACCGCAAATTCTCTGATATGTTTATTTTGTTTTAGCTATCCAGTGGCCAGGAGGGAGCGGTTCGGAGCTAGGGGTATCCATATTCCCGACGACCCATGGAGAGCCAGTTGGAGCTACCAAGAGTTCTAACATGTTCTAAGCACATGGTAGGTTTTCTTTGGTCTTTATCATAGCTTATTGATACATAGCTGAATGTATACCTTACACATAGCTTATTTATACATTTGTGTCTGAAAAAGTGGGACACCCATTTTTGGATTTATAAATTTATGAAGAGATATGAAGAGCGATTTGACATGCTATTGAACTTAGAGTTTTCCCAGATCGATATTTATAAATATAGCGGCTCAAGGAACACCATTTACTTCGACAAATCGCTAAACCAACGTGTTGCCAGTTGCCTTCGAAACAGGTGGCCTTTGCGTTGGCAAACACCAGCGAGAAAGAAGAAGTGATTCTGGACAAATTGATGGACCAGGATATCCTAGAAACCATCAAGGCCGGGGAGGGACCGGTTGACGGCAACGCACGACTCCTAGCGACCGGTTGGTGGCAACCGGTGGAGGGCAAGCTACAAGCGAAATAGCAAAAAGCGACCAGATGTTAAGAGATAATTCAATGACAGTTCGTATGTAAAGGGATGATAAGGGGGTTCTGTTACAGTAAGTGATCATCCAATGATCCAAGTAGAAATAAAAGATATGATTCAAGCAAGATATAATATGATATAATCAAAGTATATATATATATATGGTTTAATGTATTTTAATAGGAAACGAATCGAGAACCGTTGGGATTTGTTTTGTTTCACATGCGGCCACCGGCCCCTGGGATGAATCTTCCAGTCCCAGCTGGCAGGGTCTATGTTATTTGAAGGGGTGTTACCCTCTGGTAAACGTTTACATAAAGCTATTGAAAATGGCCATAGAAATAGTTGATGGAAAGCCATTAAAAATGGTGGATTTTTTCCATAGTTATGTAAACGTTCACCAGAGGGTAATGTGATATTGACATTGACACAGGTATTGACCGCTATGTCTATGTAGGACCTTACATGTCCCTCACGGGGTTGCGGGGGTCTGGCCGGGGTCTGTGTGGCAGGTCTGTGAGAAAAAAGTGGAATACTATTTATCTAATTTCAAGAGTAATGCTCTGTGCGGGGGTACGGTCCTTAAAAATGATGGTACGGTGATGGGTGCGGTACGTTGGGTACGGTGGTACGGTACGGTGGGTACAGTGGGTACGGTACGGTGGGTACGCAGGGTACGGTACGGGAGGTACGGTGGGTTACGGTGGGTACGGTACGGTGGGTACGGTACGGTGGGTACGGTGGGTGCGTACCTGCACCCACCGTACCGTACCCATCGTATACCCCCATGTGCCGTACCCACCGTACCCACCGTACCGTACCTAGCGTACCCAGCGTACCATACCCACCGTACCCACCGTACCCACCTTACCGTACCCACCGTACCAAGAGACCGCACCAGCGTACCAAGACTCTGTACCCACCGTACCGTACCCATAGAAAGTGTCATATGTACCTACCCGTGCTGAATCATCATGCTTTTCATTCCTCTTGAAATTAGATAAGGAATACTTTACTTTTTGGTTACTTCAGGTAAGGAACTAGAACATCACCAGTTCGAATTTGAAAATGGTCATTTTCAATGGCTAGACCGATGCCTTGGATGATTTCTGGTGGTGTCAGTCATGTTCAATGTTCAAACATAGAAATAGGATGATTTCTCACAGACTTCCATACTTGAAACAAGGGGATTGGTTTAAAACATGAATTATGATGAAGGACTTTCCAGTAAACAAAAATATGGAAGATTCACCAGTTGTACGTGTCTTCGGCAAACCATTGATTTTCCTGGACAATACTCGGATTCCCATGGATTCCCCCATTCCCAGTGCTGCAGAGGTGTTGATGGCAGCAACCGATGACAAAATCTTGACCTTGTGCTTGACCTTTCTCGAAAATGTGCTTCGGCAAGAGCCGGGGCCAGGATTTCCCATGTCGAGGATTCCAACGGATGTTCAGACGTCAAGCGGTTCAATTCCTGCCGTTGAAGAGTAACAAGAATGCACCCCGCGGATCCCCGCGGTAATTTTAGCAAGTAATTCTTTTAGCGTTGGTAGATAAAACAGCATGATTCGATCTACAGTATATACCTAAACACCTGATTTTCCAGAGCGAACTGTTACCAGAGGTTTTTTTTTCGGGGTTGTGTGTTGCATGCTGCATGCGGCTCCGTGGTGAGATCTGGGTCAACCTTGTAGACCTTCAAACCGACCCGATTGACACAGGAAATTACCTCAGTTTCAATGGTCATAATATGGTCAAATGCCATTTCAGCTGGATGTTGAGTACTGCTTTCGGATGTGTTTTATTTCGGGGAAAGGCCTATACATACGTATCATACGTATATGTATGCACACACACATATGCACATATATACATATATATATATATGTATATATATATATATATGTGTGTACATATGTATATATATATACATATTGTTGTTTCCAAATGATTCCGTACATCAAAGATAGAAATTAGTCCGATGGTTATTCTACACGAGATTTTACCCAGGTATCTAACCAAATAGGTGTTTACCAATTTCTGTATTGCCCCCTAAAGTGTTGAAGATCTATTTGGTCAATGAGCTCTGTGACAATTCACAGACATGATATTTTGTTTGATTTGCCTTTCAACAAGCGGTCCTGGGTATTGCTGTCTCTTGCATGTTCCCAATCGAGCACTGTTCAAAACCCTTGGTGGTTGATGATTCTTTGGGGGAGAAAATCTCACCAATGTATTGGGAATTATCATGATCCAGTATGGCAATCCCTGACCAATCAGTATAAAGGGACGACGTTGCGGGTTCTCCGTTCATTGCACCGCCTCATGTCACAATGTGAGGTCTCCAAAGCCCTCCACAAGAAGGATAGCCCAGAGGAATGGGAACGTTTCTCGGTGACTTGGGGATGATGATAGCATATATATATATATATGCTAAACACATCTAAACACTGGTATTCTCTCCAGAGAAATCTCGGTATGATCGAACCAACAAATATATGCGATTTCCACCAACAATCCGGATTCATCGGCAAGAATGGGGAGTTCGTCAACAAAATGAATCTCGTCGGTTTGGAACTATTTGGTGCTTTCAAGCATATAGGGGTACCCCCAACAGGGTGTCTGAGCGTACCAGCGAGGTGAATGAAAATCATGGTGTATTCACTACGGGATGGTCGCGGATTCGGAAAAACGCTTCAAAAAGCCCATGGTTATTCGATTGGGCCTTTTCAAAGCCATAACTTAAGTATTTCCAGAAATCTCCAGACAAAAATGCCCAATAATATAGGTTTGATGATGGTGATGGAAAATGTGGTGCCCCTCAAACCACTGGTTGATTATCAATTGTCATTAGTCCTGTTGAAATTCGCCATTGGGTGGATACCCCATTTCCAGACACACCAGAATATCACATATATTGGTTATATCCAAATTCATTCCCCCATTACATCTCTATAGAACGTTGATGTTACGGCTCACTTATCCCAGTTGTTGATGGCTATAGTTATATCACCACAAAAGCCTCCAAATCCATGTGTTTATTGGTTTGATACTGGGTCGATGTTGTAACAAGTGCCGATGACAAGATCTTGTGCCAAATCGTGGTGTGCCTATCGGGAAAGGCCCACATGGGCAGCGCCTATGACTTTAACTTACTGATGTATTTTTTGGCACTTCGCATAGGCACACGATGCTTGCCTGTCATATCTTTGTGGGTTTACCCACTATACTCCCAAAGATGAAAGTCGTGGTAATTGTATATACATTGCCTGATTATCTGACTGTCCAAACAGGCATATGGTTGTCAACTTAGTCCACTTTGACCGTCGGTGTGCCAATAGGATTTCCACCTGGCGGAAGATTATTGATGTCTGGCGTAAGTGGTGTGCCATGCGGCTGGCGCAAGTTCTAGTAAATGGCATAGGTTCACGCCGGGGCTCGTATGATCAAACCCATGAATGTTTATCCGTTAAAGATGGCACAAGTAAAATCCCAATTTTTAATGAGGTCAGATGGTCAAATTCCCCTAATGCTTGTGAATCCCCCATTCTCAGATCTTTCTCCCTGGGCAAAAAAACCCACGGCCAGCCCGGAGGTTTCAAGCGCGTCTCCTTCGTGGATGAGCTTGAGGCTTGCATGGCACGCGGGGCAGAGGTGGCGGAGAAGGCGGATGAGGTGATGCAACTCGGATGCAATGGCTGGTTAGTGGTGAAATCATGGTGGTGAATGGTGTTTTTATCAGTGCTGTTTATGAATGTTAATCATGCATTAACAGTGGTGAAACAACGATCAACTGGTTCATCTATTTTTTGTATGTCGATATTTATATATATATATATAATGAACATGTGAATGCCTGATGATGGAGGTGATGAGTATTCTAACGGATCAGTCTTCCCACCGGTAACTGGGCTTCGTTCACTGGAATATCCCCACTAATCCGGGACATACTAACTAGGGTTGTTTACCACCTAGGAAGTGGGACGATTCTCCAAGTATGGCCAATGGAGGTCTAGCTGGGTAAGCATCTATAGATGGGACATGTTCCTGTGCGACGTTTGATTGCCGGATGGTAAATGACACTGATATTCGATTCTTTCATGGCCTGGATGGGTTTGTGCAAGAAAGATGATTGTCAAAATTGCATGTGGCGACATTTCAGGTTTGAATCCATGCCTGTGACCATAGCTCGGTGAGAGATCAGGGATTTCCTTTTTGATTTTTCCATGGCCCATGGTACGACATTTCCATCGCGTCCGTGGTGTGCGTTCCCTGTTGCCCAGCGGTTCTTCACCGCAAATTGATGGGCAGACTCCACCGCTTCCTTCGCAGGTGCTGGATTTTTCGCCTTTCTTCAAACAATCCATACATGAAGCTGTCCTGACTCGATTGCGCGGTGCTGGCTTTGAGTGTGACGCAGATGTGGCTGGACTGACCGCGGCAGAATTGGAGGCCGCTTTGAAAGGATTCATTGACGATGAAGAAGCAGGTTGGTACATTGATGTGGCTCGAGGTGCATTGCGTCAAGCCAACCGGTGCCAGCCCCATGTTGCTCTGCGTTCGGATCAGCTCCAGCTGCCCACCAGCAAGCGCCTGAAACCTGCAGTTCTTTTGACAGAATCATGTGCTTTCAAATGGTCGCGAGCGCAGACTCTGCCTGAAGCCCTTAAGTATTGCCAGGGTCAAGCTAATATGATTGAAGTGTGTTGGGATGTTTACCAAGCGATGGGTTCTCAAGGTGCTCTGTGGTCGCCATTAGCGGAAGCGGACCCTCTGGCTGCCAAAGAGGCATTTTGCAAGAAGCTGCAAGTCTTTGAGGAGAAAACTTTAGGTGCCAGGTTGAGTTGCTTGAGAAGATGGAATAGTTTCCTAGTTCATCACAACGGTGCGCGAGCTCTCTTGTCACCTGATGCCAAGTCCTTGTATGCGTTTCTGAAGGAAGTTGACGGTGGGGGTCCTACAGCTGCAGCCAGTGTTTTCCAACAGCTGCGGTGGTGGAAGCGCACCATAGGTTTGCCTTTCCCACTTGAGGACCCCCTGTTAGGAGTCTGGAATCGACCGGGTGAAAGTCACACTGTTCGGCAGCGACAGCCTTTGTCGTTGCATGCTCTGGAAACTTTGTGTCGCTTGGCCTCCGGGGCATATACCAATTTAGCAACTTTTGCGTCCTTTGGTTTGATTCCACTATTTGCTTGTTTGCGGTTTGCCCATGTACAACGTTCCAAAGATTTGAGCGTTGATCATGACATGGTGCGAGCAGTTTGCTACAAAGGGAAGTCACGGAAGCGCGGGGTTCGGCCAGCTTTTGAATGGGCCGCCCCACTACATGCAGGCGAATGGAAAGATGTCTTGGGTTTGGCAGTCCGGGCTATTCTTGCTTTGAGGGAGCAAGAGCCTTCCTTGTCTTTCTGTATCCCTGACTTGGTTTTCGGTAGTTCTGGAAGATTGGATGCCAGTAGTACGTGGAGCCAAAGGCCTATGTCTAGGGGTAAGTTTGTGGATATTTTGCGGTCAGTTTTGCTGGCCGCAGGCATATCAAATGCTGAAGTGCAGACTGTGTCAACATATTCCCTCAGACGTTTTCTACTGTCAGTTGCCGAAGTGCTTCGCACACCTCCTGAAGTGGCGCGCCACTTGGGGAACTGGTCTGAAAGTGTTTCTCAAAAGCACCATGAAAAGGAGCCCCTTCAGATGGCACAATTGTATGCGCATGATCGTGTGTTGACAGCCGGACACTCTAAGTCCTTGTTGCTGCAGGTAGTTTGCCATATTGTTCAGTCAGGCCCCAAAAGCCCAACACTGCAAACGATTGGCCAGTGCGGATGGACTTGGCCTAAAGCCTTGGATAAATTTGTTGGTAGTTTAACAGTGAATGCTCTGCCGGTTGGAGCTACAGAAAGCGAAGCGAAGTCACCCGTGGGTGATTGTGAGAGCAGCAATAGCCAAGATAGCAGTTCTAGCCTATCTGATTCTGAGAGTCTGGATGTTCGTGAGTTGCATTGGTTTCGGCTCCCCAGGGGTGTCGTACATTTGATCCGCGCGCCTTGCAAGGTGTCACCGACACCGTATTGTCGTCAATCACCTTTTCCAAATGCAACTTTCGAATGGGGATCCGGCATTACACCAGGTTTGGACATGTGTTCGCGATGTTTGGCTAGTGCCCCCAGTCATTTTTCTCGGGTTGTCAGGGCTTTGCACGCTGACTAAGTGTATTCCTTGTTTCTTGTTGGAAGCGCTCTTATTCCTTCCAGCCACAGACGTGCCCATTCACGTACTGATGCTTTTGCGCCCGAGCCGAAAAAAAGGCGGAGCGATGGTCGAGTGCCTCATGACAGGAGGAATCCATGACACAGTTTCAGTTGCGTGTTGCGCGCCACAAGATTGGCGTTTGAGCATGCTTTGTTTCATAGTCACATGCACACATGCACACGCATACACACACACGCTTGAGTTGCGAGGTTTACAAACCCCTATTGCCTGTGTGTCCTGAAATGCCTTTGTTCTTCTCCTTCCTTTTTGATGTTTTGTCTACCTCTCTGAGGCTATTCGCGGATTTTACTTGTATTTCTCAATAAGGTCCCTGCAGTTATGTTTGTTGGAAGAGCGCTGTTGCGTGGAGAGTTCTGTGAAAGTGGGGAGAGAAATCATGTCCAATGTCGAGTGCTGGTGTGGGGTTGCTGCAGGGCAAGCATTGCCTTCTTCCATGGTGAGTCTCCTTTGCTCACAGTGGATTGGGCATGTGAATTCACTTATTCATTTTTTCCATTCTGCCTTGCAGTCCTTTGTTTTTTCTCAGCACATCAAAGACGCAGAAACAAATCTGAGGCACCAGAGTCATGTTTACTAAGACCCAACCAGATGTGTAGGAGTGTCTGGTTTAGATGGTTCGATTCCTTGGTTATGGTTTCAAGTTTAGTGGGGTTGGCGGCTGCGTATAAAACAGGTAGTCGACAGTAGACCATTAAAAGTCTGGTTTCTTTTGCTGCGGTGTAGTTGCCGGTGGGGTAGAGCCATGCCAGGCCCAGTGTCTAAAGAACAAGATGAGTTGAGCCAGCTTCTCAACCGCAACAGGCTTTCTGAGGCCATGTCAGACCATTTGCTGAAATTGGGGATCGAGTCGTTGTCTGATTTTGTTGGATTAGTTGACAGCCAGAGTTATGAGAGCGAATTGAAGACGTTGATCGTTGACAAATCTGCCTGCAAAGATGACCTGGTTCAGTTGTCTCGAGTCCGCAATGCTTGGAAAGAAGCCCATATGACAGTTGAGAAATCTCGCAAGCGGCGAATTGAGGGTATTGCTGATGATTGCGATGACCCCCTTGATTCTGGTACACAAGAGACCTTGCTCAAAACCTTCAACACGATGTACGGGGTGACCTTGAATATGCATATGATGCCGTCAGACACACTGCTTGGGCGAGTGTACCGCGAATTTTGCCGTGGTGCGCCCACTGTCATCCCAGCAAAGAAGATCATGAGTTTGTACAAAGCCTCGGCAGGTGCCAGCCGCGAGTCTGTGAGCTTAGGTTCCAATATTATGGTTCAAGTGAGTAGTGAGCCGCCAGCGATCAAGACTGTTGTAGGTTACTACTGGAGCCTGCGGGTGCTTGCCCATGCGTATGCACTAGCTGGAACACACAAGGTGCCGTCTATTGCTAGTCCATCCAAACAGGTTACGTTTGCACCTTTGGACATCAATGTGCAATACGCCGACTATTGCCTGAGGCAGGTGACGGAGATAGTACCAAATGCATCACAGCAGCTTGTTTGGTTGCAGAGCAAGGATGAGAACCCAAGAGCTTGCATGGTGGAGTTCATGAGGCAGGGGCAAAGTCAAGGAGAGGCTTTGCAGAATGCTTCGGCGCGAACTGAAGTTGCGTGGTCCATGCCCGCTGTCATGCCAGCCGCGATTGACCGCCTTGCCGAAGCTCCATCAACACCAAAGCGGAAGAAGGAGCGAACATTGCGAGTTCTCCCATCTGGTCAGGTGCCGTGCAAGCGATACAATGATCAGCGTGGATGCCCCAGTGAGAAGCAATGCCCTGACAAACGAAAGCATTGTTGCGATGTTGTGAAGCCAGACGGCCAGCCATGTGCCTCCACCGGCCATACCCGGCTGCAATGTCCCCATTATCGCGCTTGACTAGCGCGGAGTTGGGGAGAAAATGAAATGCCAATTCGCCGTGTTTCACTGGCCTTAGGAAATGATGCCAAGAAGCCGCCTTTTGCCAGGTGGGTTGGTCGAGGAGGCTTACCGACTTTACCTTTCGTCGTGTGCCAACGTGGTCCCATACTTTTGGTTTCCATTTGCGATGAGATCCCCAGCGTTGCAATGACTTTTACAGCGCTGGGGTTGCAGTTTTGTTATGTCGCAGTGGGGGGCCCTGAGCACCTTCAAGCCACGACAAGGTTTTTGTTTTCCCATTGCCTCGTCGTTCCAGAGCTGAATTCGTTTCATTTTAGCCATTTGCCACACGTTTGGAAGAACGCGCCATTTTGGTCAATTGTTATCGTTGGTAGAGAAATGCCCTTCATAGCAAGCAGGGCCATCCCAGTGAGTATGGAAGTCTGCCGTCTGGCCCAGGAAGCAACTGAATTGCGTAAAGGCCTTACTTCCCCTTGCAATGTCCTTGCCATGGTGGAAACCTGCACACCTGAAGTCAAAGCGCCTAAGATGTTCGGGCCTATCTGCACAGAGGCGGCGCACTTTGGCCATATCTCCAGGCCAAGTTTTTGGTGGTGGTTTTCTACGCCAGAATGCTGTGCCTTTCCTCCAAACATTGCAGTGCCCAATGTTTTGTGTACCATATCAGAAGCCGGAGTTGTGATGGAATTCCGGGGGAAGCCTTGCCCAAAAAGAATTTGGTTTCAAGATGGTTTTGTGAAACACAGCACGCAGCCCTTTCCATGTTGGCCATCCCTTGAACATTCCACGTCCCAAGTGCTTGCAAGCATGCCTCTGTTGGAAAAAAGGGGCACGCAACGGCCACCCAACCCGCAGGAGTTGGCGCAGATGTTTTGCATTCCAAATGCAATTGCCCAATTGGACATGTTGCGGCATGTGGACTTTGCGAAGGTTGCCCATGGTCCATGCCTGGCACTGGTCGTGGTTTCTCTGTTGAAGTTGTGTCAAAATGCATTGCCCAGCCATATCCCATCTCCATGGTATGAGCCAAGAGAAAATGCGGTGCGAAAAATGGTAGCTGGGACAGCCTTCCAGCCAGGAGTTTGTGAGAATTTTCCTGGAATCATGACGCATCGTCAGGTATCTCACCAGGCTTTGCATAGGTGTGCTCTGGAAGGTATTACTTTTAAGCGCAGTGAAAGTGACTTGGCGGCAGCGCTTGCCCAAGTCCCCCTGGCAGCTTTGCAAGTTTTTTGGGTTCAGTCGCAGCTCGACGGTCGGCTTGCAGCAGTTCAGGGCCCAGAGTGGGCCCAGCAAAAAGCACCCGGTGCATCTTCCATTGCAGTTGGTTGCCAAAGAGGTTCAGGTTTCTCAAGGTTTGCGGTGTCCCCGCTTCACCCCCCTGGCCTCACCAAGGATGAGCACATTGTAGCTTCAGCGCAAGTTCCCTTTCCTTTTTCCAGTGATTGTGTTCTGGATGCGGACTTGGTTTTTGCATGTCGTTTCATGGCTATCTTTGGACCGCTCACACGCCAATGGCGGTTGCAGCAGCTGAGAGCAATGCAGAAGCTCGCTAAAGTCCTCAGGCCCTGGGAAATCGAGTGCGTCGATCACATGCCGCCCTCAGTCAGAGCAGTTGCACATACGAAGAAGCCCATGTTCATGTTGATTTGTAGTCTCCTTTTGCGATGGCCTGACGAAACCAATGCCCTGAGATATGTCACAGGTTTCCAAATTGTCGGGGATGTCGAGCATTCTGGTTTGTTTAGGCCCCTTGATGTAAATTGCGACCTGCCCACCGGGAAAGAGTGCTTGTTGGGGCAGTCAGCAGAGCAAAATTTGGCAGCGATGAAGCGCCGAGTCCAGTCAGGTCTGCATGATGCTGACCTCTTGAGCATGACACAGCAGGAGATTTCAGAAGGGTTTGCAGAGGGGATGTTCACAGAGCAGCAGTTGAACCAGAAGTTTGGTGTAGGCATGTGGAGACCTATGGAACGTTTTATTCATGTTCAAAGCTGTGGAAAGTTGAGATGCATAGATTCTGGAAAGAGGCCAGGGCACAACTCTGCAAGCAGGGAAAGCGAGACTATCTACACCACCACTGTGGACGTTGTGCCTGCAGTGGTTCGTCATACCTGCCAGCTTGTCCAACAGTTTTGGGCGACCAGGGGATCGCATTTGCCAGACTGGTGTGATTTTGTTTTAGGCACTGAGGATATGAAAAATGCATATCGCCAATGCCCGGTTCATCCCCACCATCGCTGTTGTTCCTGCGTTGCTTTTTGGCACCCTGAACTTCAAGATGTTCGTTTCATTGTGCTGAATGGTTTGCCATTTGGTCTCTCTTCATCAGTGTTGAATTTCAACAGGACGCCTGCCTTGTTGACTGCCATGGCTCGCAGGTTCTGCGGTTGTGCTGTTGCCCACTTCTTCGATGATTCAGGTATTATCGATCTAGCCAGTGGCAACGGCTTTGCTCAAGCCATCACAAGAGAGGTGCATGCGATCCGGGAAGCCGCCCCAGCAGGTGCAAGCTGATATCGAAGGGGTAGTAGAAATTGACTTGAAGCCCGGTTTCCGGGAAGCCGTGCAAGCTGATATCGAATCTGTTTTTGAATCTTCCACACTTACATCTGGTCAAGCAGCTAAACTGCGGGGTAAGTTTGGATGGTCTGCGTCTGGTACATATGGTAAGTGTGCTCGTGGCGGACAAGCTCCACTTGTCAAGCGCCAATAGCCTGATACCTCCGAAATTTTGACCCATGAGTTGAGAGATTCACTACAGTTTCATTCACTGTTAGCGGTTTTTGTTGGGCCTCGGCAAGTTCAAGTTTTGCAAGCTCCATTGCCACCTTTGCGCATATACTCTGATGCTTCCTATGATTTGCACGCTGATGTAGTGGCAGGAATTGGTTTTGTTCTGTTTGATGCAGCTGCGTCATGCCCGCCAATTGGAATGGCAGGCACGTTAGAGCCCCATGTTTTAGGATTGTTTGAGCAGAGACACCAGCAAATTACACCTTGTGAAGCCTTGCTTAGTGTCATTGTGCCTCATAATCTGGGCTCTCGTATGGCTGGACGTGACATTCTGTGGTATATTGACAACCAAGCAGCATGTCAGATTTTGACTATTGGCAGTAGCTCTCAGTCCGATTTGTGTTTCATTTCATCCTTGGCGCATTTGCTTTTTGCACGCCTTAACTGTAGGATTTTTTGGGAATACATAGAATCTGATGCTAACCCTTCGGATGGACTATCCCGGAGAGGATTGCTTGATGAATGGTCCAAATCTCAAGGCTGGATGTTGGCACCAGCCGAAATGCCAGATCTTCTTCAAGTCGCGGCTGCTTCTCTGTCTGCTGCGATGCAGTTGATTTTGTAGCATTGGGGAAATTACATTGGGGGTGTTTTCTTTCTCCACTTAGGCCCTTTAGAGCATGCCTTGGCTCATACTGCTTGCTTCACCAGACCCATTTCTGGATGAAGCTGATTTTCTAGATCTATCTCTGGATGAGGCAGTCCGCCGCATGTCTTTGCATGTCTTGTTGGCCTGTGGTGTTTCTCCAACGCTACAACCTTTCCTGCATTCGGCGCAGTCAACCATTTCACAGTGTGGCATCGCAAGAAAAGAAGTGAGCGGCTGACAGCAGAGCGGTGTATGTTGGAACCAATGCAATCCTTTTGACATTCGATTCTTTCATGGCCTGGATGGGTTTGTGCAAGAAAGATGATTGTCAAAATTGCATGTGGCGACATTTCAGGTTCGAATCCATGCCTGTGACCATAGCTCGGTGAGAGATCAGGGATTTCCTTTTTGATTCCCGAACCCACACCACCCGTGGGCTGCAGGCAGCAGCTGGTTTGTCACCAGTGTGATTGCCGGTGCCAGCGACTGGCTTTGCAGAGCGTCTCTGCCGCCTGATCATTTGCTATCCGAAAAGCAGGGGGTGTTTTCTTTCTCCACTTAGGCCCTTTAGAGCATGCCTTGGCTCATACTGCTTGCTTCACCAGACCCATTTCTGGATGAAGCTGATTTTCTAGATCTATCTCTGGATGAGGCAGTCCGCCGCATGTCTTTGCATGTCTTGTTGGCCTGTGGTGTTTCTCCAACGCTACAACCTTTCCTGCATTCGGCGCAGTCAACCATTTCACAGTGTGGCATCGCAAGAAAAGAAGTGAGCGGCTGACAGCAGAGCGGTGTATGTTGGAACCAATGCAATCCTTTTGACATGTATTTTTTCTTTAAGGTTATGACAAAAGACACAACTCTGGTTAATTTTAGAATATTGCTATGAATAATTCTAACTATAATATATATATATAGTATTACTCGTGTATGATTCTGTATGACTGTATGAGTAAAACTTTTCTAGCCAGTGCTAGCGCTTCGCGCTTCGGAGCGGTTAGGGCATCCGAATATTCCCTATTCGCCGTGGGGAGCCAGTTGAAGCTACGAATGCATAAGTAGAGGTTATTGATCATCGATGAATGTGGATGATTAGATGGTGGAAAATTACCAATATATTAAGTGAACATTGACGATTATATAATCATAGAGGTCATGAAAATAGAAAATAGTATGATCCCGTCCCCCATTCAAACAAAAAACGCACCCATTCTATGGTCCCAAGTAAGTGAAAATCCACCTGCCAAACCGTGGTTTCTAGGGGGTGTGGTTTTACACAGTATCGGCAACCAACAAAAAGGATCAAAAAAGGTCAAATGGTTCGTAACATCCTGCTCTTTGATAGTGAGAAAATCATGATTCGGCATCTTTTCCCCAGTTATTATGATCTATTGCTATATATTAATATTATTTGCTATTATTTGATATTGTATAAATGAATGGTTCATAATGGAGGCTCTTGATGCTTTTTATATATTGCCATGAAAAAGTGCATGCCCTTTTTTCACAGAGATGGCCACGGAAAAAACAAACAAAACGTTGTTTAACACCAAAACACACTCCAACATTTTGATGTAACAAAGTAACATTGCAATCTTAAACATGGAAAATATATCACTGCTATTCAAAATTCTTGTCGAAATTTGGCCATTCGAGGAACATTTTCTCCTCGGCAGCCCCTCGGAATCCGTGCCCAGGCAGGAACTTTACCCTCTTGAGGACGAAACTGGCCCAGAGGTCTTTGGGGAGACGGCCCCGAAAGGTGGCTACGGATTCGCATTCGGAGGCGCCCCCCGGCACTTGGCATTTTATGCAGGGGATCAGGTCTGAGCTGTTTGTAAGGAGCAAAACCGAACAAAACAAAAACGGAACTTTAGCATCAAAAGTTGTAGGGATTTTTCCCAACAATATTTAACCACTAAAGATATCAAACGTGTTGATTTAATGTGATTGAAAAACTAAGAAAGATCACTAATCCCTGAGGGATGGATTTATCCCTTGGTCATTTAACCATGGAAAATGACCTCACATGACCTGGTAGACCTGGCTGTCCAGGTAGACATTTTCCATCTATAGGGTACCCTTTGAGCCACGTGGCCCTCAAACCAGACCTCAAATGTATATATATATATAGATAGATAGTTATTATATATATAGCTATTATTAGGTATATTGTATGTTATATATTTTATTTTGATATAATATAATATATTACAATATATTATTATGTAAATGTGTTATTCTTGTTTTTTTAATATTTATATAAATATTATTGTTATATATATATATATTATATATGTATATGTTATATCATGTGGCAAACCCATGCAAAGCCCATGGTCAAAATCAATCATCCCCAATCGTACCATAGTTGGGTGGGATTTCTAAATTAAATGGTCCCAAAGAAAGCAAAATTAGGCCGCCAGGATTGAAACACCCAGCCGGGTATCTCAAAAACAATGAGACATGTTTTTTTTCCGATCAAGAATTGAAGCCCAACAAGGCCTTGAAATAAGCGACAACCAGTTCTTTTGAGTGGAAGTATGATGATGTATACTGTGAGGTCAGCATGGCATGGTTTGTCAGATGCAAATGAATTTTAATGAATACTTACCGGCATGGCCATGGCTGACACAGCGATTTCTCTCCGTGGTTTGAGGGGAAGTTCAAGGTGAACTTGTGCTGAAAAACTTCCCCCCTCATAGACACACCTCCTACGGCAGATAGGCTGAGAGAAGCTGGCTGAGAGGAGAAAGAAAGTCGCTTGATGTAAAGTGGGTAGTATAGAGATTGAAATAAAAACTCTTCCCTTTCAATGTGGTTGCTGTTACAGTAGTTGATTTTACTGCAAACGGGTTCATTTCATTCGGTTTCGGTTCACAATGTCTTCCCATACTTGGGGCTGTATGCTACAAGATGAATTTTGTTGAATCATGTTTTTTTGGTCTCCAAGATGAGCCATGTACAATGCATATGGATCCAAACTTCTAGCAGTGAGAGTTTGGCGTTTTCGTCGTGGTTTTCTGCCAACAACTGGTTGTTGGGTCGCCAGTTTGTACAGGACTCACCTAGTTGTAGGCAACGATCGATCACCGCCTCCTGAAATTGGGAAGAAGTGGTGAGATGGTGGGTTTCGACAGCTGGCCGAATGGGTGGGAAAACCACCCATGAATGGATGATTATATAAGAAAAGCTTTAGCAGACTCCAGGGTTAGCTATGTGGTGCCCCATAGCTAAATTGGTTTGTAACTTTAATTATACGCATCCGCTCCGGTAATTGAACATAGCGAACTGGAAAATATATGAAAATATCCATTTCTCATAGGTAAATCATTGAACTAAATGTGCCAAGGCTTCCAGAGCTACTACTTGTATGTTGAAAAATGCCAGACGCTTGCGATATAGTTGTTCCATGTTGTTCCCATCGCGATCTATAGTGAGCTGTGGCTGTAATGGAAAACTGTGCCCTTTTGAGGTGAACCCACAAAAGCGCACACATCGCGCTCTCTCACACACACATGATACTATATACATATATATGTGTGTGTGTGTCTATATTGTGCATGTTTCAAACAAATGCATTTGTATCACTTTGCTGATTGACATATATAGATATTATATATGTAAATGTGCATCTATTTCTTTATATATGTATTTACTTATCTAGTTGTTTATTTTTTTTATTTGTTCACACTGTTTAAAATGTTTATAAAATGTTATTAGTATTATTCTATTCAGTTATTGTTATGTTTCTTTGCTTGTTACCTATTTCTCAATTATATACCTATGCATCTACCTATCTACCTAGCTACCTATTTACATGTTCAGCTATGAACCTATCTACCTATCTACTTATCTATCTATTTGCGTGTTTGCCTATCTCCCCAACCTATTTACCTATCCACCTATGCACCTATCTTCCTATCTGCCTGTTTGCCTATCTGCCTATCCACCTATCTAGCTACCCAGCTATCTAGCTATCTAGCTAGCTATTTTGGACATAGTCATAATCGCACATACATAAACATAACAACATATATACATAATTAGATTGGACAAATTGGGTCATAGATATATTGTTAGAATCATTGATGGATTGATTGGCCAATGAATTGATATTTATAGATGGCCCTGGCCCAGCGAGAGAGAGAGAGAGAGAAAGAATTAGAGGTTGATAGATTTATCGATAGATGGATAGATAGATGGATCAATGGATCGATTTAGATAGTGGCCTAGAACGCAAGATAAGATAGATGGATAGCAATATAAATAGGCAGATCGGAATTGCACAAAGGTAGGTCACAGCTTTACAATGCAAACATTCAATGAATTTCGAAGCCAGCCATCGACCTTCATTGCTTTGCGAAAAAATTGGCTGCCGCAAATCAGAACTGGAGAATTGGAAGGGAAAAACCCGTGAAATGAAAAGACAGTCCAAGAATTTGGGGAACCCGAACTAGATCTGGTTGGTGGTTTGGAACATTTTTTTATGTTTCCATATATTGGGAATTTCATCATCCCAACTGACTTTCATATTTTTCAGAGGGGTAGGTCAACCACCAACCAGTGTTAATAATAGTGGATGAACATGAAATCCACTATTCTCCCACTATTAATCCATATTAATCCACGATTATCCACTATCATGTTGATTTATTTATTTGGGGGAAACCCCAATTCGTGGTGGAATCTGGCCTTTGCCATCAGACATCTCCACCTTGGCAGGGGAAGCCAGCCCTTTGCACCGCCGTGGCGCATGGGCAAGCCAACATTCTCAAGCCGTTGGGGCTGCCAACTGTGGTTCAAGTTTGGGCGAGCACTGAGTTTGGACAAACATTACTCAGAGGTACTGATAAAATCTATATGCATATTATATCTAATTTTATATTTATTTATATTTATTTATATTTATTTATATTTATTTATATTTATTTATATTTATTTTTATTTATTTATTTTATTTATTTATTTGTTTATTTTTTATTTATTTAATATATATGCAATCAATATATATATACACAGTATATACACTAAAATTAATACTATATAAATGTATGTAGTATGTATATCCCCAGGATTTGACTTCTGGATGTGCCCACTATTGAATTCCAGTGCCATATATTGCTTTATGCACAGCTGACCCTTCAGCTTCTGGGCTCAAGGCATTGAAAACGAAATTGCCCAAGGACTGATTCGACCGACTGAAAACACCACCCCAAAACACTCAGACCCAATGCACCTCTTTATATACTTCTGGTATATTCGAGAATATGTTGGCTGACCCTGCGGGTCGCCAGTTGTTTTTGTTTAAGTGAGATAAAGAAAAGAACGAACACAGAAATATTTTTTTTGCCATGTGGAAGCGATGTTTTTCCAGGTGCGGGGGAGTCCCAAAGACCGACACAGGTGAAGCCTGGGATCCTGTTGAAAGCTGCAGTGAACTACTTTTGTTTAACGTGTCACAAACCATTCCACAATGATGAGCCCCTACCAGTTGTAAACAATGTTTTTTCTCTATGGATACCTCAAATCACGAGGATGTACCGTTTTTTTTTTTTTAGTGACACGGTGAAATGACACAGTTAGGGATGTTAGCAGGATTTCACACCTAAATTGCCCATCCCCTTCATCAAACATGGCAATGGAACACATCCACCATTTGATACATGTCCGACTAAAACATATATTAATTACCATTCAAGTGCCACGTTTGATTATAGGTGGGGAAATACCTCCAAGTTTGGTGATATGTTTTTCCACCCAGATGGTCATTACATTCTTTATATGCCCACTTGTCCCAAGCAGTTGTGGGGAAAAAACATACCCATATGATCCCATATGCTCCATGGTGCTCAAATATTTACCAAACCTGGGGGTGATCAATATGAACATGTTGAAAAAATATTCCAGCACCATGGAGCATATAGGATAGGGACCCCCCCCAATTCGTTGCATAAATTCCAGGCTTTCCAGACCTTTGAGCTCTCGCTCCACAACTTGGGTTCCGGCGGCACGGCGCTTCAGCAGTGGCAAGTTGGTGGTGCCTTCGGTTTGGAGCGGGGGAAAAATCCCAGTTGGGCTGCGGGGTGCATCGGAATCAGAAGTGCTGAATCACCATGGCCCAGAGTATAACAATCTATAATCAATCTATATTAATGGCTTAGATTAGTATATATATATATTATCCTAGGTTACGAAGCGCATCCAAGCAATGATACATTACCATGGATTTTCATCATGTTCTCACTGAATTCGGTTTTGCTGGGCTATATGATCATTTTCCTGAATTAACAATATGTCTTGAACAACATTGTAATTTTGGGCCATATATAGCCCACTTCTTAATTTAAACATGTAGTTTTCCCATGGAAATAGCAACAGTTTGGAGGTTATATCATTCAGGAGAGGTTATTAGCAGGAGCACGGGATACTGTGTTTAGATTCCCGTGATATTCCCATGGTATTCCCGTCTAACTCTCCGCACGTGGCAGAGCTGAGCTCCTGCCAGATGTGTTAGGGGAACATTCCGGAACCATGCCATCTCCAATGGGTATTCACCATGTTAATTAATGAAACCACATGGGTATTCACCATAAAAAAAATCTGATAATAATATCCAATAAATAACCAGTTAATGATAAAATATGATAAATGTATATAAATGTGGTATTCACCATTTAATGAATTTAATTAATGTGGTTGTCAGACAACCCCATTGTGATAATCCCCCCATTCTGTATGGGAGCATTTGGGGCCCGACTTGAACGGATCCACCGCTAAAGCATGCTGTTTTTTGGGGGCGCTTACCATGAAGAGATTGGATGGACACAACCCAAAATATAGTTCGGAAATGTTGGGCATTTACAGTACACACATCTACATAAACAACCAAGTAACCAAGGGTTACCCATGTCTAACCATTTGTTGGGGAGGGATTCTTCCACTTGAAGGGGTTGCCGAAAAAAAAACATAAGCCTCGAAGATCCACAAGGTAGCCAAGGTAATTTCAACCAAATCCAAAAAATCCTCATGTTTTGATCTATTTTGGGCATATGGCAGCCTTGCGATATCCCTAAAAAAAAGTGTTTCTGTGAAAACCCCTGGATTCGTGGTGATTCCCCAGATGGGGTTGACGTTCAGTGTTTTGTAACTTGGGGTACTTGGGCCTTAGGTCTTTGGGCTTCCTAAGCCAAAAGCATTGTTTTGTGAAACATTGTGAAACCATGTTTTTTTTCCCTTTGACATCCATGAACTACAGGGACACTTAGAATTACAATAACCCCAGTTCCAGAAGTGAACTAAACCAACTTAGCTCTCCAAAGTTGCCCCCAGCTTGTAATGATATTTTTTGGCACCTCGCATAGGCCTGACATATTTCCCAAAAAAACCGAGGACATGCACGACTTGGATCCCCGCAGCTTTCTGATCGTCGAAGTGAAGCGGGACCGGCCTGGTGTTCTGGGCGAAATTCTGGAGCTGCCTGGCGCGTCGTGGCCTGGGATGAGGGTTAATGCTGGGATTGACATAGCCATCCCACTGGGATGACCAATTGGAAATGCTGGGATGATCATTGAACATTTCATTGCAGTAGCAGGAGGGGTCAGGTGGAACATTTATCCTATAGTGACTTAGTGGGATAACTACCAATACCTTAATAGCTCCAATGTTTCGGGGCTATTGGTGATAGAAATGGTGGGATTGGACTTGATATGGGGATATCATTGGGAAACATGGAACATACCATGGGATATAATATCTAGCTAACCCACTGGTAGTCAAACGTGGCTGGCTGGGAAATCCCCGAACTACAATTGGGGGTTGTAGTTGGAAAAAACATCGAACCAGATGATGGATTTTCCATTGCCACGTTTGATGGAGGGTACCCTTTTGGTAGTTTAAAAAGAACACGCGATACCGGTATTTCACAGAACACATGGCCAGTTTGAGATATTCTGTCGTACAGATACCCTCTGGTAACTCCCTTGGGAAAAATGGCCGGACTAATACCCCTTTTGGTAATGGCCATCTTTGATATGTAAATCTGCTAAAATGACCAGAGGGGATGTTGTAAGTGGCTTCAGATCTTCTACGTCAAGTGGGTTTCAGATAGTTTCGGTACTTCAACAGGAATCAAATAAGATGTTCTACCCTCTGGTAAACTAAAAATGGCCCATTTATAGATGGTTTACCCATTAAAAATTGTGATTTTCAATAGCTATGTTAGTTTTACCGGAGGGTATAGGTCAGCCCCGGACCATCAACCATCAACTTGGGCAACGGATCCACTGGGTGCGCCAAATATCCGAGGCTCTTTACCCGATCCGCAGGGATGCCTAGGGGGAGCTGGAAGGGTGAATCAATGGCTTCCTGCATGGACATTTGACTTTTGGAAGCCTATGGATGGTAAAAAAAAACATGGAAAATTATATGAAAATTACTGGTTGGTGGTTTCAAACATGACTGGATTATTTTCCATATATGGGATGTCATCCTTCCCATTGACTCATATTTTTCAGAGGGGTGGCTCAACCACCAACCAGCTATGGCATTTTTTTGGTATTTTTCACACCCGCAAACATCGCTTCTCTTTGATGTAATCCTTTTCAGGTTGCCACGCGAAGATTCAGGTTGCATCGTGGTGTATCAAATGGTTAACTGTTCGTGCACACGTGTCGGCCAACCCGGAGCCATACCGAATACAATCTGTGAGTTCTTAAAATTCGACTCGTCGCCGTAGCGCAAAGTTCCAGGATGTTCCAGGAATCAGGGTATATGTTTGGGGGCACAGTTTGGGGTATATGTTTGGGGGTATATGTCAGCATATGTCAGCCCCATATCGGACATGTAATCCCAGACCACCTGGACGACTTTGACCAACTCTGCGGATTGAAATCACCAATTAATCGTCTAGAAGATCGCTATATAATTTATATAATCCCCATGAAGTTTCTATGAAAATCCCCTGTAAACATCCTTATATAGAACATATCCCTATAAAATCACCATCAATGGGATTAACACGTGGCTGTTAGTGCCATATCCCTTTAAAAACACCATGTGGTTGACCATTTTCATACATTTTCCATGGTTAAACCCGGGCTTTTTAACGGCCGCCAACGTGGCCACGACGACGCGAAAAGGCCATCAACATGACCCACATCGAGTCGCGCTTCAAGTCCTTTGCACGTGATGGGCCACTTGGCTCACCGAATCCCAGTGACCCAGTGATTCTGCTGTGGGTGGGTTAGCCGCCCAAATTGGCACCAATATAATTTTTATATACTGTATTTATACATGATGCATATGGTATGATATGATAATTACACATATATACGGTGTATATATATATATATCGGTATATACGTTTTGTTCAGTGACGCGATGTGAGATGCTTCATTCATACAAGGTGGTGCCCCCCCAGTTATAAGTTGGTTTATAATTCCCATTAACTATAGATATAACCCCATAAACCCTAGTTATTGGACTTATAAACCAACTTAGCTAGCTATGGGGCACCACCTAGTACGATATTTGGTTGCATTTTTTGTTGGTCCATAGGTATGTGTGTTACCCATATGGTGCCATGGCAAGGCCATCCTTCCACATTGACTTCCAGGGATCTCTGAAGGACGCACCGATGGGGTCCTGTGAAGTGGATGATCAGTGCGGATGATCATTTGTTTACCTTTTGATCCTTTGGTTATGTCAAAATTGCTAATGAACATGGCCATTTATAGTGAGTTTTCCCATTAAAAAAGATGGATGTCATGATATTTCAATAGTTACGTTAGTTTACCAGAGGGTATATTGCCCAGTACCATTATCATTACGGTTCATTATTGCCATACTGTACTTTTCTTATTCTCGTCATTATCATTGTTTTTCATTATCATTGTTGTTCTTATCATGCTATATTTTTTTTATTGGTGGTTGATGATGATTGTTGTCAAGTTCATTACTAACCATCAACCATCGCTGTTGTTAATTACTGTTAACTATTGTTGGTTACTGCTTAACGACTTTGTTTGACATGTTTATCGTTGTTCAGTATTGTCATTTCTCATTATCCTTCTTAAAAGAAAAAACGGGTGCATGCGTATATATAATATAATGTAATATAATATATATTATGTTTTATTGCGATTATTATAATAGTTGTTAAACTGATATAGATCTGGAACACACACCATGATAGTAAAGGAATTTCCTACTGAAACCATGGCTTCTCCACATCTTTTTGGTGCCTATCCCTTGTATCGTCAGGATATGGACGTGCTGGACTTGATGAAGGCCGAGTTCCTCCGGCGGTAGGGAGGTTTAACATGTCAACCCATGTTTTTTTTAACAATAAAAATGGTCATGTCAGAGGCAAAAAATATGGATTTGATTTGTATGTTATATTGTAACTAATGATACTTAAGTTTGAATTCATTAGCGATGTTGCAGGGATATACCATGCTATATATCTGTGATATAAGCATCAACAATAGGGACTTGACAGTTAGAACACGGCTCACCCTCAGTTATGTTTGAATGATGGCCCCCATCATCTAGATGGAAATATAAAAAAAAGCACTTAGCCAGCTAGCCTATAGTTACCCTCCAGTAAATCAACTTGTTGACCCTGGTAGATAGGGGTTGGAAGATGAGTGAAACCACTAAAAAATGGTGATTTTCAGGGTCCAACTGTTAATTTACCAGAGGGTATCAAGAAAGAAGTTGGCTAACATTTTCGCGGCATCACCGTGCGCCCTTCCGAACGGTTTCTTTTAACATGTTGTTGTACTCCGCTTGTACTCCGGAGTATCATATCATTTACATTGTTATGTATTCTAAAAATGTGGAACATGTGTATCCAATGTTTGTCATATAAGGTTACTTGATATATATATATATAGATATAGATATAGATATATATATACATATACATATTCATTATTTCATTGATATAACTCGGGGATGATTACTGTATATGACAAACTAATAATGCATATATCTATATAAATCCATATGGAAGATTCATTCTCACAAAAAATGGAGGTTTCCTAACATATTCATACCCCAAACCATTGGTTTGTTGTTATTTTGGGGCTTTTCCCGGTGCCGTTGGAAAGCTTCGCCAGGCCATCAAGAGCCTGCCGGGGGTGTACGATGTGAGCGCACAGGAACCTCGGGAAGTTCCATGGCGCCTCGGACGTGAAAGGTTGGGATCATCGTGGGATTGATGTACATACAATGTGAGGCCCCCCAGTCAATGGGAATTCCAGGATCCTAAAATGGAGGTACTGTACCATACAAGGCCGTATGAATTGTGGGGATATCCCCTTACATAGGCCTTATATAGGCCTCATATATGGAAGGTACCTCCGGTTTAGGTTCCTGAAATGGCCATTGACCCAATGATGTGAATGTTGGTTAACAAATAAAGCCCCAGTAACTAGTTCGTTATTATAGCGTACCATAAACCATAGTGAAATTGGAGTTATGTGCACCAACTTAGCTATCGAACGGGGGCCTCACATTGTAGTAATAGTACCATCTGGTTATGACTAACAGTTTGCCATGGAAAGATCCACCATTTTTAATAGGTAAACCATCCATTTCTATGGGCCATCTATACCATGGCTATGTTAAATAACCAGCGGATATATCATAGTATATCAATAGTGATGTATAATTTGTATAATTTCTATGGGTTTTCAAGTCGAAAAAAATATGGGTGATACATGGTGATACAATTTGAATGGGTTTTAAGTGGAAATATTTAAGTGGAAATAATAACAAAAATATGGGGATCCTCATGAACTTTTTTGAACTTTGATGATTTCATGAGGTTTCTCTGAAAAAAAGAACGTCGCGTTAGGTCCTCATCCACCGCACCCCCCAAGGGGTCCAGGTTTCCCATGAACATCCGGGAGCTGGACTTGACCACAGATACCTTGGACGGCGGTACGGAGCTCATCAACGAGGAGCGCATGGAAGTTCTGCTGGAGAGTGGAAAATTGCCCGTTTACAGATGATTTTCCCATTACCCTCTGGTAAACAAACAGTTTGCTTTTGAAAATAGTGTTTTATAGTGGATTCACCCATTGAAAATGGTGATTTTCCATAGTTATGTTAGTTTACCAGAGGGTAAAACCTCCATTTAGATAGGATTTTCCATAGCTATGTGAAATAACCAGATGGTATACCCTTTGGTAAACTAACAGTTTGCTATGCCATGGCCATAGAAATAGTTGATTTACCCTGGAAAATGGTGATTGCCAGTTTGTTATGTTAGTTTACCGGAGGGTGTGTATATATATATAGATATGGGTATAGATATAGATATTGGTTTTATACATGTATAATATATATACATATATGCATGTGCTATTTATTTGTGATTTGACACTTCCGTATTCAATGATTTTGAATCGATTTTTGAGATGTAGATAATTATATGTTTTTCATTGTGTTACCGTATATGTACATAAAAATCGCATGTGGGACCCTTTTGATTTATTTATTTGTTGATGAACTAGCAACTGGTATTTGTTGCCGTACTTAAAAAAGGATCACCCTTTGGTAATTTGTGTCACATGGCTATGAAAATCACCAGTTTTAATCGGTAAATCATCGAAGTAAATGGCAATTTGTCCGGTGCGCAACCTGTTAAATTACCAGTTCGGCCAACTGACATGAATAACATCTGAGAAAAAATATGGTTTATAACCCCCATTAACTATAGATATATCTACCATAAACATCCATAAGCCATTGAGTGCACCCAGTTGCACTTGGCTCCAGGATCATCCTGGTTTCCACGATCCAGTCTACAGGGATAGGTGCGGATGTGATTCTCTGAAAAAGGCCACCAAAATTCCACAGTTTTTATAGTACTCCCCCCCCCAAAAAAAATAGAATCGTACTTTATCACGATCTAAGTAGGAACGTTCTTTTCTATCTTGCGCGTTGCTACAATGTAGATGGCGTCGCTGAAGGTCCAAGCGCATACATATCAGGACAGATAGAGAAATTGATAGCTAGATAGACAGGGGAAATTTAAACATACGTTCTTGTAGAGAGACAGAGAGATGGAGATATCAACAGGTGAGAGAGATAGATGGATTCCTCATTGTGAAATCCTGCCATTTGAGCAGCGTCAAAGAACCCCAGTTGCATGATGATGGGGGGGTGTTATATATACAATATATATATATGTATATAAAATGTGTATGTATAAATATATATATATATCTCTCTCTCTCTCTCTCTTGATGATCAGAGCCCGCATGGGCATGGACTGGGAAAAAAACATTTTTTGACAAACAATTATTCGGGGGATGTTCCAGTCAGATCTGTTGACACTGCTCTGTTTTTGTTTTTAAGATCTAGAAGGTGGCTAACAATCATGAACCATAAACGATAAATCCGCTACAAGTGGTGCGGACCTTCAAAACGGCCCCAGCTACTCGAGTTGAAAGTTAAGAACCACTCACAAAACACCAGTCACCAGTGACTCAGTGTACAGCATGCCTCAAAGTGTGGCTCCGTTTGACTGGGCCACCAGCTCGCCCTCAGCCTTAGCTGAACCTTCGGGATGGCGATGGAGAGAGAGAGTGACTGAACATATAACAACACTAGACTATAACCATATAGATAATTACAACACGCACTGGAAATTCCCTCATTCACTTCGATGATGTTCGCATTGAAACTCCAGCGCGAGGATTTTCCAGCCATGTTTGATTGCCAAAGCATATCATATCAGTCATGTGCTGGCAAGAATCTCAGAAAATCGAATCCCCATGAAATATGCCAACTATATATATAGAGAGAGAGAGCGGGTAGTCATGGGGGGCGAGGTTGTGAAAGTCCTGATTTTGTTATATTAGTCACTAAATTCATAATTATATCAGTCATTACCCCTTCTGTATATATATATATATCACTATATCCCAAAGAAACCTCAATTTTGTTGGTTAAAGCCGCTATAATCGTCCTCTCTTCTCCCCGTCCTCCCCGTCCACCGTCAGACGCACGGAGATCGTTTCCATGGCCAAGAGCTACCGGCACGGCGACAAGTTGCCAAGAGTGAGGTGCAGCTGTGGATCATGTTGGGCATGATTCAGGATGGGTATGTCTCAGGGTTTTTCATGGGATTGGGATATACAATAACCAACAATCAAAAAAACATGTTAGGTATTTGCATATATATATATATATATGTGTGTGTGTACCTCTATATCTATACATGTTGAACTAACCAGGTGATAAGTTAAGAGACAGGGAGGGAGGGGGAGAGAGAGAGAAAGGAATTTAAATTTGAATACTGGATTAGCAATGGAATATTAATGATATTATTGGGGACGCAATGGAACAATAATGGGATCTACTGTACCCTCGCTGATCAAATGTGACTAGCCCAATGCCATAGACCTCCAATTCCAGCTGTGCTTCTGCAGGGTATCTCAGATTGGCCATGTCGAATCATTTCTGGTAGAATGTGGGCATTTTTCATCATTGGCTTTGCCATGTTATAATGTACACGTTTTTTTGGAAGCATTCTCGGCCAGTATTGTGAAATAGCGTGAAACAGTTTTGCTTAGTTTTTTGGCAAGGTAGATTGATCTCAGTTGCCTCAGGAAGGGAAACACAGCATAGGAACATCTCAGCAGGTCAACCATCGGATTTTTGTGTACTACTTTTCTGAAAATATCCATGGACTTATTCTTATGAGAATACTACTAGATTGCATGTTTCACGTTCTGAATCAGTTGTTTGAAATTCACCGGCCATTGATATTGGGGAAACATGGGGAAACTGTTGGGCCAGGGATGGTGATCCAACTTATCACTGCTTGGTGCCACAGTTTTCCTCCAAGTCGAGTCTCATCGAGTTCGTTTTGCTGTTTCGGGGGTATAACAATTGGCTTCAGATCGAATAAGCCTTCAATTGCAGTGTTTCAATTCAATACATTCTTCAGAATCAAAAAAGACATGGTGAAAGCATGCATTTGGGACCCCGCTAGAAATCTCGGGATCAAGTGGTCCATGGAACGGACCTTAGCTGTCAGCGCAACCTCCGGTTCGCTGAGTGCCCTAATCCTTAGGTTTCTCTCGGACTCCTTTTCATCTCAATTCAAAGAGCCATTCGAGTGCCCCGTGTGTTCTGTTTGCCCTGAAGTGTCAGAAGTACTGCAGCTGCCTGGCCCTCTGGATCAGAAGAGTGTCTTGTTGGGGGTGCTGATAGGGCTGGCCATCGGTCCCACCATTGAGTTTTTGTACCTGTTGCGTCAGACTTGGCGCATCGGGTGCAAACCCGACTGGAGAGGCTAGCCAAACAACCTGGGCAACTGTACCGCCTTGGATGAGCGCCAGCTCGGCCTCGCCTGCTGAGGTGGAATCATTGAGGAGGGAGCTGGCATCTCTTCGTGCCTTGGTGGGTGAGCTGAAACTGCGACTGGAAACCTTGGAAGCTCAGTCTGAGTTCTCTGTGGTGGGCAACACTCCTCCTTCCTCGCCAGGAACTCGACTGGCACCTGAGGCCTCGCCGGCTGGCGTCACTGCTTCGAGTCTGGGGCCTGACAGGGTTGCTGCTGCGCAGAGCATCGGCGCTTGGCTGAAACGTTGCCTGGCAGGGCAGCGTCGAGGCCTGTCGGGACGTGAAAAGATCCAGCAAGCCAGTAGATATTATTTGGTAGTGAGGGATAGCTCGGGAACTGATTATAACCCACCTTTAGTTTTTGCCTCTTGGAAAGATACTAAAGATCGGGTTTACGTTCAAGGTCAACCAGGTGACAGTATCTTTGTGGGGATTCCCACAAAGGAAGAGGGGCGGATCGCTCTGCTTGCTGCGGGACTTCCAGTCCCGGCAGCTCTTAACAGAGCGTGATGGAGGCCAGCGAGAACGGGTCCAGCGCACCTGAGGAGCTGGATCTGGATGCGGCATTGATTGCCTCAGGCGAGGGCGAAGAGTTTGATAGAGAATTTCAAGTTTTGGTTTTGAAGGCCGAAGAGCCCTCTCAATCCACAGAATGCATTTTGATCTCTCGAGTGGACGGGAAGCTTCTCCTGGCAGTGCCCGAAGCGGCATGGCACAAGAAGAAGAAAGATCGCCCCATGCCTCCCTCAGCCCTGCAGAAGGTTGTGAAAGCCACGGTCGCTTGCTGCGTGGGGGGGGACCGCAACTCTCCGGAGGGCGAACCTACTCTGAAGATTTGGCTGGGACTCCTGCAGCCTGCCTGGGAAACACAATTGGCTGTGGAGGGAGACCCCACAGTTGTCTTTCCGCCAGATGGGAACGGGGTGCCAAAGGTTCCATTTGCAGATGCTCTCATTGCAGTTGCTCGCGACCACTTCACCTTCCTCACTGCGGGCGAGGAAGACCAGCAGCCGGGGGATGTCGAGACGCGCATGGGCAAGATCGAGGAGACTTTGCAGAGAATTCTGGCTCAGCTGCCTGCTCCAAAAGGGCCTGCGCCGACGGCTGCCCCACTGGTACCGGCGGCAAAGTCAAAGGCGGGTGTGCCGGGGAAGAAACCTTCGGCCTCTCCAGCCCCTGCAGCGGGCCTGGATCCTACTATGATGCAACAGGCCTTGCAAGCGGGTGTCAGCCCGGAAGCGCTGGGCGAAGTGATGTCACTGGTGGGCAGCCGGCCGCCCGGCAAGATTGCACCTCAAGCTGTTCAAGATGCGGTGGAGCTGACGTCGGACGAAGACGGTCCGGAGCCTGTCTTGCCGCCAGGCGCATCTGGCTCTGCCGACCCTCTAGGGCACGCTGTGCTGCAGCTCTCAAAGATTGTGACCTACATGCGTGCCGAGAAGAAGCAGAAGAAAGACCGCAGTCTGGAGGCGATTTTAGACCGGGCCGAAAGTGGTGCTCCAAAGGATTCTTCCAGCAGTGGCTCTTCCAGATCCCATTCGGCCGCTTTGCGCTCCCTGCAGCGTCTTTTGGTCGACAACCCGAAGTTGATCTACCAGGAGATCGAGCGGCTGATGGCGGAAGACTGGGAGCAAGGCAGCAGTTTACCAGGTGTCAGTCACTTGCCAACAACAGCCAGAGGCTGGCTGGAGCATCGGAGCAAGATCGGGGCCTTTGCAGGGGCCATCCGGCCCTCATGGATCATGGCGGGGGCCTGGGACGACCTCCGGGCCGGTCACATCGACCGTGCCCGGGCACGCCTAGCCCTGGGAGTTGCAGCCTACGACCAGCAGGCCTACGACAAAGGCAGCTGGCTTCTTTCAGGCGAGCTCAGCCTAGAGAACCACCCTCCCTACGGGTCCTTCGCGTGCCATCCTGTTGTGGAGAGCTACGAGGCCCCCCACACGAAGCTGATAGATGGCAGATGGTTCGATCTGATCGTCTCCAAGCTGAAGGGCATCGCCACTTTTCAGGAGCAGAAGATCAAGTTGGCCCCGCAGAGGGGAAAAAGAGGCGAAGAGCTGACCGACGAGAAAGAGAAGGAGAAGCCAAAGAAGCCGAAACCAGGGAAGGGAGGGGGAAAGAAGGGCGACAAGGGCGCCAAGGCCGAAGATACGGCCAGCCCCAGTCCCTCCCCGTGATTACGGCTCATGAGGCTCAGGCGGAGCGTTGTTGGGGCGAAGACTCCAATGTTTTGAGCTCGACTGCCGAGCTGAATGTGCATGAAGGCACAAGGGTGCCTGGCGCTGCGGCTCCTACTTGCAATGTGCTGCAGCTCTGGAATTCGATGGCGAGATTGCTTTTGGCTTCCTCATCAAATTTTGCAGTTTTCCTGAAGTCCCTGCTTGGCGCAACACCTCCCGCAGAGGGAGGCACAGCCCAGTCACTTTGGCCCATGTCTCTCCCATACCCAGAGGTGTGGAGACCCGAGCTCAGCAAGAAATGGTGTTCTTTGGCCGGAAGAGCAAGGAAGAAGTCCGTCAACCTGGTGGTTGCTCTGCTCAACTGGCTGCACATGAATCGGCCTACACGAGCTCCTGCAGCTTTAGCTTTGGGCTCTCGCCTGTCCAAGAAACAGTGGCGGGTAGTAGAGCACTTTGAGAGGCTCATGGCTGATGTTGCTGAGAGCGGAGACATAGACGCAGCGGCGATGGGTCGCTCGGCAGCCAAAGTGGAGGGCTTGGATGAGATTTTGATTGATTTGCAGCGGCAGGCCGTCTCTTGGACAGAGGCGGGGTATGAACATCGTTGGCGAGCCCAGAGCGGCGTTTGCACTGCTCGGCCTCGGGCCGCTGGTCATTGTCTAGCAGACCCTGGTGTTGTAGTTGGCAAGCTTAAGACAGGAGCACCCGTCCTGGCGAAGTCTGTGGACGCTACTAGGCTTTCTGTCCCAAACCAACCACCTGAGTTTGATCCCATCGTTTTGTTTGGCTTTCCCCACAAAGAGGTTTACGTTGATCCAATTGCTAGAGCTATGGAACCTGCATCGGCTGTTGAAGCTCCTCCAAAAGTAAGAGTTCACGCTTCTAGGGATCAAGCTTTGCAGTTTGTCAAGTTCCTGGATGACCGGGGCCTGCTGACTTTAGCTCCAGCTGAAAAAGTTCGGCGTTCTCATCTTTGTGGTGCTTTTGGTCTGGTGAAAGATTTGCACAAGGATCGACTTATTCTTGATGCTCGTCCTGCCAACATGTTAGAAGACACCTTGCATACTTGGACACGAACCATGGGGGCAGTTCAGGCACTTTTGCAACATGAGATCCAGCCTAACTTCAACATGTACTTCTCTGGCACTGATTTAAGGGACTATTACTATTGTTTTCGAGTAACATCGCGTAGAGCTTGGCGCAACGCTATGAGATTGCCTTTGACTCCTTCCCAAGTAGCCTCTTTTCAGTGTTTTTCAGAAGACATGTGGCAAGAACCGGTGCTTTTTCCATGCTTGAAGACTTTAGCGATGGGTGACAACAACGCTGTTGAACTGGGCCAGTATGCACATCTCAAAATAGGGTTAGATGCCGGTATTATTTTTCCCAGAGAGCTTTTGACAACACATGGCAGAGCACCAAGGGGTCCATTTTCTTGCGGTTTGATCATTGATGACATCATCTTTGCAGAACAGTTGAAAGCCCCGCCTTCCAGTAGTGCTCCATCGGGTGCCTCGCGGCGGCTATCCGCTATGTGTGCTGAATATGAGCGACACCAGTTGCGGGCTCACCCGGGGAAGACCTTCCGAGATCAGACCCGAGCTGAGTTTTGGGGAGCAGCTGTGGATGGAAAGCAAGGTCTGGTCAGGCCTTCTCCCAAACGGCTTGTGCCGCTGTTGTCACTGACCTCAAGGGTGGCTGCTTTGGGTTTTGCTACAGTAGCTCTGCTTGAGATTCTGGCAGGATGTTGGGTCAATGTTTTGCAATATCGTAGAAGAGCCCTCTGTTTGTTAGATAGCATCTACACTGCTCAACTGGATCGGTGCCCTGACGATGTCGTTCGCTTGGCGCCCTGCCTGGTAGATGAGCTCTGGTCGCTGGCCATTGTGGGCCCCATTATAGCTTCTGACTTACGAGCCCAATCTATGCCAAAGGTGTTTTTGTCAGATGCGTCTGAGACGGCGCAAGCTGTGGTGGCGGCCGAGGTTCCTCAACCTTTTGCTCGAGAGCTTCAGCGGCATTGCCTTAGTCGAGGAGGGTGGGGTAAGCTGCTGTCACCTTGGAAAGTTTGGCTGAAGTCGCATGGGAAACTAGAGGAGGCCGAAGAGATGCCGTCTGGCGTGCCGTTGGTCTCTCATCCTCTCTGGCTGCAGTTGGCCAGATCTTTGCAGTTTGAGAGCGAGCTCTTTGAAAGAGTAAGGAAGCGGAAGCACATAAACTTGTTGGAGCTGGAGATCATTTTGAAGCTTGAGCGACAGCTCGCCTTGGAGCATCAAGATGTGAGGTATAACCTGGCGTCAGACAGTCAGGTTACCTTGGCTTGCCTTGTCAAGGGGAGATCAAGCTCCCCGCATCTGAATAGATTGCTGCAACGCAGCCTACCCAGTCTGCTTGGCAGCGGCATCTACGGAGGCTACGGGTTCATCCCTTCACTGGCCAACGTTGCAGACGACCCCACGAGGGAACATGAAATCAGAGCGCCAGTTGCCTCTCCTCCAGAATGGCTGCTGGCAGCGTTTCACGGGCAGTTTGAGGCTTTAGACGTTTGGCTTGAAGAACGCGGTTATGATCCTTTAGCTGTAGCTGAGCTTCCGTTTGCTGAGGGTAGGGCAGTTTCTAGGAAGGTGTTAGCTGAGGATTTCATTCCCCAGCTTAGAGCTGTGCAGAAGCCAGAGAGACTAGCTAAATTTGACCAGTTTTTTCCGAGTGCTGAGAGCGGTGCAGCAGAAAGCGCTGCTCGCACATATACAGCTAGAGTTTGCACCGAAGTTTCACAGACCGCTGCAGATAGCACAGTTTCGTCCACTTGTACAGTTTCTGAGTTTCACAGGGAATGCTTGCCACTAGATCAGTCTGCTGTTTCACCCCAGTTTGAGAAAACAAGAGTTGAACAAAATGGGGCAAAAGAGCCATCGAGCCTAACCAAAAAGAAGAAAAAGAGGCCACAAAAATCAGGAGACAAAAAGGCCCAATCAAAGACTCCTCGCTGTTGTTTCCAGCAGGGCGCCCCCTCTGCAGATGTAGCCAAGACTGGCTCCTATGAGCCCCCAGGGTCACGTAGGTCCGTACAAGCAGCCATGGCTAGATCTTTGGGAGCATTGCCCGAGCTGAGTGAGCATGCAAAAGACCTCCTGCGTCACTTCCCTCGTGCACAGTTTTTTGCGCCCGGGGGCAGACGAGCTGGGGCTGACTTCAAGCCCACCTGTCAGGGAGTCCTGGATTTGTACTCTGGCGCTTCCGGGGTTGCGCGCTACATTAGCCGAAAATACGGCGTTTGGGTCCTGACCATTGACTATGAGCATGGGCCAGGGCAGAATTTGCTTGACACTGACCTCCAAGCACGGCTGATGAGCTGCTTAGAGGCTGGGTGTTTCGCTGCTGTAGGCGCGGCTCCTGACTGCAGTAGCTTCTCCAGGGCTGTGACCCCTGCCGTGCGTGATGCAGCAAATCCGTTTGGGCAGCCTGGCATTTCGGCAAACATGCAGGAGAAGGTGGCCAGGGGAAACCAGCATGCTCTTTTTATTTTTTCAGTTGTGCAGTTTTGTGATAGGAAGGGGATACCCTACTGGGTTGAGAACCCTGATGGAAGTTTCCTTTGGCTTTTACCCTACTGGGTTGAATCCTCTTTGGGGAGCTGCTCCTCCTCCTATCGCTTTGACCAATGCCGGTTTCATGCACCATGGCGCAAGCGCACCAGAGTTGCTACCAACACTGACCTTGCGGGGATCCGCGAGCTGTGTCAGGGAGGCCATCAACATCAAATACTCAGAGGGCGTAGCAGCGCTCATGCTTGCAGCTGGACACGGGTTGCTCAAACTTACCCCCGCTCTCTTTGCCGGCGACTGGGTGATGCGTTGATGCGGGGAGTGCGGCGCCAAGTGCAGAAGCTGGACATTGCGGGCTGTGCGTGGACCTTGCATGCCCGCATTGGCGAGGCCTCTCATCCGGGCCCACGCCATGCTGCGCCGCTGCAGCCCCGAGATCCAGCCGCTCTGGCAGATGTTCGCCTTATTGAACCGAGCACTGCCGCGCGTCAGGATCGAATGCTTGAAGAACTTGGTGCTTGGCTGCGCGCCCGGCTCAGCGAGGAGACTATCAACCAGCTCTACCTCTGCCCTGCTCTTGCTGTTTCTGTTTTGAAGACCTATGCCATGCATTTGTTTGCGAGTGGTCGCAAGCTCTATGAACTCCGCTACACACTCATTGCTGTGCAGCATAGATACCCTCATTTGCGCTCTTCTATGGCCCCAGTTTGGGCGGTGGTGTCAAAGTGGGAATTGTATCAGCCTCTACAGCATCGAAAACCTCTCCCAGAGTTGCTCTTCAAAGCGATGTTTGTGCTAGCTTGTTTGAAAGGGTGGACAAGATGGAGTGCTTCGCTGCTTCTGGGTTTTGAGGGCATTGCAAGGATCGGAGAAATTTTGGCAGCTCGCCGTCATGACTTGCTACTCCCCAGTGATTTAGCTGAGACTGAGTCGGCCGTTGCCTTCTTGAAGATTCGCTTGCCCAAGACCAGATTTCGCGGTCGAGGCCGTGTTCAGCATTTGAAGATTCGCCATGCTGCCAGTCTCCCCTTTCTTGAGCGAGTTTTTGGAGCTTTGGACCCCTGCTTACCTTTGTTTCCTTTGTCAGCCCATGTTTTTCGGAAACGCTGGGATTTACTGCTGGATTTGCTGCAAATTCCTGGGGCACAACGCCCTACACCTGCAAGCATTAGAGGTGGCGGTGCTATTCTGGCGTATCGCCGTGGCGAACCGATAGCTGACATTTTGTGGCGAATGCGGTTGGCGTCCCAGCCGACCTTGGCTTCATATTTGCAGGAGCTGGCCGCAGAGAGCTTACTGGCTTTTCTGGCTCCCACAGTGCGTCAGCGACTGATCCATGTGGCTTCTCTTTTCCCTGTTTGCCTGCAGTCTCTGGGATGATTCCTTTGGCGTACTTGCACGTACCTTCGGAGACGGCCTGTTCTAAGAGTGGATGGTCCTGAAGTTAGTTTCCTCCTTAGCATCTCTTTTTTGAGCCGTTGGCTCCTCCTTTTGAAGAGCTGCGATGAAACTTGGGCAACTTCAGAGCCATTACGATCCAGAACTTAGCAGAGCTAAAGCGGGACAAAAAGATCCGAGCGGTGTGCACACATGCATGGTGAAAGCATGCATTTGGGACCCCGCTAGAAATCTCGGGCCCTCCCACATGCCACCCGTTTGGATGGTCCTGAAGTTAGTTTCCTCCTTAGCATCTCTTTTTTGAGCCGTTGGCTCCTCCTTTTGAAGAGCTGCGATGAAACTTGGGCAACTTCAGAGCCATTACGATCCAGAACTTAGCAGAGCTAAAGCGGGACAAAAAGATCCGAGCGGTGTGCACACATGCATGATATTTAATAGAAAGCAGTCCATTCCCAGTCATGAACCCATTGAAGACATAAATCCGTCCTTGAAAGCCCCACTGCAGCGCGAGAGCCTCGAGGTACACGGAGCAGGAGACAAAGACTTGGCAGGTGCAGACCCTGTGGACATAAATATGTGTAAGCCATGGGGTAAACTCCCATAGAGATCTGAACAATTCGTGAAAATCCATGAATTTCCGTTTGTTTCCCCAAATGGTCTACATGTTTTGTGGCTTTTCCACATGTATGTTGGCTTAGAGGAAGGGCTGCAAATGGCTGATGACTTTCACAATTTCGTCTGAAACCACCCAATTTAATCTAGAGATGACGTCAAGATCGAACTTTGAATTACCGTTCCGACTTCCTTTCTAGCCATCTAACAAGACCATTCTATCTTCACTGCGTTCCCTCTTGAGAATTTGCCCATTTGATCTTCGCAACTTTCCATGTCTTTTTGTACCATGAGGACACATATCTAAAATCATCAATCATATGAATCATCTTCGGTCTGTCACTGGCTCCCCCAGCACAAAAATGGACACCATTACAAATTGCGATGTTTCACTATATCAAATCTGGGTGATTTATATTGATTTATCATGAAATCAGTTCTTTAATGGTCGAATTTTCATAGGATATTCATTCTATCAATGGGAATTTCAAGATCCTAAATAGGTACTGTACCATCTTATATGGTACAGTAATGTACAGTACCTTCATTTTAGGATCCTGAAGATCTCCCATTGATTCTATAGACATGACATCAGCAAGAATCCCACCACCAGTGCAGAGCGCGCCGGAAGGCGGTCTACGAACGCCTGAAGGCCTTGCATGACCAATGGGCCTGCAGAGAATACCGAGCCTTAACGGAGAGGTTTATGATAACCATGTGTATATATAGTAAGCTTATACAGAATATGTGTGTATGATATATGTGTGTCTATATCTTGTAATGTTTGCCGTATATACGAATATATATATATATATAAAGGTTTTACCATGTTTTAGCTATATATGTGTATATATCTATCTATCTACTATATGTATCTCACTGTGTGTTACTCTGCGACACCTACGATCATCCCAAAAATGCCGCTCCCAAGGAGAGATGCTGCCACAGATGGAGAAGTATTGTGGCACCTGGGACGGGCGGCAACGCAGGGCAGTCAACCCTTGGGTGGCTTAGTTTAGGAAAACACATTCCCAAGTTTATATTGGTGAATATTCAGTTTATATTGGTTGGATATTCCTTATCAATATTCCTCATCAATATTCATCAATATTCATCAATTGCAAAACAATATTCCTAAACTGGGACAATGGATGAATATTGATGAGGAATATCCCAGTTTATATTGAAAAGGGCTTGGCTTGGTCAATATTCATCAATTCTGGAAATGTGAGGAATAAACCTGGGGACATAGCTATCATGAATTGATGATGATCAGTTTTGCCATAGCTATCATCAAGTATTTTGATTGTGGAGTTGGATTTAGGAGTTATACCATCTGGTAAACTAACGTAACTATGGAAAATCACCATTTTTCATGGGTAAATCCACTATAAATGGCCATTTCAACTAAAATTTCCCATGGCTATGTTAAATAACCAGAGGGTACTATGTAACTTTAGGACCAGATTTGCACACGTCTTTTTCTCCAATCGGGCTATATATATATATATATATATCTACGATTGGCCATGTCTCGGTGTCAGCTGGCGGCATGCTGGCAATGGAAAATGGCCCATTGATGATTTGCGTATCAAAAATGCTAGGTTTTCCGAAGCTTTGTTAAATCAGCGGGGGGATCCAGAGGGTACATTTTTTTTGTTTCTGACCTTTTGGAAGCACCGCAGGTTCCAAGTTCTGGAAAATCAGCCTGTGGAACAAGTGCCAAGATAAGATAGCAGCCAGTTTGTCAAAAGCAAAATTGATGTTTCAAAATCATTCGAAATCCACATTTTGTTGATCGGGCAGCGTACATGATCAGCACCTCCCACGGGTTTCGCAGCCATGTTCTACTGACGCAGCACAACCCAGGCTATGCAGTGAACAACATTCCACAGCAACCTGGCGACAGACCTGGCAACAGTAGCCCCAAAAAATGGCCCAGGATCACATTTGATCAGTGTTTGTGGCTTGCTGTACCAATCAGTATTGAACAAATACGAACAAATCGCTTCCATCTTGAGGATATGATTTTTTGGGGGTGGGCTTATCAACTTGATTCTTGACCAGTCAAGCCCTTGGCAGCTTGGTCTCATATCTAGCCCCGGCATTGGCCCTCAAAATGCCAATTCCACCAGAGCATAAGCATACAAGCCTAGCATGATGCATAGAATATTACAGAACCTACCGTAAAAATTAAAATTCCAGTCATTGAAACATTGGAATCGATAAAAACCATCACAACCCCTATTATGAGCTGTGAAACCATTATATAAACCCATGATGAACCATTGCAAACCCATTGTAAACCAGATTGAACCCATCATAAGCCCATTTATAAACCAGTTAAAACCCATGCCCATTGTAGGCCCATTATAAGTTACCTTTGAACAGTTTAAACTCACTATTTCAGCCCATTAGAACCATCACCATCCAAGTGTTGTTTCCAACTCGAGGCTCCCAGACATCAGCGACTTCCTCCAACAGCGCACGGGCTTCACCTTGCGGCCCATCAGTGGCCTGTTGAGCGCCAGGGACTTCCTCAACGCGCTGGCCTTTCGGGTCTCCCGGTGGCCCAATTGACAGTGGCCCCAGCTTGGGATGGCTCAACCCGTAGGAAAGCCACGGATGATTTTTTGGATGATTTCTGGAGATTGATGTTGCATAGCCATGACGGATCCATGGTGCTAGATTAATGGTGTGCCATGGATCTCATCAATATACCCCCTCCCAATGTTAGCATAGATATACCAGCACCATGGATCCGTCATGGGATATTTAAGTCATGATTAAATCATGTGACATGATTTGACCCAGATGTGGCACTCAAAAGTAGTTGATAGCGGGATTCAAGCTAATTACTTAAATGTTGACCCAGGCCCACAGCAAGATGCGCAATGGCCCTTGGCTCTTGTGGACGTTCTCCGGCTCCACCATTTGGGTGAGAAGTGATTGTCACTTCCAGATGTTCTAAGTGTCCATGATGGCCAAATATGTGATAAAACTGATATTGTTACTTCAATTATATTAAATAAAGTTATATTTTATATAAGTGGCACTGCATTTAACATCATTTATCCAAATCAACAATTGTTGAGTGTATCAAGACAATAATGCTTATCCCTAAACACATGTTTTGTTTACTGCATTACTTGAGGGACAGCTTGACACCCACGCTTTGTGCTGTGCCATGCCGCGCCATGGGTCGGACGTCGCCTTTGCTGTGCCGTTTGGGCTGCGGAAACCTTGCGAATCCGCATTGGGACTGGGGGGAGTTGACCCAGATGGGCCATGGGATTAGATGATTAGTTAAGTGGTTAGCAACTGGTAAGCTAACATAACTAATGCCAAGTCAGGATTAATAACCCCCCCCCAGAAGGTCGGAACTCTACCTTGTAGGTCATTTTCTTAAACACCCCTTAATAAGAACAACTCTGAACCATAAAACTTTGGATATGGCTTACGTCAATTAGATCTTAATAGAATTCCATTGGATTTGTTAAAATCTCATGGATCAGAAAGGTGGTTGATTAATCAGGAGTAAACCCTGGTTATTATTAATGGGGGACATGGGCTCATGGGGGGTACCCTTTGGGAGCTATCCAAACTGATGATTTTTATAAAGATTTTAATCAAAAATCGATCATTTGGGGAATAGTTGTTTTTTGAAATTTTCAATGATCAACTTAAACCTTAAGTATAACAATGATGATTTAAAAAAATGTAAAAAATAAATGGAAATAAATAGAATTGGAAATAAAAATTGTTGGATAAAACATGGATTTCAGCACTGGAGGTTTTTTTATCGGGGGTGTGTATTAATACTGGGGGACCACCTGTTTTTAAATTGCATTCTTTTTTTGGGGAGGAGGAGGTTGGTTAATAACGGGATGTTGACTAATCCTGACTTGGCATTATGGAAAATCACCATCTTTAATAAATCCACTACTTCTATGGCCATGTTCAATAGCTTTTTGTATGTTTACCAGTGGTTAGCAACTGGGTTTTATTTTAGCCAGTTGCTAACCACTTACCTCGTCCCGGGACGATCTCAGTGTAGTCTGTAGATGGACCTCCAAAAAAGGTCAAGCTTTAAAACTGCGACCACCGGTGGACTTGTTCTTTTTTTGCTACAGCGAACCCTTGAGACATACCTACCTGTCTAAGAGTCTTAATTACATCGAAATACTATCATGTGTTGCAATTTGGGGATGTTTCATAGTCAAGATGTTAAAGAGAGGGGGCCATTGTCCGCAAGACCACCCTCTTCCCTGTCACCTATACCATCTATATCTCATAGATATAATCTCCGAGCCTAAGACCATCCAATTCTTGGTTTACCCGCCTTTTCTGTTGCTGATTGTCACATGAACGCGTCATAGCTTGTGACACTTTGACCACTTGCATTATTCATGAAGTTCAATCCCCAATAAGTATTGGTTTATACCATATCATACCGCTATAATCCGCTGTACCTCTTATCAATGGATTGGTTTAAGGGAACAAAATACAGGAACCCCCTATATTTTGATTGGGAAAACCATGGTTTCCGGTGAAGATGTTCCCTTCAACCGATCATTGACCCTAGAGTCGTCCTCGGGTTTTCATACGGAGGAGCAGCTCTGTAGCCGCTGTTTTTACTTCAATGCCTTGGCTCCTGCCCTGGCGCTGGGAAGTGACTTCCGCTCGGTGGATCCCCAGGAGGAGGCGGGGCAAAGTTTATTCGAAATGATGTCAATGGCCATTTCAGGAACCTAAATTGGAGGTACCTACCATATATAAGGCCTAGGGCCTATGTAAGGGCTATGTAAGGGGATATACCCCCAAAATATGGCCTTATATTGTACAGTACCTCCATTTTAGGATCCTGGAATTCCCATTGATGATGGGGAATGTTTGATAAGAAAATTTCCCATCGCCATTTATTGGAAATTTATTGGCAAAGTCTATTGTTTTTTTGTTTTGGACAACTTATTGGAGGTTCTATTCTCTTTAAGTTGGATTGGTGGATCATACATGTTGTATCATGTTGTTAGGTTGAATTAATTGAAGTTTTTACTTCCTTGTTTACTAAAATATCTGACATCTGAACCGTATTCTTTCAAAGCAGATGGACCATCCCTGTAAACCATTGAAAACACCCCAGAAAAAAACGCATATGGGGACGAGTTGATACTGATGTTTTGCCATATGTTTCTGGGTACCCTCTGGAAACATAGCTAGTGAAAATGGCCCATTTATAAATGATTTACTTCAAAAATGGGAGTTTATGGGGAAATCAACTATTTCAATGGCCATTTTCTATAGCTTTTTGTATGTTTACCAGAGGGTACCATAGTTTTTGGACCAGCCACGGGCGCAGGTCGTGGCTGAGAAGCTTGCCCGCGGCAAGGCGAGGTCCGCAGGATTTTGCCAACGGATTTTTCCGATATGACAGGTACAAAAAGCTATAGAAAATCACCATTTTGAATATGTAAATCAACTATAAAGGGGCCATTTTCAATAGCAATGTTAAACTACCAGAGGGTTTCTTCTTCATGATTTTGCGAATGATTTGTTTGTGTGAAGGTAGAAGTTCATGGATTTTGCTCATGGATTTTTCGATGGATGCCAAGAGGAATTGTGTGGATACTTGACTTGTAGACATCTATCCACCTCTATTTGTTTCTACTGCTTTGTTGCTACATCATGTTAAATGATACAACTACATATATATGGTCATAGCAGCTAGAGACATCATATCAGATTAGATTGATTAGATCTTGGTTTAGTCTAGTTTAGTTTATATAGATTAGGTTATTCCATATATATATATTTAAATAGTAATGATCTAGACTCTAGACGATGCTTCATTGCCTGGTTGTTGATTAGTCATCACGTGCTGTGCCAGGATGCGCCGGCTTGCGCAGACGAGTCGAAGGACGGGTTTTGGGTTTTGGTTGTGGGGTTTTGTTGCACTCCAGAGGTAGGTGACCCATCAGAATATGTAGTGTTTGTTTAAGGATGGATCTACATATGATCTACATATGAATCTGTATGATGTTGTTTGTGTTTTCTTGCTTCTGTGACTAAGTGATTGTAAAAGTGCTTGTGCAACAGAAGTCGTATGCATTAAACCTGCACGCTGCAAACCCTACGTTTGACCTTGCCGGAAGTCAACTGAAGTTCAGAGGGGGTGGGGGTGTGATCCCTCATGAAGATAAGTGGAAGCTAATAAATAAGTCAACTCTTTTGTTCAGAGTGGGTGGGGAATTTGATCCCTTATGAAGAGAAGTGGAAGTTAATAAACCATTCAAAATATTTATTTGGAGGGGGTGGGGGATTGATCCCTTATGAAGAGAAGTGGAAATTAATAAACCATTCAACATATTTGTTCAGAGGAGGTGGGGGATTTGATCCCTTATGAAGAGTAATGTATTTGGAGGGTGTAGGTCATGTTTGAGTTAGATAGTAGAGGAGAGATCTTGTGGGTTATGGTCGGACGTGGGGTTTGGCGCCAACATGTATTATATGTATACTGTCGCTTCAGAACCAGCATGAATTTAAAGACTACATGACAATGGAAAATTGTCATTGTCAGGATGAACACGTACTCCCAGTTCACGGGCGATGCTTAAGCCAACTATCTTGGGGTCGTGGGAGTGTTTGTTCTCAAGGGCATGTGGCTAACGGATATCATATGTCACATGGCAAAAGAGTGCTCCCAACATGTGTTTTTTCCGTTTCCGTGGGACATTCATTCAAAGTGCTGAGCTTTCAAGTTTTTAAATGTATCATTGACTATGTCCAACCAACATGATCGCTTGAACTCCGCCAAAGAAAAAACATACGTATAAAAATATACATACAATATTATCATCAAATGATGAATAATAGTAACAATAGTCATCATCACAATGATGATAATATAGGCATGGTGTTTTTTTGTCCATCCTAGCTTCCCCTGTTTCCGGGATGTCTAGGACCGCTTTCCCCGACCCGTTCCGACCTTCCTCTTGTGCGTGGTGACGCTCCAAATTTGCATCTTTTGTCCCTGGGTTGCCGGAGCGGCATAGGATCCACCATGGAGGTAGGGAGATTGGGGGAACCATTCTTCAACGGCAGTTGGTTGAACACTTTTACTTGACCCCCGCTAAGAAGAGGTTTCCTTTGGTGGAAAAATGTCATTCGTACCCCCAGTTTTTTTGGTATGACATGTCCCTGTCTTTCCGCTGGTTTCTGGTTGGTTTTCCAACCCTACCCTCCTCTTGTTTTTCGCAACGGTGAGAGCCCAAGGCTTCACCCTAGTGGCCAACGGTGGGCCCGAAGACATGAGCTCCGGGAGTATTGGCAGCTGAGCTGCGTTGGCATCCCATCCCCCCGTTCATATGAACCACAACCCCAAACGAAACCATGGTGGTCGGGGAATTTCCACATAATTGGGACCATGGAATGGGGTCTTTAATACCAGGGGATTGGGAGTCTTAGCCTTCGGTATTGAAAAGTGGCCAGCGAAATCCATTCGAAAAACGGATTTAAATTATGGGAAAATTATCTATGCCTGATTTTGTAAAATTTATGGCATAGATAGTTTTCCATTTAACATACCCCAATTATCTATTATGGGATGTAAAATTGGGGAAAATTCCATTGCCATGTTGGATGTTTGGCGGGTTGCCGGCTGGGTGTTGGTCCAGGCATCGGTGCCGGCCGATGGCAATAGATCGTCCTTTGGAGCTGGGCCATTGGCCAACATTTCACCATGGATGGGGACTATGCGGCCAGTGTTACCCTCTGGTTATGTCAACATATAGCTATTGAAAATGGCCATTTATAGTGAGTTTTCCCATTAATAGCATGGTGATGTTCGATAGTTTTTGGTTAGTTTACCAGAGGGTACCCAGTAAATGAAGACTTCGAGATATTTCGAGCCTGGCAGGGGTTGGAAGATGAGTGACACCACTAAAGATTGTTTATTTTTTTTGGGCCCATGTTAATTTATCAGAGTTTACCAGAGGGTAAATCTTGACATCTTGGTGAACCGATTGGCTTCGCAGCACCTCAGGACCCAGCTATGACACGCTCTACCGCTGTGGTGGCTTACAATTGCAGGGCCAGAAGCAGGTTCCGTTTCATGGTGGGAAACCACTTCGGAAAGGGACTTGTTTTGATAGTTAAGTTAAGCCATCATAAACATGTTTGCATAAGAGAGAGAGAGAGAGGGAGAGAGAGATAGAGAGATGAGATAATTAATATGTATGTATGTAAATGTAATGTTGTGTAACGCAATGCAATGCAATGCAATGCAATGCAATGCAATGCAATGCAATGTATGTACGTACGTATGTATGTATGTATGTATATACATACAAGAATAATCTTCATTGGATATCATGACTTAGATAATCTTTAGATATTGAGGTCGCTTTGGTTGGGTCATGGTTTGGTAGTAAGCCGTTTGTAAAGCCATCACTTTTCAGCGATTGCAGGGATTCATCACTGCCAGACCTTGACGAGGTGTGGCGATTGTTCACATCGATGCCCGTCTGATGCTGCGGAGTTGCTGTTAGCAAAAGCAACACGGAATGCTCAGAAAGCCATGAACCCCCCCCCAAAAATGGATATGAATTTGGTATATTTTATAATTATATATATAACATGGGGTGTCTAACAAATTGGGGATCCCCAGTCGTCCTTTATGGGTGTCACTACAAGTTGTCATGGCCACATCCCGGTCCGAACTCTGGGAGCCGAGAAAACTGAGGATCTTCCTACATGCTGGGGTCGTTCATTTGGTCTCGAACCTGCGGCTCGAAACGGTTTGCGCTGATAGCTCGGCTGATGGGTTAAGAAAGGGAGATTGTGATGATCCAGAGAGATTTGGCCCTCCCAAAATAGGGTTTCATGATGTTGTTTGATTTCTCAGAGGCCTGTTTTTGGGTCTGCAAGTTCGTGATAGACACATATTCCTCAAAAAAGAATGGGGCTGCAAGTGCAGCTGTGGCAACAGCTGCGCCATGAAGTCCCCAAAACTATCTACACTATGACCCTCTGGTTGTTTAACGTAGCCACCCGGGAAATCACAATGTACAAAACAGGTAAATCTTCATGTTTATCATCTATTATACATTGCCATTTTCCAAAGCTAATGTTTATCTAATTCTTTTGAAACATTGCATTTACATATAGAGATATAAACACACACACACATATATATATATACCCATGCATTGAGTTTGGCAGGCTTGGGTGTGCATGTATCATCTTTAAGTGTTTCAATGAATGCTACCATTTTGGCTCAAGTAAACTTGAACCAAAATAGCATTCATTGCTGTTTTCTTTCTTGGTCTTGGTAAGGGGTGACCTTTCCAGACCTTGATTGGGTGGTTCAAACTATATACAAGGGGCGACCTTGTATGCAGCGCAAACTCCCAGGAATCGATATCCCGGCAGCCACTGAGGCGAAGATCCTTCATGCTGCTGCTTTCCTGGAGTTCAAGAGCCACGTGGAAAGGCTGGCGCGGGAGGGCTCTGATGCTGCAGCATACACATGCTGGATGCATGGTATTGAAGTGTTGCATTCCCCCTACGTCATCACGACTGGGACAGATTCAGAGCTTTTCCCCCCCCTGCCGAAGCTACCCTGTTGCCTTGATGACTGCCAGCGTTGCGCAGCTCATGTGGGGGGGTTCAAGTTCCCGTGGCTCGGCTTGTGGAACAGCCGTGGCGTTGTGCTGCCCGATGATGTGGCGCCTGCGGATGCTTGGGCGTACTACTACCAGCACCAGGACCCCATGGACCTGCTGCTGGTCGCTGCCTACACGAAGCACAAAGTGGCCGCTGACATCGTGCCCCAGGATCTCTACGGGTTGCAGCTCAGGTGCTCAGCGGGCGACGCTGGGCAACTGGGCTTGGGGGAGCTGTTCGATCAATGGAGGAGCTGGCTCAGATGCACAGGCCCTCACGAGCTCCTACCGGTCTTCCTCGAGCCGCGGCATTTCCCCAGAGCACCTAGGGGGCGACCCTGGGTGGCCTGGGGGAGAGAAGGCGCCAGGGCACATCGAGCGCTATGTGGATGGCTGGAATGCCAGGATGCAGGCATGCTTCAGCTGGGCACCGCCTGCACAGAGTGCGGAGATCCCACCAGGCGCGTGTGCTGGGCATGCTGCGTCGGGATGTGTAGTGACTGCTTCACCTGGCGTGAGCCATGCAGCACTTGTGGAGGACGTAAGAAGATGTTTGCTGCAGGTTGATTTTATGACAGAGGAGGCACCTCTGAAGTCACCGCAGCATCTTTTTGCTCTCCGCACCTTAGCAATCTTGTTAGGGTGCAGCGCCATGGCATCAGGCGGCAAAGGCTACTATGCAGCTCAAGCGGCAGCTTCGTCCTCGTCAGGGGGTGACCCTGAACCGGGAGAGAGCAGCCGACTCCTTGATGATGATAGCTGCACAGCGTGCGCGTCAATGGAGGGAGAACGAAGGCCTCCTGGACGACAACGACTTCGCCTATGCCTACACCGACTACGATCAAGTCGTTGGACTAGCTGGCCATCACGTAGCGGATGACTGGCTGCAGACAAGAGCAAGGGTGGAAGAGCACCTCCTTGCTGCTGGGGCCAAAGTCGTGGAGGACTACCCCAAGGGTTCCGTCACTCTGCGCCCTGTGCGCAAGACAATCTACAAGAAAAAGCCCAAGGCCGTCAACGTCACCAAGAACCTGGATGAGGCCGTCCAAAAGCGGGTGAACGGCTTGGTGTCGATGTTTGTCGGAATGGGCGCATACAAACCAGCTGGCATCTTGACAGGCACCCTCAAGGCCGAATGGAAACAAACGTGCAAGAGGATCGCCGAGAAGAAGGTGAAGGACGCGGAGAAGGCGACCATTGACCGAGTGGTCAACACCTGGTTGGACCTGACGGCCTTCTTCGAGAGTCGGGGGCGACCCGCTCCTCCTGGAATGGTCGACCTGGATCAGTTCCTCAACCATACCCAGGCGCCAGCACGAGCACTCCAAGCCTTGAAATGGATGAACAAGAATGCCGACCAAGACATGGAGCTGGGAAACTTGCAAGTGCCTACAACACCCAGGGCGACTGGGCAGCGTGGGCAAGCACCGGTGGTGGAGCCGCCATTAGTGCAGGCCTTGGAGGACCGCATCACGGAGTTGCACGCGGTCGGCGATGAGAGGTGGTCAGTTCTTCTGGCTCCTTGGATCATGTCGTTTGGCTGTTTGAGGTATGCGCACATCGCGCGGTCAGAACCTCGGCGCCTCACCGCTGCATTCCTCCATTGCAGGTGCCCTAAGGGAAAACAAAAGCATGCCCGCGAAGGTTTCGACTTTGCGGTGCCGGCCACATTCGCCAACGGCTTCTTTTGGGCCAAGGAAGTGCTGGAGGCCTACAGGACGCTGGCACCAGCAAGGCAGAGACTTGCAGGCCTTTGTTTTTCGGACGAAGGGCGCCCATGGACGATCCTAGAAGTGCAAGAGACGATGCAACAGGAAATGTCCGTGTTCCTCGACAATCCAGAAGACCTGACCACCTACAGCTGGAGGAGGCTTGCACCCACGGTGGCCCAGTTGTTAGGATGCAGGCCTGAAGAAATGGCAGCCCTGGGCGACTGGCAAAACAAGAGTGAGCAACCAGAGGTGGGGGCGATGGCATTTCACTATTCTTCGGCAAAATACGCGTCGGTCAAGGTGAAATCCCTGATCTGGGGCGCTACGGCCAAGCTCGCTAGCAACCTGCTGTGGGAGGCGATCCCGCAGGCAGAGCTAGATGCAGCCCGAGCTCATGGCCTGACTGAAGCTGACAGGTTGCTGCGACAAGACCGCCAACCTATTTGGGCCTCTGCACAGAGCTTCCAGGACGTGAAGAAGAGGCTCAAGTTGTCACAGCAGTTTGTTGAAGCGGCACAGCAAGCCCGGCAAGAGGCCGAAGCCGCACCGGCACCTCAGATGCCTGATCAACTCAATGGCAAGGTGCTGACGGCCACCTTGAAGAATGGTAAGGCCATTTGCCCGGAGTTCCAGACGGACGAGTGCCCGAATCCGGCAGACTCCTGCCCCTTCGGAGTGCACTTGTGTGCCATCCTACAAAAGTCAGGACGGGCATGTGGTGGCAAGCACGGCGCAGGCGTCTGCAACATCAAGCGGGCGGTGTTGGCCGCAACAGCAGTGCCAGCGGCACCCAAGCCATCGGCCACCTTGGTGCCGGCAGCCGTGGGGGAGAAGGCCACTTTTGGCCGGAAGAGGACCGCGGCGAGCGGTGCCACTGACGACGAGATGGCCGAGGTGATGCGCGCAGCTGTCAAGAAAGCCCGAGGTCAGGCTGCACCCAAGACTCCGCCCAAGGCGCCAGCCATTGCAGCCCCCAAGACACCTCCGAAGGCTGCAGCCACTACACCTAAGCCACCGGCCACAGCTGCGAAGTCCAGGGCTACAACCACAACGCCGAAGCGCTTGGCCGCTCCTGGGAAGCCACAGATTAAGGCCATGCCAAAGAAAGGCCGTGGCAAGGCAGCAGGAGACACCTTGGACCTCCACTTGGAGCGGTTGGGTGTGGGCTCAGGGACAGCCCAGGCCCCGACTTGCATCTGGACATCCCGGAAGGGTGGTGGCATCTACCTGGCAGGACTTCCAATGAGGCAGACGGTGGACAAGTTCCCCAAGACAGCGTTGCAGATCTGCTGCTTCCCGAATGGTCCTGAGAGCCGGGGGGGGTGACCCTCCCGGGAGCTCAGTTGATGACCTTCGCGGCGGCATACAGCCAGGAACGCAACGAACAGTGGACAGACGTGTGGCCGGCCGTCAAGAACACTGTTTGGCACGGCGACAACGTCGTGGTGCACTGCATCAAGGGGCGACACCGGGGTGCTTTCTTAGGCATCCTCTGCCGTGCATTGCTGGCCGGCGAGTCCATTGAGGATGCCAACCACTACGTGGAGAGCCGCAGGGATACAGAGCTGAACAAGGTCATTCGCGACCAAGGCATGCGGAAGTGGCTGCACAAGACCTTCCAGGACACCGCGGTGGGAACACAGCACCCCGAGCCGCAGGGATATGCAGCTACGGAGAGGTCCAGCACCCATGTCACGGTCGAGGACGGCATCACCTTGTGCCAGCACAAGCAGGCTGATGGGAAGGCGAAGCGCCTGGTGAACCCATACATGTCCACGGACGTCTTTGAAGCTCTGGCATGGGAGCGCCCCTGGTGTGACCAGTGCCTCCGTCGAGCGCCAGCGTCATGGTGGCCGCCTGCCTAAGATGCCCAAGCCGAATTTTTGGCCTTTGCGCTGATCAGCAGCACTGGCCCGTTCCGGCCATGGAGAGCCGAATTCATCAGCTCGGGGCTTGGATAAGAGCTTCAATCCAGCCTGCATGACCGCCCCCAGCAGTGACATCATGCGCGAGAGGAAAATAGTAGAGCCAGGTGACTTTCAGTGGGGTGCCCACTGAGCAAGTGCCGTGCCTTCATGTCTTTTCGTTGTGTTTTTCAAGTTTTTCCTTTTATGACAACGCACAAGACCATCTGGGAGGGGGACCTCAGATAGTCTAGTGTACCATAGCTCTGTGGCGGCATGAAGGTGATGTCATGTGAGGTCGCAACATAGCTGTGCGTTGTACACATGTCCAGATTTCACATCAGTGTATGTCAGGGTCCATTTATTTCATGCCACGCCAGGCGGTTCCAGCACAACGCACGGGGGAGACCCGAGGCGCAGTTTTCAGTCAAAGGGAGGGGATCCCTGGGCCTTAGCTAGAGGGGTGTCCTCGAGAATAGGCCATGGAGACTGATAAAGTCCCAC